TTTCACCGGGGGCCACAGGGTCAGATTTTCGGTTTTTACTTGGAACAATGGTCAGATTTGTTAACACTTTCATTTTTTATTTGAATAATGCATGCAAGCGTAGCGACAAGAGTGGCTAGAATAGATTCTGCAACCTTCTCCCCTTGTTGGGTAAAAATGTCAAGCATCCACATACATGCATCTCCCCTCCACCCTCTCGTGAAATGTCGATTTTCGAGATTAAAAAAAAAACAATAATTGCATTTTTTATTTCAATAACGCATGAGTAAACAGGGATATGAACGCAGATTTAATATAGGCCCATAGCATTACGGGGACCGGCGAGGATTTGGAAAGTCTGAATACAAGTCCTGCTTACACCTAACAAGTGCTGAAATGGGACATAACCAGAGGTAGAAAGGTCTCGGAAGCACTTGGGAAGAGGCTTCCCAAGACCTATCCAGTTCTGACCGGAAAGACCTAAGTAGAACTTGTCAGGTCCAATTATTCGACTCGGGGCTTAGCTTCCCAAAATTAAGCCTGCCCACCACCGCAGTGCGCTAGCCCCGTAGAGCGACTGCATCAGGTATACACTGTTAGAAAAAAAATTAGTGCGTAGTGCGTGCTCAATACGACTCGAATTCGATTATTTCTAATGTGCGGAAAATTATGAAACCGTTTTCTAATTGAAGCTACAGTATTCCGGTGTCCAATTTTATGTGGCTGATCAAGTTATTCTTCATAGATTTGGAAATAATCAATGTGGAAAATAATCATGGAAAACATGGAAATAATCATGTGACTAGTGATTTTCCGGAGAGTGACAGTTGCACTTGTGGAATTTTAGATTCGTCCTCGTGTCTATAGTTATCAATTTCTGGAAACTAAAAACTTTCAGGCACTGCACAATAACAGAGTGATTCAAAAGTTTTTGTTTCCAAAAATAAAATTCAGTAGATGCATTTCGAATTTCACTGAAAAAGTCAATGAAATTATAAATTTTTCAACAGCACTGAGGTGAGAATTCCTCAACTTGTCTGAATTCAGGGCCAATTACGATAAATTTCCAATTAATTGAAAATTCATGAATATACTTACATGAATTAGAAATTTTGATCGTTTTCAGGGAATAATTGACCTGAAATTTACGCTTCTATTGATTTTTCCATCAAAGGCCGTAAAATTCAATGATGATTCCTCAGGATTTCAATAAAACTGTCACTTGATAACAAATAAAAATTTCCCAGAGTTGTACCGGACATTTCAGTCAAAAATTTTGGAATGAAGAATTTTCAAAATCTCTTAATTTTTTTCTATTGAATATTTTCAATTGAGACTGTCTATTTCAAGAAAAGTGGAAAAGTGTGAAATTTTTCAAAAGAATCGGCGAGAACTGCTAGAATTCTCTATGAGATTTTCTCGCAGTTGATAATTCCAGGCTGATTCATGAGGCATAACACTAGAAAATTGAAAAAAATACATGAAATAAGGTTCATATCTAAGTTTTATTCATAAAAACAATACGATTCCGGTATTAATAACAATGGATGAAACAGTAAAGATAACAATCGGTACAAAACAAGAGAAAAACACGCTTTTTCCCCATCAGTCCCAAATCTACAGAATCCTCGTAGTGGGCACAGCATAATTCAACGGAGCGGAGTAAATTGGAGCCGCGAATCTCGTCGCCACAGCCCGCGGGAGAGTATACCCGAGGTTCTGAACAACGACCGGAGCCGCTGCTGGCGCGGCAACAGGACTGGTCACAATGGGTGCCGAAGCAGCAACGGGTACGCTGGGGAGAACAGTTCTTGCGTCGGCTGGAGCAGCAATGACTGGACTCGCCGGTACGAAACTCCTCGCGATGACTGGACTGCTGACGACGGGAGCTGCCGGCACAACGGCTCGGGCTGCAGTCGCAACGGCAACAGCTGGCTCTCGATTGACAACAGCATTAAATCCATTGACGGGATCAGCGGTGTAATCGACGATTCTTCTGGTTCCGTCCGCCTCGATGAGACTGTAGCTGCCTTGCACTACGTCACCGTTCCGGGTTTCGTATTGAGCTTTGGAATCGCCGGTCAGGGCGTCCTGCACGTCGTAAGCGAAGCTATACTGCGGGGCTGCGTCGAAATCCTCGATCCTGGCGAGAACCGCCGGTTGGGCTGCGACCGGCACAACTGCCGCACCTGCGACGCTCATGGCGAGTGCTGTTGTGAGGACGATGAGACTGGTCTGGAATTATTAAAGGTTGAATACAGTGCACTGTTGGCAAATTAGGGGACAGTGGAACACTCGACTTTTTTTAAATGTTAACAATTCATTGAACTGCTGATGGAATGGGGTATTTTTTAAAATTAAATTCAAAATATTCTACCGCACGGAGAGAAATATTCAGTAGTAATACCACGAGACCTCGAAAATTATCGAATATTTCCCGATTGTTTCATTGCGTAGCAACGAGAGGGAGAAGTTTTGCAGATTAAAATTTTTGGATTTGGATTTTTGTGCAAAACTTATCCCTATCGTTGATACACAGGAAAACATGGGGGAAATGTTCGATTGATTTTGGAGGTCGAGTGGTATTCGACGGATTATTTTTGGTAATCGGATCTGACTTTCTTCATGACCTTCTTTCACTCCACAGGATAATATTTGACACTTATTTGGTTAGAGAAACAATTGTAGAGCTAGAGGGAAATTATCAAAAGCTAGGGGGAAATAACCGCTGTAATTTTAATTGGGAAGTACTTCATGTTATTGAATACTGAAATCCGATTGGTCCAGGGGAGGCCAGATCCGATTACCAAAAATAATCAGCAAAAATTATGGAACAATTCACGTAATCCGCAGTGGGGAATCGTTTTCCGGCAATTTTTATAGGAATAGAAGAGAAGAAATCTGAAACATTCAGTGAATTCTCTGGTTCATTTGCATTTGAAATCGCGAAAACGATGTCAGTGAAATTTGTGAATTTTTAGTGCATAACTCCGAAAATCAACCGAATTTTCCCGTATTTTTAGCGTTTTTTCAACTGTCGAATTATTATCTATTCAATAAAATTGAGATTGTTCCGAAAATTTACAAGTAAATATTCAATATATGAGTGGAATATCGTTGGGAAGAGGAAAAATACACCGAAGAGGGGCTGACGTATCCATTTGCGTGAACTTACCGAAGAAACCATTGTGAAGCAGTTGAAACTACCAATCACTAACGATTGTTGATAGAACTGACGATGAGCACTCAATTTCGCGTGCTCTTATATCCGTGAAGATGTCACAACTCGACTGACGCCCCCACTTGGAAGATCCTCAGAGTAATGGTAGTGGCAATTGCGTAGCATCGCCGGTGCTACGTAAATCCTAGAGTAGTTGACCGAGGCCATATCGGTCAGGACTACTAAAAAGGTTTGTGTGCTCGACACGGAGAGAAATATTCAATAACAATTACGCCTCGTGTGTGAGGATCCTCTCACACGCAAATATCATTTTGTTTTATTATTTTTCTCACTCGGATTTCAGCCAATCAAAGCGCAGTATTTGAGGCTGTCAAACTGTTTTATTTCGGAAATTTCTGCACACAAACGAAGTCGTCAAGTTTTTCAGGAAAAATCACTCGTGCTTCGCACTCGTGATTTTGTAACCTGAATAACTTAACTCCTTTATTTGTTTGCAACGAACCTATCGGGAATTGCTCGATAATTTTGAAGCTCTCGTGGTATTAATTGTGGAAATTCACTAGTAGCTTTTTAAATGTTTCTCATATTCCAACGCATTTCACGTTTAATGTTCTGTGTGACAGATAAACAAAAAAGTGGGTTGTAAATGTTCGGCTGTGTAAATGTGTCCGGATGCTGTTCACTGCACTCTGCTTGGCCGAAATCCGAGTGGAAAAATAATCCGTCAAATACCACTCGTGCTTCAAAATTAATCGGATATTTTCCTCAAGTTTCCCTGCCTAGGAACGAGTGTGTCAAAGTTTGCAGAAAAATCCCTCGTGCTTTGCACTCGGGATTTTAAACCTGCAAAATTTGACACAATCGTTCCTAGGCAACGAAGCTATCGGAAAATATCCGATAATTTTGAAGCACTAGTGGTATCACTACTGAATATTTTATCATTAAGAATTAATGACTGAAAAATATCTGAAAAAGTAATGAAAAGGTATTTACGTTGAGCGGACCGAGCTCGCGTTTAGCGGAAGGAGATACGGAATAGTTGGTCAGACACGCCGGGAATTAATCGTTTCGAATTTGTAGTTTTAAAAAAAAATGTGGTTGTAGGAAATTTTACGGAACTGTCACGGAATTTTTCTAGATCGTTCCCTAATTTGTATCTGAATCTTCTGTGAAAAATTTACGATACCGCTAAATTTTCTGAGTCGATTCCGTAATCGGTGACCGAATTATGAGTTCGGTAATTTTGACAGATTCTGCTCAACATCAAAACTTAATATCTCCCGAAAATGTAGTCCAAATAATGTAGTCCAAAATGTATTAGTTAATAATTATTTCTATGGAAATCCTGTACGATCATTCGGTTTATTACGTAAAGAATGGTTCAAGTTGAGACTCGTTTACGAAAGAACAATAAATGTGTCAACGCGTAACCGACTCGACCTTCGGTCACGTCTGCTGCATGTCAATTGTTGACGGCTCAATGTGAGCACCAAATTGTTTGGAGAATTTTCAATATGTAATGATTTCTACTTTTTACTGCTTTGAATATCATAATGATCACAAGTGTGAAAAAATTTGGTTGAAAAACCTGTTGCATTCGGCTGTTGAGAATTTTTTGCGGAAATTTCGCGGCTTCCCCATGTGAATTCCGACAGATATGGAATGGCAAAATGACAATAGATTTTTATTTTCGAATATGAATTATTCTTTGGAAATTTTTTTGGTTGTCATTCTTGGGCATGGGTCCCTCAAAATCGTCTGCTATATTTTTTTAGACCTTTCTTCGTCGAAAACTCAACTTTTAAACAGCATGTCCGCAATCTGATTTATTTGAAGGAGGATATATTGAAATGAAGCCGAAAACTCCTTGAAACATTGAAAAAATTCCACAGAAACCTTTTCGTTTCTAGCAATAGCAGTGGTAGTAAACTTCCATATTTCATATTTTGCACAAATTTTTGATTTTTCACGCAGTGTAAAAGGGGCAAAAATTGTTCTCAAGAAAAAATCGCGATAGAATAAGTTCAGTAGAAAAGTCAACATCTATTGAGTTCTTTAAGCTCTCCACTCAATTTTTCCATGCGTGCAATCCTTCACTCCTTCAAAAAAACATGTCAATCAATTTCATCTGTGGAAAAAGAAAGCAAACATTCTCCTAGGATCGGTGAACGGCTCGGCAGAAAAAAAAACACGAAGGATCAAGTTTTCGGGGATCGCATGAAGGCGGATCGCAATATTCTGGGCCCATTACGACATACGAGGGGTATATAAATCGCGCCGAGCTGTAGCCAGCATCAGTATCATCCCGAGGTACCACAGGGAGAGCGAAAACAGATATAGCAATGTTTGTAAAAGTGAGTGAACACTATAATATCTTAAAGATATTCATTATTCACAAAGAAAAACGTAAAGAAAGACGTAAATTTTGAAGAAAAAAATTGAAATCGGTCCAGTAGTTTTTGAGATCTTGCGCAAAATATTTTCACATTCAAAGAGCTAAACTTTGCTATCATAAGACCGAAAATCCTTCCAAGTTTCAAGTTTCTCTCTCGATTCTTTCTTGAATCATCATGCGTACAAGCAATTCTATCGAAAAAAAAAAGGAAATCGGGACGGTGGGGCAACCGTTTCTCGATTTGATTCAATAAGCATCATCGTGAGGAGTATTTTGAATAAAAAAAATTGAATCGGTCGAACGGTTCAGGAGATACTTGCAAAAAAAATTTTAGAGAAAGTGCTGCGTCTCAGGGGCACCTCAACCAATTGAACTGATATTTTGCACAAATTTTTGAGTCACATTAGTGTCCATTGGCGTCGTCTCCTCGTGATTCATTCCATTTCTAGGCATTTCCACCGAAAATTAGGGAATGGAAAAAATAGTGTATTGTATTATTAGTGCGTAAAGTTCCACTTTTTCACCGGCACGTTTTACACATTTTATTGCACTTTTCGGAGGTGCGGCATTTGATTTTTTGTTACTTTACGAAACAATCACTTTATGCCCGCTAAACCGCCCCGAAAAGTGAAATTTTGCGGCAGGTATAGCGCAAATCACATTTACGAATATTTTATTCAGAAGTAAAAAGTTTTATTACTCAAGGATTGAAACTGTTTATTGTGTGATTTTTTTACTAATTTGCATTGAAATAATCCCGAATCTTAGAAATGTCATACTTAAATTAGCTATTGTTTTCTCTGCCTAACTATTGTTTTCTCTGCATTCAGAAAAGATTTTAATATGAAACCCCATGATCTCGTTTTCAGGCAGTAATTCTCAGCGCCCTAGTGGCAGTGGCCACCGCTGGATTCCTTCCAGCGGCGCCAGCGGCAGTGGCATATCAACAAGCTCACGCTCCCGTGATTTATCATTCGGCACCTCAACCTGTCGCTTATCACGCAGCTCCGGTGCCCGTAGCTTATGGACATCCAGCGCCAGTGTCTGTTCAAAGGACTATCAATCCAGAGGATGATCCACATCCTCAGTACAGCTATGCTTACGATGTTCAGGATGCTACAACGGGTGATTTCAAGAATCAGCAAGAGAGCCGAGATGGTGACACAGTGCACGGCAGCTATTCTCTCCTAGAGGCCGATGGAACACGCAGAATTGTCGAATACACTGCCGATCCGATCAACGGATTCAACGCTGTTGTTCACAAAGAACCGGCTCAAGTCGCTGTGAACGCTGTTCATGCCGCTCCTGTTGTGCATGCAGCACCCGCCTATATTCATCATCATTAGAGGAAATATAGTCTGAAAATTGCTATGCCATTGCCCATTTGTACTTGAATCATCAATAAAAAATTTGATTGTAAGAAATTAATGGATTTTTTTCCGATCATGCACAATTTCATGGAAAATAATTATTTTCACCAAAATTTTGTCTCTGTATTCTAGTTATGACGAGTGAAACAATTTAGCTGAAAAAATCTCGCTTTCTCTAGGAAATTCTATTGGAGTTTTATTGGATTTAGGGGGAAATTCCACCAAAAATGACAGACTTTTTTTAAATGAGGCAACTTTGCTGTGCATTTTTCAAGGAATAATTGATTGAAAAAAATGAAAAGGTGTTGTGAATTCTCTAAGAATTACTAAAGGAAAAATGCCAAGAGAATAATTCATAAAATAAAATGAAAAATCTATTGAATTTTTTTGTCTCTGCATTCTAGTAATGACGAATGAAACAATTTGACTGAAAAAGTCTTGCTTTCTCTAGACAATTCTATTGGAGTTTTATTGGATTTATGGGGAAATTCCGCCAAAAATGACAGACTTTTTTTAAATTAGGCAACTTTGCTGGGCATTTTTCAATGAATAATTAATTGAAAAAAATGAAAAGGTGTTGTGAATTCTCTAAGAATTACTAAAGGAAAAATGCCAAGAGAATAATTCATAAAATAAAATGAAAAATCTATTGAATTTTTTTGTCTCTGCATTCTAGTAATGACGAATGAAACAATTTGACTGAAAAAGTCTGGCTTTCTCTAGACAATTCTATTGGAGTTTTGTTGGATTTGTGGGGAAATTCCGCCAAAAATTATAGACTTATTTTAAATTAGGCAACTTTGCTGGGAATTTTTCAATGAATAATTGATTGAAAAAAATCGAAAGGTTTGTAAATTCTCTAAGCGTTACAGGGGCAGAATCAAAAACGACATTACATTAAGATTTAAAAAAATCATATATATTTAACATATTCGTAAATAAAACTGCAGTACAAAACAATGAAAAAATCTATAGCACATGTTAGAATTCGTACACATCCATCACATTTAATTCGGAGGTAGAAATTAAAGTTTTAATTCTAATGAGAGTATGAGAAGAGGGGTGTCGTATAAGTGACATGAGCGATGTATGGATGAGGAGAGTACTTGGCTACTGCGGGGGTGGCATACCCAACAGGGGCACTGTACACCCTCGCAGGGAGGGCCGCGGCGGGGTAACTCGCGGCTTCGTGCGTGGCAATCGGCGTTGCAGGAGGTCCGTAAGTCAGCGCCGGTGAAACCGCGATGTTACTGTGAACTGCGGCCGAGATTTGGGGGAGAGCTGGGGCGTAAGTAGCTGCGGGTAATTGAACTGGGTACTTTGCTAGTGCCGGTGGGCCATAGGCCACTGCTGGCTGCACAATCGGGCCCGCCACTGGAGTCACCAATTTCTCGGTGATCGGCTCTTTACGGACTACGGCGTTGAAACCGTTCTGGGCATCCGCCGTGTAATCCACGGTTCTGCGCGTTCCATCCGAATCCAGGAGGGAGTAACTCCCCTGGACCACGTCCCCGTCGCGAGTCTCGTGTTGACTTTTGAAATCCCCGGTGATGGAGTCCTGAACGTCGTAGGAGTAACTGTACTGAGGGTGAGGATCGTAGTCGGCGTCGAGGGCTTTCGTGAGAATTGCCGATGGCGCGATTACTTTTGCTGGCGACTGGTATGCCACTGGGGCTCCGATGTAACCGGCGTGCGTTAATGCCAGGAAACTCAGGCAAATGGTCAACTGAAATAGGAAATATTTATTGTGTGGTGACGATGAATTTGCGAAGAATGAGTTTCACCAAAATTTTGTCTCTGCATTCTAGTAATGGCGAATGAAAGAACTTGACTGAAAAAGTCTCGCTTTCTCTAGGAAATTGGATTGGAGTTTTATTGGACTTATGGGGAAATTCCGCCAAAAATTATAGACTTTTTTTAAAATTAGGCAACTTTGCTCGGCATTTTTCAATGAATAATTGATTGGAAAAAATGAAAATGCGTTGTGAATTTTCGAAGAATTACTAAAGGAAAAATGTTAAGAGAATAATTGATAAAATAAAATTAAAAATCTAGTGAATTTTTTTGTCTATGCATTCTAGCAATGGCGAATGAAACAATTTGGCTGAAAAAGTCTCGCTTTCTCTGGGAAATTGTATTGGAGTTTTATTGACCTTATGGGGAAATTCCACGAAAAATTATAGACTTCATTTAAATTAGGCAACTTTGCTGGGCATTTTTCAATGAATAATTGATTGAAAAAAATCAAAAGGTGTTGTGAATTCTCCGAGAATGCTTGTAGGAAAAATGTCAAGAGAATAATTCTTAAAATAAAATTGAAAAACTGTTGAATTTTTTTGTCTTTGCATTCTAGTAATGACGAATGAAACAATTTAGCTGAAAAAGTCTCACTTTCTCTAGGAGATTCTATTGGAGTTTTATTGGATTTATGGGGAAACTCGGCCAAAAATTGTAGACTTTTTTTAAATTAGGCAACTTTGCTCGGTATTTTTCAATGACCAATTGACGAAAAAAATGAAAAGGTGTAGCGAATTTTCCAAGAAATACTAAAGGAAAAATGTCAAGAGAATAATTCATAAAATAAAACGAAAAATCAATTGAATTTTTGTTTGATGAAATAGCTACCAAAAATTCACTCCAAAACGAATATTCCGGTAAAATTTTCTACAAGAAAAATCACTTTTCTCTGGTTAAAACATCGAAACTGGGAAAAAATGTAGTAAATTTACAGAAAATTACAGTTTCCGGAAAAATTCTGCAAACGTTCTTTCAGGGGCAATTATTAATAAAAATATTTCCCTGTTGGATTACGTTTCTCACCTCGCGGTATGCCATAATTACAATAAACGATATATCGGATAATCGGTACCGTTGACAATTCAACTGATACTGAGATGATGATGCTTTTTTTACCCGTATTTATAGGTGGTTGAAAAGCAGAGTATCGCATATGCAACGCCTCCAATCGAATTGCACCGGGGCAGTGGTGGTAGACAATCTGTGATGTAACCACTGCCCAACCATTGCACAAAAGTGCACCGGTCCAAAATTCGCAGCATCCATGGCGAAGAAACAGAGTGAATAAAAAAAAAATGGGAACCATGGGGCGAATCCAGTGCAGGGAGTGACCGCGGTACGCATGAATACTTTCACTGCATAAACAGGGGGTCTTGGGGCCGGATTTTCGGACACGGGAGATAACCGCGCCCAATGCCAAAGCGGTAAATATAATGGTATTGAATATCGTTTAATGAGTTGGGCCCTCGATCAATTCGATAATAGGCAGTTTCGGGGAATTTAATTACGATTATTGATCGAGATGCGTGTCAGCGGCTCGTCAAGTAAATACGAATCGTAATTGAGTCACCACTTGAATGATAGTGTATCCGCCGAATGAGAAGGAATTTTTTAAGTCATGGACATTTCAGGAATACCGAAATGTTCAGTTGCCTTTCTCCCAATTGAAACAGTGCGTCTTGCGAATGTTCATGTTGTCGGGCCTCACACCCGGCGTCTGGAATTATTTTTATTCGAGAAATCTGGTGAAAATTACCCCCGAATTTTAGGAGGCGCGTAGTGATGCACTCTCGGGAATTTTTATCGTGCTCATTTTACGAGAGTTGGAATTTTTAGCAGTGTTGCTGCAATGTTGACTACTCTTCTAGTCATTTTTTAAATTTTAGTAACTGATAAATGTGAATTTTTATTCCTGGGGATTTGAATAGATGATCAAATCTTTTGTGGAATTTTGTTCATTTTCATACCACATTGGCCCGGAATTTTTGAAATCGGGTAGTGTCACTCCAGAATTTTTACCAGCGTATTTGAGTGCAATTTAAGATGAAATTGTTGGTTAACAATTTGGTCAATTCAACTCATTATTAAAATTAAATATAAACAAATTGGAAATTCATCTAAATTTACTAGTAGTTTTAGGGAGATCGAGAGTGGATTCGATTTATGTAGAAAAATCACGAAATTCCTAATTTCACTAGAAATTCAATAGAAATACGAGTTTTCGAGCAGCAGGACGCCGAAAATCCCCCAAATTTCTTGGATTTTCAATTGTACTATAATCCCTCAGTACCAAATTACGCGTCATTTTTAATTAACTAAAAATTCAAGATTACATTTACCTCAATTTTCCAAATTCTTATTAATCTTCATAGAACAATTGAATTGAAATTTACAGTTTGATATGTTTTTTTCATCGAGTTGTGAATTTTTTTTAGTGACGGAATTACTTCCAATAATTGTTCCGGAAACTTTCGCTGGAAGTTGGCATAATTTTTCAACAGCAATTCTGGTAAAAATTCCTCAAAGGCCAATACGCCACCCAATTACTGAAATTCAGGAGTAATTTTCAAGACTTTTCCCGCTGCGCTTTATAACAAAATGATCATCCAATACCAGACCTGTCGATTTCCGCATCTATTGCGAATTGTGTGATTAAATCCTCGAAAAGAAAACATTGTATCACCCTACGATCGCCAGCACGTCGTCTCGCTTTCATTTGTCAATTCACTTGTGCATGAGTCACTCTCGATCGATGCTCTAATCTATCGATTGACCTAGTCTTATCGTAGTCCATCAAGTATCCGCATGTTTTCCAGATACGGAAAAACCTATCTACATCGTGGAAAGTCCGTTCCATTCTTGTCGCATGAAATATAATTCGATTACCTCCAAAAATTCCCGCAGAAAACTTCGATACTCCCCCGTTTACTACAAAATTGCATCGATATCCCCAAAAGTTTGACTGGTAAAAGGAGACCATCAAGGCGTGGTCTCCTCGATTGCCGCAACACCGAAAACAAATAAAAAACGAAAATGGATGTGTGATTGTTACTTTTGCAAGCAATGGTGTATTATTATAATAGTTGCGCAACTCGAATTTCATGAAGAAGTCGCGACGATCCTGATGTCCAAAAGTGGTCAATTGACAAAAATTTCAATCAACAATTACTTCTACATTCTAGGAATCGGAATTTCTATCCAAAATATTGCAATCGTCATCAGATTTGTTCCGTTTTCATTAGAATTCCATAATTTTTTTATTACTTCCACAATTATTCAATAAAAGAGATATTCATAAAAAGAAGATCTTCATTTGTCATAATTGCATTTTCATTTTTCCATACGGAGAGAAACTTTCTAGAAAAATTCTAGTACGAGTACTGGAAAAAATCACAACCCACCGACTGTGAAAAATTCTAGTGCTGCCAAGGTAAAATTTCTTGGTATTTCTGGTAAAATTTCAGGGGATTTCTGTGAAATTTTCACAGAAATACGGGGAAAAGTTCACGTTTTCCCCAATAAAATTTCTAGTGTCGGCACTGGAATTTTTTCCTGGCCGTCACTTTGCTCCTCTGTTCCCGTGCTAGCACTAGAATTTTTCTAAAAAATTCTCTCCGTACATACATATGCTCGCTAAATAGCCCAGAATTTTGCTGAAAAAAATAGAATCCGGTTGTAGGGGACGGTGGGGCAAAATGGGCCCTTCGGACTTTTCTTTCAATGTTCATAATTCACTCTAAGTTCACCGGAATAAGCAAAAATACTACGTTCTGAAAAAAAAACAAATCGATTTTATAAACAATTCAATAAGTAATTAACATTTCAGGAAAAATCAAGTGGCAGTCGACTCCTGGCGGCCATATTTTTTCCCTATTGACAAAGCCTCAGGGGATTCATTATCGTTTGAAATTTAGTTCAGTTAAAACATTAATTAACCCCTGTGTCACACGATCACGGGAACATCGTCGCCCCGATAACCCTCCTGCCGTTACATAATGTTTTCACTCTATCCCACTAAAGTCGTCTAAATTCTAAAAATAAAAGGTTTCTAAAAAAAAAAATGTGAATATTTTTTGAAAAATCATTTATTCATTTGCCGTGAAAAATTTTGCGGAATAAATATTAATAATGGCAGTCGCAGAGGTAGTTAGAATCAGTGGAGGTAAGCTGGAGCGGCGGCATATGCGGCGTGAACAGGTGCAGCGGCGTATGCAGCGGGCGCTGAGTACGCAATGTGTCCTGGTGCGTATCCAAGGGGTGCAGCAACCTTGGCGTATGCAGCGGGTGCAGCGTATGCCGCGTGTGCAGCGTATGCCGCGGGTGCAGCGTATGCCGCGGGTGCAGCGTATGCCGCGGGTGCAGCGTATGTCGCGTGTGCAGCGTATGCCGCTGGTGCAGCATAGGCAAGGGGTGCAGCGTATTTGGCGACTGGAGCGGCGACGGCAATAGGTGCATGAGCAATTTTGGCATAAGCCGGCTGCGCAAGGGCAATTGGCGCAGCAGCTTTGACGGCGAGAGGAGCAACGGCTTTCACAGCGACTGCGGCTGGCTCTTTCCGGACAACAGCGTTGAATCCATTGATGGGATCGGCGGTGTAGTCGACTGTGCGACGAGTTCCGTCGGCCTCCAGGAGGGAGTAGCTGCCCTGGACGAGATCGCCGTCGCGAGTCTCGTGCTGATTCTTGAAGTCACCGGTCAGCGAGTCCTGGACGTCGTAGGCGTAGCTGTACTGCGGGTGGGGATCGTAATCGGCGTCGACGGTTTTCGTGAGCAGTGGGGCAGCGGCGACTTTGGCTATCGGCGCCGCTGCGTAGGCCAGCGGCGCTGCTGGAATAAATCCCGCGTTGGCTACTGCCATCAAGGCGAAGAGGGTGACGAACTGCAAATGCAATAATGGGAAATCAAGTTGAAATGAGAAAAATTAATACAATTGGAGGATACGAGGATGCCAATTTAAGAATTACAGGGCTTTTATTTTTAACTTGGCCTTCAGTAGAGATCATTAAAAATTACAACTTTTTCTCTGATTCTCGTAGAAATTTCACTGGGGTCCAGCACTTTTCGCCTTTAGATTTCAGTACGAGGGAGTAATGAAATCCAGAGACTGTTACTGGAAACCAGGGACTTTATTTCTCGGGGAATAGGAATTGAAAATGTGCGAGAGCAAACATACCTTGAATGCCATGGTTGAATAGATTTTGTTGGATTCAGTGTGAATCAACTTGGTTTTGTGATGTCCTCTGGTGACTTCGCACTGCCTTTTATACTCAAACGAAACTGTTACTGACCACCAGACTACCAACCCCCTCCACTGTTCACCCTCCAGACGCCTCGTAAAGACTTTCCCACAACCGAAAAACGATAGGCGGAAACCGCACTTGAACTTGGCCGGATGCACTGTGGAGGCGACGCTTTTTAACCAGTCACCAGCCAATCTCCAATCTACAATCTCCAACACGGGGTAAAGGTATCCCTCGAAGGTCGTTTGGGGGATACCTTTTATCGTCGTGACGTTCCAGGGACTTTCATTACACGCCACACATCGAAATTTAGTGCCCGCCCAGTGTCGGGACAATGCATCCCGCCAGCAGACGCCGATACGAACACTTGGGGATATCATTTTAAAGGGGGAAGAGACTAGGACAGCAACTTTTAGTGGTTCTGAATTTGTCCTGGATTGTATTTATGGATCAATCATTGTCGGAGGAATGGGGGGGGGGAATCGAGAGTCTCTTGGTGATAGCCGGAGGAATGGGTTGTTTGAATCAAATAAATTTTTATTTGCGTCTTTATTCCCAGCGAATGAACAGTTTTTTTAACGTGAACAAATGTTTTCTTGATCTGAATGACGAGTCAATTTTAAAACGGGCTGGGAAAAGTTTATGATTAAAAGTCCCGCTGCATTTTTTTGAAATTTTTATCACATCACAGTTCCACTGCAATTTCAAAGAAATTTAATCATTGAAAATTCGAAATTTTATTTAAAAAATCTAGTGAAACTGTCAATTTCAGTTAAATTATTCGAAATGAGTAAATTATTATTGACAAATGGGTTGTTTGAGTTTAATTAACTTTATTTAAATCAAATAAATTTTTATTTTCGCTTTTATTCGCTTTAAATGGAGTTGTTTTCACCTTAAACAAATGGTTCTTTGATTTAAATAACGACGTGAAAAAATTAAGCACTGATTCTCACAAATTTATTCCTAAAATTACCAGTGTAATTGTTGGAAATTTTCATCACATTATAGTTCCACTGAAATTAATGAAAAAAATGATGAAAACTTCGAATTTCAATTCAATTATTTCATAAGAATTAATAGAAATGATTAAAAGTGTCGAATAAAATTGCGAGTTGGGGAATTCTCCTCTTCCTAGTGCAAAAAAATAGACATTTCATTCAATTTCCAGTGAAATTTGAAATTGAATTATTATTCTCCCTTCAAACAAAAATAAATCTCAACTGTTAATGAAATTTAATTTTTTAAGAAATAAAAACGTGTTTAGAAAAAAAAAAAAACAAATTCATTAACATCTAATAATTGTAATAATTTTTTAACTGGATTAAAGAAAAATAATTGTCGATGTTCTAAAATTAAAACATTTCCAGTGGAATGAATCCACGAATTTGTCTATTTCCACTGAAAATATTGTTGGAATGAAAAAATGAATGGAAAAATTTCAAATGAAGACTTGTACTTGATTCAAAAGCCTCATTTCTCCGGGTGCGCCTTGACTGGGTCATTACACATTCTTGCCAGCTATTCACTGTAATCTGAGGAAGCATCAACTCGGGGTAAAAACCACGACGATTGATATCAATTAGTGTCTATTCGTTCACAGCATATATCGTTGACTTCATTTATCTCATTTGGAGAATGCCAATTAGCATTACCACGTATGAATCGTGAGGGCAGCCTTGTTGTCCAGAATTCCCGATGGCCATGAAGGTGTACATGGACCATTGCGATGCCGGATCCTTACCGGCTAAGGAAAGGGGAGCCAACTTTTTATCTCACATTATTTTTATTTTTCGTCACAAGGGGAGAATAAAGTATCAGCCAGACGTGATTTTACGTATCGACAGGTTTTAATGAAACGGATAACAAAATAAAGGATAGTAAAAATAAATCAAGTAATCTCTTTGGGAGAATAAATTGAACGTCAACAATCACCGTCGTAATTTTATGTTTCTAAAAGGAATTTAAATCACTAGCACCTGAACATTGAATAATTAAGCGAAGAATGTCGAGTTGGAGAATTCTAAGCCTTGACATGTCAACGATAGCGGAATTCCTTCTAATTTAATTAATTCGGTGTTAATAAGTAGTTGGAAATGATTCTATCCATTGAAATTTGGATATTGCGTGGACAGAGTTGAGGAAAGGGAAACCAACTTTTTAGTTTTTTGTCACAAGGGGAGAATAAAGTATCAGCCAGACGTGATTTTATGTATCGACAGATTTTAATGAAACGGATAACAAAATAAAGGATAGTAAAAATAAATCAAGTAATCTCTTTGGGAGAATAAATTGAACGTAAACAATCACCATCGTAACTTTATGTTTCTAAAAGGAGGGATTCAAATAACTAGCACTTAAACATTGAATAATTAAGCGAAGAATGTCGAGTTGGAGAATTCTAGGCCTTGACATGTCAACGATAGTGGAATTGCTTCTAATTTAATTAATTGACCGTTGGGATATCCGAGTGTCTTTTACAGTTTGCTAGAGACCACAAACTGTAAGACAGTTTTAGCCATTTTCAATCATCAGATATGTCAATTAAAATTGTTTTAAAAATCATGAATATTCAGCTTCAATCAAATTACATTTTATTCAGAATTATTATTTTAAAAAAAATTCGTTGTTTGTAAATAAATAATTACAATTATTTAAACTTTCGGAAACCTCATTTACCTAGGCATGAAATCCATTTCTGGTAAAATTCTGAATATTAATAAATTTGTTACGATTCCGAATAAATGATTTTTATGGTGGAAAATTGATTGTTTATAAATTATTCCTCAATCTTCTAAAAGTACACTCTTTGAATGAGAGCTCTGATGTTTGACAACAAAAAGAGAAAAGCATTTCACTGGAGAAAAAATATACAAAGTTGAGGAAAGAGAAGCCAACTTTTTCATTTTTTGTTGCAAATGGAGAATAAAGCATCAGCCGACGTGATTTTACATATCGAAAGATTTTAATGAAACGGATAACGAGGGATAATAAGATAAAATAATCTGAATTAATTGGGCGTCAATAAGTGGCTGGACGTAATTCAATCAATTGAAATTTGAATGCTGCGTGGACAGAGTTGAAGTGCAAGTTGGGTAATTCGAGGCAAGGACGCGGCCTAGTCCGGTCATGCTGTTACACTTTATCAGAGCACGTGACACACATGTGGTCCTGGTGTCGTTTCGGAAGCGAATAACACGTTCTTCAAGGGTATTGGGCGTTGGTCCCTCTATTGTCCTTAAGACTCAACGATTACGTCAGACTTACCCTCTTCGGGTGGACTGTATTCGCCATGTTCCTGAGGTTCTTAAGGTTCAGGTATTCACCATGCGTATATAAAGTGAAAATTCATTCGACAATCAACATCACTTGCTTGATCTCATCGCGAGTGAGTAATGTTAAATTCATTGTGGCGCAGGCAGAGCCAGCGCTTTGATCAGACGTACGTGAATTATCTCTCCTTGTCCTAGCTGAAGCATGACTTTCACCCCCACGATTGCACGGAACCCAAAATTGAGGTGAAATTGATGGAAAAACGAACATTTTTTGGACGACATTTTTTTGCACTGAATTTTTCGCATCTTTTCGTTAAAAAAATCGAACAAAAAAAATTGAAAAATTTGAGTCGAAGAATTTCTATAGAAAACATCAATAGAGTTTGATTTTTCTATACAACTTATTCTATTCCGATATTCTGTACAAAAATCCTTTGACTCCAGTTTTTCAACTTTTTTTGTTGGACTCTTTTAACCAAAAAAGAAGAAAAATCGAATGGAAAAAACTTGAAAAATTCATGTCGAGGGATATCTCTAAAAAATATCTCAACAGGAAAAGTTGTATCAAAAGATGAATCAGTACTGACGTTACCTATAAAATGATTTCTATTGGACATTTTCCAAAAAAACTCGCAGTAAAGTTGCAGAATTCTTCAATGGAATCGATCAAAAACTAATAGAACTGTCAATAGACCTTTCTACCGAATTTGCTAGGTTTTTCTACAAATTTTTTTCTTGCGTGAAAGCCTGATTTTCACCCCTGCGATTACGTAAAATTGAAAATTGAGCTGAATGTTCTGGAAAAACGCGAGGATGACGAAAATTTTTGGTTCAATTACAGGGATTTGGCCCTGTAATTCCTCTCCCCATCAGTTGTGGACGAAGATAATTATGGATTAGGTCCTGAAATAATAATGGTGATCCAGACAAACACGTCTAGACGTACAATCACTCGGGTATTTTCTCAACGATTATAAGTTTTTGGCACTAGTGGCCTTCAGGATTTCGCTCAACATTCCAGAGTACTTTCTCCCAATGTCTCGAACAGTTACCTAATTACAACCACGCCTCGCCACGCACCATATAAAATATCAGGGTGCATGTACATAACATCTGAGGCGTGTTACGTCTTTCATACCGCCAAGTCCAGGACCTTGATCCACTTATGACGCTTCCTTCGACAAATGTGGAGAATGGGATGCAATTTGGGGAGCAATAATGACTACAATTTCACATGAATAGTCTTTATTACTTGAATTTTGGTAATTCTCTTATAAAAATAAATGTTGACTACTTTGTAACTTTAAAGGCGTATTTATCACGTTATGGTCCAGCATTTATTTTCCAAATTATGGAACATGTGGACCGCCTTCCATGACTGGTTAACATTTAATCTATCCATTAAACTCCCAGTGCTTTATCAACATTTTTCTCTGTCTTTGTAACAATAGCGTTGAGATGGTTGGTGAAAATACGCCAACATTGAACTTAAACATTGAACACTGAACTTAAACTCTGAATTGATACACAAAAATATTAAATATTATAATGTACTATTAAAAATTAAATATTATGAAATACTGTTTTCATAAGGTCTTTTGGAACGAGAGAAAACAACATTTGGGATCCCCTGAGAACTAGATAATTTTCCGGCCAAACTAACGGTATTCCAGGAGCTTCGATTTGCTGAGCAATAAAGCATGCGATAAACGAAAAACATCAATGAACAATGACATCAAAAAAGGATTAGGGGCTGGACATTTTTAATAGGGTACTTCACCCTAGAGCCTTGAGCTGACGAATCATAAAGTAATCACTGGATTTGAGAGCAAGAATTATGACACTTCCTTCGACAAATGTGTGGAATACAATGCAGTTGACTGTAATTCCACGTGAATGGTCTTTATTACTTAAATTTTGGTAATCCTCTTATAAAAATAAATGTTGACTACGTTTTAACTTCAAAGGCGTATTCATCCAGTTATGATTCTGCGTTATTTTTCCAATTCAATCTAATCCCCAATCCTCAAGGATTTTCGCAAATTTCACAACCACAATTGTCCTGACTTTTGAGAAGAATTTACCCTCAACATTTTTGTCTTTACAGCAATAACGTTGAGGTAACTGGTGAAAATACGCCAACATTGAACAAACTTAGACTCTGAACCGATACACGTAAATATTAAATATCATTAAATACTGTTTTCATAAGGCCTTTTAGAACGAGAAAGACAAAAACATTTAGGATTCCCTCAGAACTCATCTATCCTCGATTTGTTCAACAATAAAGCGTACAATAAACAAAAAAAAATGAATGGATAATCCCGAAAAAAGTATGAGGGACTTGAAACGTACGTAAGGCCTTTTAGAACGACAAAAAAACAGAATTTGGGATCCCCTCAAAATTCACCGACCTAGCAAAATAATGGTACAACCACATTGGGGCTTCGATTTGTCGACCAACAAGTACACGACGAGCGAAAAAACATGAATAAAGAAGAACGAAAAAAAAAGTGAGCGAAACTTCAAGGGACTTGGCTTCACTTCACTGGCCTTCCTGTGTCTGTCGACGTTCTGGTGCCTCGAGCTGATGAATCGTCAAGTAATCACTGGCTTTGACGATGGATGCATCCAGCGGTGTGAAGAAACCAAACTGGCTCTGTGGATGATTGCGAGTGTGTTCCAGCAAGAAAGCCATGATAATCCGACGATTGACTTTGTCCATGAATACGTCGAACTCATCAAGGAAGTAGAATGGAAGAGCAGTGCACTCCCACAGAGCAAGAACGAAGGAGACAGTGGCATAGGAGCGCTCCCCACCAGACAGTGTCATGGTGTCATTTTGGTCTCGTCCAGTGGTGTTCTGAGGGATGACATCGAGCTCGAGAGTTTTATTGGCATAATTAATCGTCAAAGATCCTCTGTAGCCCCTGACTGTGAGAGCTTTGCTGAAGGCATCCTCGACTTTGCTCCCCATTTCAGTTCTCATGTCCTTGTACTCCTTCCTCCTATTCTCAACTCTCTGCAGATGTTGTTCATTAGTCTCCACCAGGGCAGTGAGAACCTCCTGCACCTCCAGATATTTGGTCTTCTTGCTCTCCAATTGCTCGTAAAGTTCATCCCTGGAGCCATACTTCTTCTCCACCGATGCAATTCTCAGCTTCACAGCCTTGACCTTCTCGTTGATCACCTCCTCAGAAAGTTTGGTCTCGATCCTCCTCGAGTGCTGTTCAGCCTCATCGAGATAGACTTGAAGAGTTCGCTTCTGAATATCAGCCTCAGCAACGGCCTTCTGAAGATCGTGACGAGCAGTGAGAATCCTCTTGTCAGCCTCCTTCATCTGAATCTGACACTGCCTCTTCTCCTCCTCCAGCTTTCGTATCTGTGTCTTCAGGGGATTTATCAGCTCGTCAACCCCATTGGCCTTCTCACGACAACGTTTAAATTCAGCGTCGATCTCGTTGAACTGCTGCTGCAACTTCCTCACCTCGTCACTGATGCGTTGCTCCACGTTTCTCAATTGCTCGAGTTCCTTCTCCTTGTCGGATCTCAGAGTGAGAAAATGGGGACGATTGTCTGCACTAGCGTCCTCCTTATCCTTCAATTTGTCCCTGAGCTCATCCGCCGTGTCACTCAATCTATTCTTCATTCCACGAAGCTGCGCTATTTTCTTCATCAAATCATTAGTCATAACAGCACTACGAGAGACTGCTTGACGAACTATATTCAACTGCTTCCTCGACTCCACCAACTCAGGCTCGATCTCTCTAATCTGCATCTTAAGACTCTGAATTAATTGAGTCACGGACTCTTCAAGATACCTTGGAGTTGGAACTGAGCCACCATAAGTCCTGAAGTCTGGATCAGGATAGAATGTGTCACCACTTCTGGTGAACGCCATTCTGCAATTTTGAGGGACATTCTCGCTGTACTGCAAGAGTGCAATAGCTTCTTCAGTCGTTGGAATCAGGAGAATCGACTCTGGACCTCGTTGATCGATCAGACAATTGGCAATCACTGGATCTGCCACCTCCATGACTTCAAACATGTTAGGATACTTCTCAGTTCGCGTTGAATTCTCACGAACATCGTGAGTTCTATCAAGGAATTTACTGCAGATTATCTCAGGCCCCCTCTGCCTACCATAAATCTCCTGAATAATCTTTCCAAGTAGCTGAGCATCTTTATTGTTATCAACGCAGAATGCACTGATAGCACTACCAATGTGTCTCTCGACAATTGGCGACCAAGTTTTGTCCTTCATTTTAATATATGCACCAACGGGTCCACGTGGTTTGTGTTTGAAACGTCTGTGCATATCTTCCTCATTGATTCGTTTCACAAGTCTCTCTATGTTCGAGCCATATCGGCCCAATGAATTATTCGAAGCGGAGGAAAATGTTTGAAGTTCGTTCGTCAATTGCTTTAATTTCGCCTCTTTACACCTCACATCTTCTGCGCACTCTTTCTCCTCCTTCTGCAATCGTACTTTATCAGAATCATTGTGCATTTGGTCGACCTGAGCGGTGCTGATCCTCTGTTGAACCTCACGCAACTCCTCCTCAATTGTGATCAGACGTTGCTCCAGCTGAGCTATCTCATCGTGTGCCTGACTACTCACTGAATCCAGCCTCACTATTTCTCGATTCACTTCCTCAAGTTCACCCTGAGTCTTATTGATTGCTCTCTTGTTATCCCTCAGTTCTCTCTGCTTAGCCGTCAACTCGTCCTTCTTCGCCTGCGATTTATTTCTTATTGCATCATTTGCTGCCTCACACTCTGCTGCCTCCTTCTCAGACTCTTTTATGCGCTCTGAAATCTCTGCAATGGAGGCATCGATCTCCTCAGTTTTTCCACTGTAATTCTGATCACTACTGACTACCAGACTCTCAACAGTCTTTTCTCCTTTTTTAACAGCTCTTTCAGCTGCACTGAGACGTGCCTCCTGGGCTATCACACGTGCCCAACGAGCCTCACACTCCAGCTCATGACACTTTTTTCTCTCAGACTCCAGGTTATCTATTGCCTTGATCTTCCCTTCAATCTCGTCGATCTCTTTCTTGTCCCTGTGCAGTTCTCTCTGGGTGTCTCGCATCTGTGTCTGGGTTTCTTTGCTGATCTGCAGGGCCTCTTTGTAGTTGGCACCGATTGTCTCCAGTTGGGTTGCTTTCATGAAGAGTTCGTACAGCTTTGAAGGCTTTGGTTGAATCAGAAACTCCTTTGCATTCTTCTGAGTCAGTATTGATATGGGATTGTCAACTTGAATGTTGAACGCAGCGGTTATCTTATCGAGATCTGACTTTTTTCTAGATACAATGTGATCACGTTGATTCTTTGTGATTACTGTTGAGGAGGTTTGAGTCACTGTGCGGATCACTTTTATGATGTTACCGTAGACCTCTGGCTCGTAGGCTTTGGCACCCTCGTTTGTCAGCGTTACCTCGATGGTGAATGATGTTTTTCCGTTTTTTATGAAGGCTGGAAATAATAAGGGACATTGTAAAATCCATTGAGTATTTTGAGAGAAGTACAATTTTTACTTTTTTTTATTCAATATTTATGACTGAGAGACAAATTCATCAATTTAGCTGATTTGTGAAGGGAAAAGTATACGTCTCAGTGAGAAAAATTCAGTTTTATTGAAAAGTGATTGAGTTATGGAGATGGAAGGATTTGTTAAAAATGGTCCGTGAATTCTAGAAATCGTGGAGTGGCTTCTCATAAATTTCTACCGAAATTGTGGAACAAATGTAGTAAACTTAGCATAAATTTCAAAATTTTAAATAGAGAATTGTAAAAAACATATTATTATTTGTATCCCAAGTAGTACAATTTTTTACTAGTGTTCTGATAGAGAATCTTGGAAGGACAACACATGATTACTCAAATTCAGGGAGAATATCTGCGGCATTGTTACCATTTCCTTAGATATTGATAGCTCAGAATAAATTAATCAATTAAATCCAGTACTCAATTCGTAACCACAGGAAATAAATATACTTTGCAAGGAGAAGAGTCACGTTAAAACTTAAATTTCTTAGTTTAAAAGTTATTGTCTATCGAAGTTTTATCGAAGTTATCAACATGACAACGCAAAATGCACTCAACGATTATCTCTGAGTTTAATGAAAATATGTGGGATAAAAACAAAGATGAAACCTCTTCAATTCCACCCTCATACTTCAAACGTATACTTAGAAGTGAAATAAACTGATATGAAAATATGAAAACAAAGTCTAGTGTATTGGCCACTGTTTCGCTCATCATTTAAACTTTGTAAAAACCGAAGAACCAAAAAAATTACGATCGAAATAACCGATGAACAACTAGAATTCTTTGTCCATTTGTTCGTCTGATTATTCACCATCATTTTTCGTTCCATTGTGCTTTATTTTATTTCATTTTCTTTTCGAGGCTGCAGAAAGTCGAACAATGACCACAACGACGTGAATTCATAATCAAACGTGTCTTTTTATCACTGCTATCAACACGACATCCGCTACCATCTCCTTGAAACTCATCAATTTTCATTATTTGAATAAAATTATCCACTCACATTTGAAAGAATCACCACGTTGAGTTGTGGCTGCTCGTCCCCCCAAGCCAACAGTGATTGCGCTCAAAATCGCACTCTTTCCACTGCCATTTCGCCCGACAATGAAGTTGACATTTTTGTTAAAGTCCATGACCAAATGATCATGACAAAGGAAGTTGCGCAGAATAATCTTCTTGACCCTCCCAGCAGTCTCGTCCTGCGAAAAGCACCGGAAACATCAGTGGACATGTTCTCAAGAAAAATACCCACAGAAAAATCACTACTCAATGTTATCAATTGACACTGACCTGTGACGACACAAATGCTGAATTCTCGTTCTCCTTGAATCGTTTAGTACTTCCAACCTCCTCGTCAAGAGGATGCCGACCCTTACGTTTCTTCTTCTGCGATTGACTCTCCATGATGACTTATACCATCAATATTCCCTCACTTTCGGAATTCTTCACGGCAAGGACAAAGGGATTTGTTTGGAAACCGAGGTTAGATCACGACCATTGCGTGATACATCCCTCTGATTATTCTCAGACTCGATCAATTACACGAAATTGATGGATTACATCGACGAGCGGCTGTTTCTTGCACGTTTGATGAAGCAATTAGCCAGATAAACAAAAGAACTTGTCCTCCAGATCGGCTCCCGCCAGATCCCCGTTTGTTTTTGAGTGCAGATTTCAACTTGTTTCCCCTCTGGCTCTGGCGACCGTTATAAACAGGGACACGCGCAGGCGCCCCAACCCCCAACACTCGAAATCACGGTTCAGACGCACACCGATAGGTCGCGATAGTCCGGGAATTATGAAATTGATTCGCGAATGGGTTTCACGAAAACGGTGAAAAATAAATTCTCGAAAACAAGGAGTTGACGATGTGGTCTGGTCGAGTGTCGACTGGTGAATGAGGATAATTGATGCTGGGTGACCGGTGGAGGATGAGGGGAGGCACTTTAACCAGCGACCGAACCGACTCAGGTAGAGGAAGGTAGGTTTAAGGTCAACCGTAATAAAAATGACAGAATGGATATATTGTAAAAAAGGGGAAAAATCATTCCCATTCTGGGGTTTGTTTTGGATACTCTCGATAGTAAAATGAAGCAGGTATAAGAAAATGAAGGGTGCTGACCACCAGCGAAAAATAATCGGACTCGATGCTGTGAAAATTCCAGGAAGTTGTACAACCAAGGGTTTTAATATTTTCGTTGGGGGCATTCAAGTCTATTCGTTCATTCATGGGAATCATAAAGAAGGGACGAATCCTTCTGAGTTCATTCTTCATATTCTGGATGCACGAGAATAAGTGGCGGATTGGCCGTCGGTGGGGAATGCTAATCCCTGAGGATTAAAAATTCCCCGGGATTGTAATAAAACAGTATATTTGTCGAAAATGTCGGAGCCATAAAAAAGGGACAGATACTAACTCCTTTCTTATGTTCAGTAAAATGAACTGGTTGAGGTATAAGAATATGCAGAGAACATCTGGTAAATTGACCCGGGATTTAAAAATTCCCTGAAATTATGGGAAAGTATTTTTTCATCACGCTGTGACGAAAAGTGAACTTTTCGGTACGCTCCGCGTGCCTAAAAGTCCAATTTCCGCCACATTGTGATGAAAAATATTGTTCGTAACTCGTGAAAAAATGTTTTTTGCACTCGTTACGAAATATACTATTATAAGAGGATATCATTGAGAAGGATTATTTTTTCTTCAAACAGAAATTTGCAATTGAGTTATAATATTCAGCATTGGCTATGAATAGCAATTTCCCTGAAGACTGAAAAATGTTTCCATTTTACGTAATGCCCCATAATAGTGTATTCGAATAATCAGAACTGGAGAGGATAAGCAAAATAACAATGAACGAGGAATTAGTAAATGCATTGTTTAATATCCGACGCGAGAGAAAATGTGACTTCGAGAGACAGTGAAAAATGCACTGAATTGTGGTATCTGAGTTTAATGAAAATATGTTTAATAGATGAGTATCATTTATCAAATTAAGCCTCCAGGAAATTGCCCACAAGTGCATTTCTCTTCGAATCATTGGTCTCCTTTGACTCTTCCTCTGTCTGCTGTAGCTCGTCTATTCCACGTATCCTTATGTTGTGTTTCTCTTTGTATTCGTTTATTTCGATGCCCTTCTTCGCCAACTGATCGTGAAGTGATGCTATTACTTTCGTTAACTAGATGGGATGAGAAGAAATCAAATTAATCAGTACTATGATTTTATTTCATTATTACTTACATCATTGTTTTATTTGTATATATTTTTATATTTTATTAAATATTCAACAGGCAAATAAAAGTCTATTTGTATGAAATATGAAAACGATTTGTTTTTTTTTTCATAAAAATAGCAAAATGTGAGGGAAATTTCTCAAGTAGTTTTAATAGAAGGCCAAAAGAATTCTCAAACGAATGCTGCAGATTTTCTATTGGATTTTTTATACGTGATATGGGGGGAGGAAAAAGGGAATTATTTTCGTTAAATTGTTGAAGCAAAAAAAATATTTTGTAATCACCCAAAATACCCATCAATAATTGAATGTCCAGGATAATGTTTTTATGAGGAAAAATTACCTGCTCCTTATTGGCTACGAGAGTTGGTAGGACCTCCCCGACGACTTGCTCACACAAAATTCCCCCGATCATTCTGTAGCATTTCCTCTTGGGATCCACAGTCTTGAGTGTATCGATGACAATTCTACACCACATTTTTCAATTAATTAACAATTAACATCAAAAGCATTGATGGACACTCAAGAGATTCCAGAAAATCACATGAAAAGTTAGGTTATCTAAATATTTTCATTACTTGTGCTCGTTCAACTCCATTTCCATCTCTGAAAACTTGCTGGCCATTAATCTCTGATCATTTCGGAGAGTCTGGAAAACAGCGAGAATCTCTTCGTTCGCTTTTCCAACCTTTGTTTGAGGTTTTTCAGTTTTTTTATCGCTTGCCATATTTGGAGTTGATTCCTTGTCAGTGACACATATAACCTACACACAATACTCCACTCGCGGTGTGTCCGAAAAGGTTGGGAGCAGAGAGGGGAACCATGCGCCAGAACGCCCACGCATATCTCCAAATTACTACGGGAAAAGAATTTATTTAGTCAATACGATTTTTTCATTCTCCAAACGATGTTCCTCTCCAATTTCTCTTTTCAAATTATGACTATTTACATTTTCAACCTTTTTAACAATATTAATATGTCAGAAGTCAATTTTGACTGTTGGCCAGTTTTCAATGAATATCTCGGAATCTAAGGAAGATAGCAAAATTTTTGTAAAAGCCCTTTCTGTAGAGTGAATTGAAGGCTACAAAAGAAGTTATTACGAAAATTTCGTTATCTCCCCTAGATTCGGAGATATTGTTAAACAAATCTACTGAGGCCTAAATCGACTTGAACTGTTTTTCGCTTCTTTATTGATTTTGTTGGAATTTCCAAAAATTAAATGTAATAAAAAATCTAGTGCATTAGATACAAAATTCTATTCGAATTCTATTGAAACTTCTAGTCATTTTCGCAGATTCTATTGCAAAATTCCACAGCTTCTTCATCTTTTTGAAAAGGCGCATTGAAGAAATACTTATATGCAAATTCCACAGTTCAAATTTCCCAAGTTTCTTTTATGGGATTTTTGAGTGAAAATAAAAAATTGCAACCAGAACAAACTCATTTTCTTCGAACAGCACTCTCCTTCCATTTTTTAAATTTATCCTTTAAATTCCTAAACACAAACGAGGGATTCTGGAAGCAATCATCAGCGAATTTGTATCAAAAAATTTTTATTTACACGATTTCAATGTTTAATGCAATTTCTTAAATTAACACAAGGTACAATTTCATCTTAGATACTATTCAGACTCGTACGTTGATAAAAGTGAGGGGCCAATTCCAACAGCCACTCTGATTTTATGACCGTCAGCTCCCGCATGTAAATTTTGTTAGTCTGTAGAATCTCGCAGAATAGTAACCTGTAAATGAAAGTAGTTTGTTTACTTGATTGCGTTTGAGAAATCCCTCATAGAATTACTAAACATAAACCAGACAGAATCATAATGCAAAACAAAGAGCATCAACATAACATTTACGCAAGATTCTTAACTAAATTTTCGAAATAATCTGATTCGAAATTTTATAACCATTCATGTTTGTATAAAACAATATAAAATTCAGTCAAGAAAAAATGCAACTGGAGGTTCGATGGATTATTATTTTACCAAGGGGAGTATCTAAAATTTATCTCTGGAACAAAAAATTTAACAATCTCAGAGTTGAATCAGTGTCAACTCAAATGAGCCTGCAAGGATAAATAAAAAACGACTAAAAATTATTTTTAAAATAGGTCCACAATTCATCAAAATGGTCAACCTTCCCTCCCACCCTATTTTTTACTATATACCGAACTCATAAACCGCAAAAAATTCCGACACAATTCATGAATGTTCCCTAGAATGTTGTCTAAAAAAACCAATTCAGTAGCGAAGTGGTAAAACGGTTTAAGTCGACTTATCACCCAGTTGAGTTTTTGAGGAATATTTCCGAATCTAAGGGAGATAACGAAATTTTCGTAATTACATTTATTGTAGCTCTCAATCGGCTCTACAAAAAAAGGTTATATCAAAAATTTTGCTATCTCCCTTAGCTTCCGAGATATTCATTAAAAACTGGTCAATATTTTTAAATTGATTTGTACCGTTTCACCACTTCGCTGCTGAATTCATTTGTTTTCATCGAAATGTCGATAAAAATCCCAGAAAAATTCAAAACGATCGACTTCCCGAGGGCACAAACGTCCGGAGGGTTAAAAGTCCTCCCTGACTTGCAAAAGCCTCAACAAATATCTTCACAAAACAAAATATAAATAAGAATATGTAATGCATAATCCAATAACTTCCGAGGCACGTGCGCCCCGATTATCCGCATTCCCCACATACCATTGCGGCTGTTGAAGAGTGTATAAACAGCTGTTGGGATGAATATACAAGTCCTGATTGCCCCTCAATGTTTTGTAAACCCCACTATAATGCAGATATGCAGCATTGGGGAACAATCCCGTTGTTATGCATTTCAAGAGTCGAGTCGTGTCGCCTAGAAAAAAACGATTTTCCTTCAAATTCCATTGGTGCAAAAATAAAAATTATGCAATGAGATTTACGAAGCTCACCCTCGCAGGAATGCAACGGAATGTTCAATGTTTTTATCAGACGTCGCATTTGTGTTCGGATTTCCGAGGCACGTTTCAACGCTTTGGAGTTTAAGAAGTGCTTCTGACACCAGCTGGTCGATTTGTTCTTCTCATATGCTGTGTAAATATTCAACAGCGTTAACAAATCTCCCTCTTCCACTTCAAATTTACGATGAGCGATTCGGGCTCTTATCGACGCCTGTCCTCCACCCGGCCGGATTAAGACATTTTCGACTTGTAGCATGGCTAGAATTGTTGTGATTTCCTCTGAACAATTCATTTCTCCTGGAAATTAAACGTGGAATAATAAAATTTTTATGGAAATCACCTAAATTGCGAATTTCAGAGAAAATTCTATTGAATTTCTATTCAACTTCTATTGAAAATTCTAGTCATTTTTGGTAATTTTTCTGCTGAAGAATTCCGCTGTTTTCCTCCGCATTTTTTGCCGAAAAATGTCCAATAGAGATTATTTTATACGAAAAATCAGTAGAGTGGTGCAACCGGGCCTAGATAAATTATTCTGCTGGGAGTTTGAGAATTCTTCTGCAAAAATTGTCGGAACTTTCTGTTTTTTTCCCCTGTGTAGCGGTTGAAAATACAGCGAAAAATGGATAAACATTGAAATAAAATCGTGAGTGGTATTCATTAATAGTATTACCTGAAGCAATTAGACACCTAGCGAATACTGGCTCCAGTGGCATCTCAGCCATAGTGATTCCCACAGGATTCGTCAATACTCCATTATCATCAATAGCTCCCAGAGCATACAACAGTTCGAAACCGGCTAGTAGGTTTTTACTCGGCGGTACGGATGGAAAATTGAACCGAAGAACATTGTCGATGCCTAGCGCTTTCAACTGAAGGATCGCCGGGGCAAGATCAGATCTCTGCATTTGCGATGGTGTAGCGTCAATCAAATCATCGTACGCTTTTTCCGTGTAAAGTCTATAGAATTTTATTCGAAACAGACGAAAGGAGAATTCAATGATCACACAGCCAACAATTTACCGGTAAATTTCCGGATATTTACTGGTTTTGGGAGGACTTTTAGATGACATTGGTAAAATTTATTCCCTGGGTCAGTGATCATTGGTCGGAAGAATCGTTACTCGGGGGAATATTATGATATTTTGCTGTTACAATGGAAATATTCATTACCTATAGGCTTTTCCCGATTGAACTCGTCCAGCTCTGCCTGCTCTTTGATCCGCTGATGCTTTTGACACTGGTGCCACAATAAGACTATTTGTTTGGGTCTCAACGTCGAACCAGGGGATTTTTGCAAAACCACAATCAATTACTGGAAAAAATTCAGTGTGCAAATGTTAAAAAATTAAATAGGAAATTTTATTGCGACTCTGAGAGTTCTAATTGAATTCTCTTGGAATGTAATTGGAATTCTATTGAAATTTTTATTATTCTTTCGACATATCTTCAGTAGAAGACTGGTTATATTCTTTTATCCTGAATGTAATTTCAATTTTGTCATTTTTATTTAGTTTTGCATCTTCTATTTTTGTAACACGACTATTGTATCGCGCATCGGTTTTCCCCTTGCTGTGGGAGAGTTTTCCTCCTGTTGAGCAGTAAAGAATAATAATATCTTCAGTAGAAAAAATTCAATCTTCTCTTCAAAAATCCTTGGGTTTGAATGTTTTTCGCATCTCACTACAAAATCCAAAAGAAATAAACTCAGCGAATTCACGCCTATGAATTTCCACGTGAAAAATAAAATAAAACTAATTTTATTGTAATTCGTGAATACATGAATATATTCATATTATATTAAAATAACAGCTCACCATAGACAATATTGGAGATGGTAATGGATGTTTCAGCGATATTCGTAGCTACGACAATTTTTCTCGTATCTTTCGGGGCTCTCCAAAATACTTTCAATTGCTCCGCATTGGTTAACGATCCGTACATAGCAAGAGGCATAATTTTTTCTGAAATATTATGAAATCCATCATCAATCAATCAATACCCCATATCGCAGGATTTTCCGCCTCTAACTCCCTGTGAGCTCACGTTTTCCTTCTTTAACGAGTTTTCCATGTTCCTGCAATAGTGATACCGCTCGGTCCACTTCGTCCATGCCAGTTAAAAATGCCAGAATATCCCCGGGCTCCTCATTCTCGTGGATCTTCACAGCTGTATCAACTACTGCTTTCACATAATCAGGAACTGGTTCTGAAAGGAAAAAATCGTCATTTCGTTTTTATCGAGTCATGAACGACGGGATGAGGAAAGTCGAAGAAAACCGTTATTACCCGCCACGTAGAATATATCTACGGGATACAAACGCCCCTCCACACTCAGAATACACGCAGTATCTCTCCCAGCATCCTTGCTTGTATTTCCATTGAAAAAATCCCGAAGTTCTTCAGCATCTACCGTAGCCGATGAAACGATAATCCTCAAGCTTTTACGTTTCTACAAATATGAATTACAGTTCAGGTGATATTCATTTTTTCCGCCACCTCTCTGGTCCTTAGCTGAGTTTTCGAGGAATATCTCCGAATCCAAGGGAGATAACGAAATTTTCGTTATTACCTTTTTTGGAGGGCGAATTGAGGGCTACAAAAAAGGTCATGAAGAAAATTCTGCTATCTCCCTTAGGTTTCGAGATATTCATTGAAAACTGGACAGTAGCCAAAATCGACTTGAACCGTTTTACCGATTCACTACTGAATTCTCCCCACCTTTAGAATTTTCTTCAACAGCCCCATGATTATATCAGTCAGTAACGTTCTCTCGTGAACCTCATCCAGGATAATGACAGAGTATTTAGTTAGCAAGGGATCGCCCATCATCTCTCGCAGGAGAATTCCCTCAGTCATGTACTGATTAAACAGAAACCATCAATTGATTACAAAGATTAAGGAACGAGGAGAGTAGGGGAGGGTGGGGCAAAACGGACACTTCCGACATGTTTTTCCGTCTTCATAACTCATAAAAAATAAATAAATTGATTGACTCTGGGGGGAGAGAGGTGAACTCTTCGCGGAAAAAATTATTCCACTTCATGAACAACTGAATAATATTTTTTCAACATTTGAAAAAAATCTAGTGTCCATTTTGCCCCCTCGTCCCCGACAGTGGGACGAGGGTAGCAACCTTGATTTTTGTGGTGCTGTCGGTGCCGTCATCGAAACGTATGGAGTAACCAACGTCTGTTCCCAATATACACCCCCGTTCATCAGCAACTCGACTGGCGAGAGATGTTGCAGCCACTCTTCTTGGCTCTGTTATTCCAACGATTTTCCCATCTGTACACCACCCTGCCTCCAGTAAATACTACGCGAGGATAAAATATGGAATTGCATAAGAGTGAAAAAAAATATTGATGACAGGGGGGTAATTTACACGTATGAAAATTTAATGAGAAGCCTAAAGCTTTCTTGGAAAGGAATTTTATTGCGTTTCTGTTGGAACTCCAGTGGAATTCAATGAATAATTTATTGGCTTTGTGCCATGCGTTTTTCGATGTGTATTTTTTTTTCTTAAAAAAGTCTCGCTGTTGATTCATTTTTTCTAAATTATTCTATTGGAATTTGTCTTCTGAGATATCACGGGTATGAATTTTATAAGTTTTCTCTACCGGAAAAATTTATTACACATGAAAAATTGAATAGAAGAATCCATTGGGATTCTATGAAAAATCCTATTTATTTTTTGTGTCAATGTATTGAAAATTATGCAAATTTGTCGTGTTTTTCAACACATGATTTTGCAAAAATCGCAAAAGACGCAAAAAAACAGAATTTTTTGACAAAATCTCAGAAGTCCTAGGTTTTTCAATTAAATTTTTTCATACGTAAATTTAAATCGAAAACCTCTCTAGGAAGTAATTACATAAATATTACCCCATCATGAATTCATAGAGAAAATTAAAACAGTTCACTAATTACCCCAAGTCATAAAAAACTACTCGAAGAGCAGAAAGGATTTTTCAATAGAATTCTACAAAAAAAATATCATACATGTATAAATGCATTGAATGGACAAATCAAGAAATCTCAAAGATCATTGTATGGAAAAATTAATTATATATTCAAAAACGAAGATTATATACGTACAAAAACATATTTCTCATTACAGTTAATAATATGTAATTTTTACACAAATATTCTGTACAATGGAAAATTAATAGTATTAAGACACAGTACTATTAGCGTTAATTTCTGAAACAACAAGAGCTCCAACATCCATGATGTACCTACTACTCTGCATATATTGAAACTCGGTATAATAAACTACCACGAATATGAAAATATACCCAATCCACCGGATGGAATGCATGTAAGACCACAAACGGTCGAAAAATACCGCAGCCAACAGATAATCTGTCAATGCATGAGGATTAATGAGTCGCCAAAGTGTCGTGGTAATTAACAACGAATTTTGTCGTAAAACTTGTGTTTGCTTATTGAACAATTCTTGCTGACTTATGGACAAACTGAGATTATCCGATTCAAGAAGATTCTGATAAAGATCAATGTAACGATTCCACAGAGCACTGGATATTATCAATTCCCCGGTAACAAGTAGAATAGTCGGTATAACTCTGATATGACGTATTTTTTTCTTCTGAACAATACACGAACCCACTTGACTACCAGCAACAGGCAATATAGGCTCCAATTTCATGTAACCCGAGTACTTTGGCATATTGTTCTTGAGATAAATAAATATTCCAATCAATAGTGCAGCTGTACCAAGTGTATCACAGATAGCATCAACAAAGTATCCTGTACTACCAACATCGGAATGTTCCCCATAAACATGATGTATCTGTCTAGCAACAAAACCATCCAAATCATCGAGCCATGATCTTACTTGAAATGCCACCACTCCGAGTCTACGATGCGTCAGTGATTTTCTACTGATCAATTGTCCAGCTACAATAGCAACAAACACGTGAGTTATGCTTATCATATTGGGTGACACCCACGTGCTCTGGCTCAATCTCATTAGTTTCTCAGTTAGTCCAGCCAATGGGCCAAGTATATAGAAGTTTATATAATCTAATGTAAGTCCTTTTATCGTAACAACACACAGTGGATCTAAGTCACATGGAATAATGCTTGATACATAGTTGGCTTCACTGGCATTGCTCGTCGCTCGTACACCATAATTTTGCATTCGATAATGCAATCTACGATCCATTACAGCACAGAATAGGATATATATTATCACTGCGGTTAGCCACTGACGTTTTTCCGAGTGTGCGAAACCCATTTTTGTTCGGTGTTTGAAACAATTATTTTCCTCAGATACTCTGTGACACTTGTTCATATTAATCAACTTGTCCATTTCATTACTCTCACTCTTACTCGAACACACTCAACATATGCGATCTTATCTCTTTGAAAAATATTATCAACTGCTAGGGAATAAAAAATTAACGCATTTATCTCGCCCTCGATAGATAGAAGAGTGGCTTTGAATTCTTGATTGATCTTGGGTGAGTAGTCTTGCCTATTCATGTCACTTGGATACTCATGGCAGCAGACTGTTTTTTTTACATTATCTTCTTTTATTTATTGATTCTTTTAGGGAGTAATTACCTGAGGCACCTGAGTGCTCTTTCCACATCCTGTCTCACCGATTAGAACGAGAGATTGATATTTCTCTAAAAGATAAATGATGGTGTTACGGCTTTTGTATATGGGTAAACGCTGACGCTGGAGATCTAGGGCTAGTGATTGATGGGCATTGTAAATAAATTGCGTTGATGAGTGGGCATCGATATCCGGTTTGTCTTCACGCCATGAATCCTCCCCTTTGAATGAATAAATTGTCAAATGTGACACATTTTGTGAGTAATAACCTAAAAACAGTCGTCAACTCACCTGGGGCGATAAATTTCACTTTAGAAAACATTGAGTTGTGGATGGATTGCTGGAGTCGCTGGCTCTCGAGGCATCTACGCGATGTGTGTCGATTAGATAATCGAGTGGATCTGGCACATTACACGTAAATTAAAACGATGGGAACTCTGTGTATTTTTTATTTGGGCTGTTATGATGCCAGCAGCGTGAACCACCGGCAGGGATAAGCACACTCAACGACATTGAAATCAGTGCAAGAGTGGGTGGATTGGTACAGAGGGACTGGCGAGAGAATTTCCCTCCGGGAGATGGCTCGGCCTCGGTTCCCCCACCAACTTCTCTGGTGACGTCTGCTATACACCAGGTGAGGTGAAATAAACCTACTTTAATCGCCGTTACCTCGGCAACCAATGATGCAATTTTGATTAGTCAGGTCTCATTTTGAAGCTTGAAAACGTATCTTTAAAATGAGAAAGAAAATTTTGAATTTCACTCTACCAATCTGGAGTTATTGGTGATTGAATGTGAATGAGGAAAGAGTGGGTTTGGGTTTCAGGGGTGGGGAAGTGAATGTAAATGGGCATTGGTGGAGTGGGAGTATCACGTGTGGGGAAAAGTGGCTTGAGGCCACATTTCTCCAGTTCTACAGCTAAACTCCAGTGACCGATTCGAAAATGTAAAATATTTCGATTCATCTGTGCACTCGAATTTATTATTGGTAAAATAGTGGCAGTCTAGTTAATGATAATAATATAATGCCATGGTGGCGAGGTGATGATTGGGGGGGGGGGTGCCCCTAATTAGTTAATTTTTATAAAGCTGAAAGAGATGGCAGCAGAGCGTCACCCCCTCCATTTGCCAAAGCATTCAACAAAGATAGTCAGATGTATGACGTTTTTGTCTGATCCATTGAAAAGTTGGTGACCAGCTGGTGCCATTAGTTCGCGAATTGGCCGGAAAACTCTCCAATTTCAACAGCTAGATTACAATTTGGCAATTTTGCCGAAAGAATCACAGTGAACTCTCTGTCCTAAACAGCTGTAGCCATCAAACTTCACATAATAACTGGATTCTGCTTCATCATTAGAAGTTGAATATTATCTCAAAAAATTATTTTTTTCGAACAAGAAATCGTGCATAATAAGAATTTCGAAAATTACGAGGGTAAAATGTATCCATCCATTGGAATCGGCAGATCGCTCTTAAAAGTCATTAAACGTAAGAGATAACAGACCACGGGATGTACCTAAAAAATAAATAAATAAATAAATAAGATATTGTGAATTTTATTTCATAAAAATAAAATTCACAATATTTACGGTGAGATGCGTTATTTTGATTTTAGCTCTTCAGAATTTTAGAAATATTTCCGCAATGTCTTCCTTCAATTTTGATACTATATCGGTATCGAGTCCCAATGAGTTTGTGTACAAAGTTCAACTCAACAGACCGAATAAAATGAATGCATTGAATAATGCGATGTGGATGTGAGTATGATTTTATTATGGTTAGAAGATAATGGGAGATTGGACTTTACGTTTTTATTTTTTGCATTCAATCTCACTGTCCTGAAAATTAGTAATGAACTGTCCACGAAATTTAATTTTCATCACGCTGTGCGAAAAAATAACTTTTCTGTACTGCTTCTCACGATTTCTCGTCTGGGAATTGGTATTACATACTTCCCAAACTCGAAAACTTGAAAATCACTACAGAAAAATATTGTTCCTGGGCTGTTGCGATGGGGTTTTTTTACTCGTGTGATTGGCCAGTCCCCGCCTTCGGCTCGGACGCCAACGCCACACGAGTAAAAAACCCCATCACAGCAGCCCGGAAAAATACTATTAAAAAATACTAAAATACTAAACTAAAATACACGCTTCGCGTGCCTAAACGTCCCTTTTCCACACATTGTGATGAAAAATATCGTTCGATACTCGTGGGAAAAGTGTTTTTTGGCTCGTGGGATTCTATCACTCGCCTTCGGCACGTGCTATAAACCTCCCACAAGCCAAAAAACTCTAACGCACTCGTAACGAAATATACCATTTTCCCCCGCAGTGTACGTCTCTTCAATCTTAAAAAACAATAGAAATTCAATAGAACTTCAATAGAATTTTTTCGCCGATTCCCTAGCTTTTTCCGTAAACATTTCGAGTGTTTGATTCCGTGAGCGATTATACATCCCCTCGCCACAACAGAAAGATCATAACGATTAAATCCCCTGCTTCATAGGGAAATCGGCGAATGTTTCAAAATGCTCGATGATTCCGACGATTGTCGAGTGGTCATGCTCACAGGAGCGGGCAAGGCATTCTGCGCAGGACTAGATGTGCAAGAAGCTATAATTTTAGGACAAGAAGTCGCACAACATGAAGATGTTGCGCGCAAGGCTAGACTACTGGAGAAGCGAATAAAACTCTACCAAGATGCATTATTTTCAATCGAAAAAGTATATTGATTACTACAAATAATCTTTTCCCACACCGTTCGCGATCAAAATAGTTATCTCTATTGATAACTATTTTGATAACTATTGATAACTATTTTGAAGTAATTTGCAGTGTCGGAAGCCGGTGATTGCTGCAATACATGGCCTTTGCATAGGTGGTGGCTTCAACATGGTCTGCGGTGCTGACATTCGGTATTGTTCGACCAATGCTTGGTTCACCCTGAAAGAAGTCGATTTGGGAATGGCAGCCGATGTCGGCGCGTTGCAGTGGTTCCCCAAGAACATTGGTTCCTCTAGTTTAGTCAGGGAAATTGCTTTCACCGGCCGGAAAATGCAGGCTGACGAGGCATTACAGTGTGGCTTCGTCAGTAGGCTATTCCAGGATGACGAGAGGTAGCATAATTTTTCCCCTACTGAATGAATTGTGGGATATCTTCAAATTTAATTGAAAGACCTAGTGCTGTTCTCCAAAATGTTATTTAATTTCTATTGAATTTTATGAATAAAATTAATTCCCATGAGTTCGCAGAGAAAATACCAACAGGATTTGTACACTGAAAGAAAAACCAATTCAGTAGCGAAGTGGTAAAAGGAGCCAAGTCAATTTTGACTATTGACCAGTTTTCAATCAATATCTCGGAATCTAAGGGAGGTGGCGAAATTTTCGTAATTGCATTTGTTGTAGCACTCAATCGGCTCCACAAAAAAGGTTATAACAAAAATTTCACTATCTCTTTTAGATTCCGAGATATCAATTGAAAACTGGTCAGTCAAAATTGACTTATCTCCTTTTATCACTTCACTGCTGAATTTTTTTTATCAAAGAAGTCTTGTTTGAGTAAAAAAATTGAAATCTAGCGCTGACCATTTGAAATCTGTCCTGAGATGGGAAAAAACGTGATGAGACAAATAGAAAACGACAAGAAAAAATCCATTGATTAAAAAAAATCTATGAAATATAAATAAACGGAAAAAATAGAATAGAATTGAGGATGAAATTTCAATGGTATTCAATGAAATTTCAATTTCTTGGAGACAGCGCAAGGTTTTCCGATTGAATTTTCTTGAAATGTCAAATCTTTTGTTCACTAGTTTATGGACAGAGACCCTCAAGCTTGCGGAAGAGATCTCCCAGAAAAGTCCAGTTGCAGTGCAGAATACCAAGAAAACATTAGTTTACTCAAGTGATCACACTGTTCAAGAGGGCCTCGATTACGTTGTGAGCATCATCACAATTAGTCCACCTAAAATTGAAGTCAAACTCGTCAACTTGATTTTGTATTTATTTTCAGAGAAATTTGAATCAAGCGATGCTGCAGAGTGAGGACTTCGTGAAGGCTGCTGTCGCGATAGCCAGCAAAGGGGAACGTCCGTCGTTTTCCAAATTGTAAATGGTATCGAGGGAACAGGGGTATATTTTCTCGCGAACTGAAATGGATCGAAAACTGTGCAATATCTAATTCTTTATACATTTGATAATCTTTTTATACAAACACCTACGAAAAAATTCAATAGAAAATCCTAGGGGTGCCTTTAAGAAATTCAATTGAAGTTCTGTCGTAATTCTATTGAAAAATTCTATTTTTTTTTGGACAACTTTTATTGAAGATTGCAATTTTACCCTGTCATTTTGTTTAAGGGATATTTGATAGAAAAAAGTCAATAGAATATGATTTTTCTACAGAAATTCTTGACTACAAATTCTCGAAGAATTTTCCGTAGTATTTTTATTTGTTTCTCATAATAAAAATTAAGAAAAAAACTTGGAAAATTCTTGTTCAAGTGTTCCCATAGAAATAATCCGAATAGACTGAGTTATATGGAATAATCAACATTTATATACTTTTTCTACGAACAAACATCTATTGTAAAAGGCACATAAAAGTTACATAACTTTCAATAAATTAGTGCAAAAACAAATAGAGTTTTTTAATAGGACTCCGATAGAGTTTCTTATAGAAAGCGCAAGGACTTTCTATCAAATTTTTACGTCCATGAAATAATAATACTATCATATCTACCTTATATTTTTTTATACTTGGAAAACTATCAATTAAACTTTGGAGGATATTTTCCTAATCACATCAAGTCTTTGAAGAAGATATTTTTTTTCGGCGCAGCGGCGATTCTCGCAGCCTCTATAGCCTCGTAAATTGAATAAACATTGGCCTCTTTGGGAATTTTGGGCTGGAAAACTCGGACAAGTGGGAGAGGGAAAAGGGACACAAGTTTTAAACTTACTATCAGCAGATTTATGTAATGCTCGTAGTTGATTTTATTAGTTATTGGATCGCACGCCACCGACATCATCTCGTCTATCTCTTCCTTGGTGAATGGCTCACCTATCTCCATCATCGCTTTTTCCATGTCAGCCCGCATTATGTATCCATTATTCTCTGGGTCTAGAAACTGAAAAGCTCGCAAGAGATCTTCTGGGTCCGCCGGCTTGAATCTAAGATATTGAAAAATTGATAGAAATCTGTGAACTTTTCAAAATCGAAATGTTCAATAGAAAATATATCATAGAAAAGACCCGATGGATTTTTATCCATTGAAAAAATTACTGATTCTTTATCTCAGTAGCGAAGTCGTAAAACGGTGCAAGTCAATTTTGACTATTGACCAGTTCTCAATGAATATCTCGGAATCTAAGGGAAATATCAAAATTTTTGTTATAACCGTTTTTGTAGAGCCGATTGAGAGCTACAACAAATGTCATTACGACAATTTCGCTATCTTCCGTAGATTCGGAAATATTTCTGAAACACTCAACTGAGAGATAAGTCCACTTAATGACCCTTTTCGCCAAAATTCACGTTTTTTGAATTTTTCTGGTAAATTGTTGATCGGATTGACCCGAAGAAATATACCGTTTTTGCGTTTTATCATTACTTAATGACTCACGAAATTTCATGATCGTGCAATCATTTTCCTGCGTTTATTTTTAAACTTTTCGAAAATGCACAAAACTTTAGAAAAAATGCAGGAAAATGATTGCACTACCATGAAACTTCGTGAGTCAGTCAATAATGATAAACCGCAAAAATGGTATATTATTTCGCGTCAATTTAATCAATAATTTGCCAGAAAAATGAAAAAAACGTGAATTTTGGCCGAAAGGGTGTAGTACATCCTTAAACCGTTTTACCACTTCGCTACTAATATTAGAAATCTCTGTCCTGAAATTCCTAGAAATGCAATAGAATTTTCTAGAGAGTGCGTTGAGTTTTTAATAAATTCTTTTCCCAATCGCTGTTGATTTACTTTTGCTCGCAAATGGCTTTCGACATGTACTCGACGAATCTCTCCTGCGTCACGCAGTTATTCTCGACGTCCTCTACCTGCACCTGAATTTCCTGCAGTTCAGCTTCACTCATAACGCATCCTACGTATTTCCATTAAAACATTGAATAAATATTCTCCCTTTGCCATAATTCGCGCAACAGTGATTGATTTCATTTACCGAGGGACCTGATGATTGTTCCCAACTCCCTCACATCCACTTCGTGGCTTCTCGCATTGTCAAATACATCAAAGGCATCGGATATTCTCTTTTCGAGGAGTGAAGGCTCGAGTGATCCTGACACTGAATGATCAAACATTATAAGTTGATTAATAAAATTGACTATTGTTTACCGAATAATAGGTAGAGTAGTCTCTTTACGAACTCTTGTGCCAACAGTTTGTGTTCTACTGAGGGAATTATTGTTAAATCAATACATTACCACGCGACGTACGGATCCTCGATTTCTTGGCGAGACGGGGTATTTCCGATGTACTTATACTCATTTTTATATTTTACCTCCCACTAACAATTTCGTAAAAATTTGATCAACAGGGATAAAAAATCAGGATCAGTGATTTCAGCAATTTCATAGAAATAGAAGGAAACAGCAGCAGGAAAGAATGAATCATTCAGATCTACGATCACTCGTACTTAATCTGAATCATCAAGAGGAGAAACGAACCCTACTCCTAGAGAGGAAACATTGCTGAATAAAATTGAAGGAGAAAAAACAATCGAATGGTTTAGAAAATTGTATCCACGCATTTTACTGTCATTCAAATATGTACATCAATAGACAAAATAATTTATTGGGAGAACTAGAAATGGGCGGTTTGGCGATCAATCTCAACGATATCCTCAATTATTTCTTGAACTCGAGTACCAATTTTCTTGGCTATGTCAGCTTTTTCGTTATTTGGCAAATGCAGGTACTTCCAAACCAAGTCACCATCGATTATTCCACGAGCTGGGTTACCCTGCATTCGAACGTGGCTCTTGTAAGTTCTGAAATGGAAAATAGTATTTGTAAGAACATAAATTATAAAAAGCAAAAAAAGAAAAATTTTACGTAGGTTTTTTTATGGCTGAATATGAAAATTGAAACATATTTTTTCTTCTTCATTTTCTTCTTCATGATTAAATTCAATGAAAAATTGAATGAAGAATACTTGATAGAAAAAAGTCGATAGATTTGCTATTAATCTGACGAAGGATATCGTTTTCTTCATTATAGAATCAAAGAAGATTCATCTCCCAGAATAAATTGTATTAAAAAATCAACAACTATTCATTTTTTTCCATTGAATATCTATTGACAAATTTCATCGACAACAAATCAATAGACTTTTTCTATTCAATTTTCCATCTATCAAAAGAAAGTTCCTAAAACAGCCCAGTCAACCATTTCCTACACTAATGAAAATTCAACTGACCTGTAAGCTTTCGGATTCAATCCAGCCATATGAGAGATATGAGTAACCAGAACATTCTGCAGCATAAGAAGTCTCCTGTAGGTTTTCTCAGGTACTGGTAGAATGTAACCAAGGCTCCCATCCAGCGTAGCTGAAAACCATCACAAAAAAGGGAGTGAGACACATCAACACAAATGAAGAAATTCTATAGAAAAAATGAGCGAATTCGCTAGAAAATTCCCTTTTTCCCAAATTTTTTGTTTGACTTTTCTGATAAAAAGAAGAGAAATACAGTGAAAAAACCCGGAAAATTCATGTCGAATTTCCAGACAAAATGTCTCAATAGAAAAAGTAAAGAGTTTTTATTTGCCAGTTTATATAGAAAAATGCGCAGTGAAGCTGTGGAATTTTTCACTAGTATCAGGCAAAAAAAATAGAATTTCAATAAAAATCTATAGAATTTTCTACCGAATTCATATAAAATTTTTTATATGTGGAAATACAAATTCCGTGCTCAACTACTCACCAAACATCGTAACATGTCTCTTATCAGCTCCCGAGAAGCATCTCTTCCCATTCCCAGGATCGCTGACCTTAGCTTTAATCCTGAAGAAAGTATTGACCTTCTGTCCAAGATGAAAATCAGCTTTCCTGATAAGTTTCTGTCCCCCCGAGCTCTCCCTGGACTCAGGCTGGTACATGAACAGTACCAGATTGCTCTCTCCATCAGCGACCAAGAACCCCAGATTGGAGTTATCAATCAAATACTCTATCGTATAGACCTCAGCTGGACGAAAGTCCCTGCTGACAAGCGACAGAGTCCTGTACTCCTCTTGAAAACGCAGTAGACTAATCGATTTGTAGACATCAGCAACAAGAATGAGACTCTTGATGCTGAGCATCTGATGAATATATATCTGCGTATCAATGAAAGCAACCCCGACAAGGTCATTATCCTTGAGTTGCCAGATATAAATTTTCTGACCGACAGCAGAAACCAGAAAACCCGAGACCTGAGTGATTGCTGTAATCGGGCCTTTCTGCTCCTTCGCATAAATCTGCTTGAACCTGTTCTTGGTGAGGGGCTGCCCAGGCTCAGGAACAACCTCAATGATATCAAAAATCATGATTCGTCCTCTACTGGTAATATCCTCCCCATAATTGTAATTAGTCCCAAGAACGATGTACCCCTTGAGCCCCGATCTAGTCCCCTCGTACGCCAACGAAACATTCTTCAGACACGTCACATGCTCCCACTGATCCAAATCAATCCTAGTATTGGGAATGGTCTCCCAGGAAACAGGTGAAAACAGGACAATACTGAACTGCTCCTGCGTGGGATAGAGAAACCTCTCAGGCCTCTCCTCCTCAGTGAACTCTTTGTCCTCCCCATTGAACCTGTAATAACTCTTCAACGGTTCCGAGGTGCTCATAATAACGCAATAAGTCTTACTTTCGACGTGATACGTGACGAAATGTGGTGTGCACCGCAGAGGGACCTTCCTCACAGGCCAAGGAGCATCGTACGACAGATGCGTAGGTACAACACAGATCCTGAGTTCCTCCTTTCGATTGAAGTACAGAAACCCCTGAGGACAATTGACGTTGTTAAAAGGTGTGAAGGAACCGATGGGCCCGTCTATCCCCATGGGATGGGTCCTGAGCTCGCCACGACTGGTCAAGAAAATCCAGTGGGGATAATCTCCACAGATGAAGACCCCGTTGTACCCAGCGATATTGCTGAAGTACCTCATCATGGAGACACGTGTCTGATTCATGTGTGGAGTGTCCTCCTCTTTCGGTTGTGGTCTCGCCTGCCCATAAATGATCCCATGCTCCAGCTTCTTGAGCCTCAGTTTGAGATTTCCCTTTGGATACCTGTAGGCCTGGTAGATCTGCAATTCATTGTCGAGACGTACTAGGAGAATTGGTCTGCTTCCATGATGACCGAGAGCAACCATCAGGATCTCTCGAACCTGCATCTCTGGATTTGGTAATTCAGTGGTCGTGGCCGAGTGGAGGGTCGTTGATTCCATGCTGTCGTGCAGCACATGCTGGCCGAAGCCAAAGTTTCGTATTAAGTACGACAACTTGAGATCAGGAAGGGAGTAGATCTCCAATGTTCCATTGTCACGATAAACCAACAGCCAGTAAGTCGGCTTTATGTCTTGGAGATGCTTCTGCCACCAGGAGTGCTTCTTGGGGGCTTCCTCTGGGGCCCTCGGCTGAGGCTCAACTGGAATAGCTGGCATCTGAAAGGCAGTGCCATCGCCATATAGCAGATCGTCCTCATTGTCAATATTATTAGTTGTTGCCTGCTCGTCCATGTTTTTGTCGTCCTCCAGGGGCTCGTCGTCCGTTTCCTCTGGAATATTACTGACGAAGAGGCCACTGAGATCTCGATAAGCGCAGAGGGTCTCGATCTGCGGACGAAAGAGGAGATTGGCCTGCTGGGCATGCAGCCGAAGGGAGCCACGGGTCTCCTTGAGGGTCAGCAGAACCACCTGGCCATCCTCTGCAAGAATAACCACGTATGGATCCGCACAACTGGCGTAGACAATCGGACAACCTAGATCCATTGGGATATTCTGAATTTGCTCAGAGCCTTGAAGAAGCCTCACGCTTATTTGGGTTATTTGAACGATGAATCGGTTGGCGCCGAGATTTCCAGCGAATATCGTTCTCCCTTGGGTGCCAAAGCCACTGTTCTCGACTTCATTGATCTCCTGCCCCGTCTGCAGGATCATGGTCGAGTCTTCGTGACTGAGAATCAAGAACGCATGATTGGCTTCGTCCCTTCCCTGGGGATCTATTCCCGGTGCGCCGATCACAGTCCACATGTCCTCACACCCAGGAAGCTCGAAAGTCGTGACGATCTGTGGACGAATGGAGCGTTGGAGAACGCAAAGAGCTCCATTCTTCCCATACCCAGAAGTCGTCACGAGCTCCACATCAGGATCAACATTGTGGGAGAACTCCTCCGACAAAAACGCTGGCTCTCCCATTGAGATGTTGCCACAAGGGCCGATATTCAGTAAACTGTCGCACACCTCGAAGATGTACGAAGTTATTTGCATTGAGGTCTGGGTTTCGCTCCCATAGACCTCCAATTCCTCCGAGTCCTTGATCTCGAGGACATCGGAAGCCATCCAGTCCCCGAGATAATCCTGCTTCACCTTCTTCGCGGGTGTTTCCCCTGTGTCATTCCCCAGATCATCCGAAATAATCTGAACATCAGACGATAATTGTCCCTCGTCTGGTTCCTTCTCAGTGAAACGTAGCAGCAGAGAATTGCCCAAACGAGACCCTAGGAAGAGGTAATTCTCCTCACAAAGGCACATGCAGGAAGTGAGGACACTGGCTGCTGCTTTATCAAAGTGAAATCCCCTCACCGACCTCATGCTGTCAGCGAATAGAGACAGCACATAGAGCTCGCCAGTTTTCAACGAAATAACAAGACGGTCTGGGGAGATGAAGGACACCTGGGAACCCTCGAGGCTCATCTTCACGCCTTCTTGGGCTTTCAGAGGGAAATTTGTGCTCGTCTCGGCGAGGCTGTTCAGGGAGACCCCGTAGGGGGGAATACTTTGGTTCAGATAGATCAGGGAATTCACAGCCATTATCAGGGTTCCACCCAGTGGCTTCTTAACCGGGACTGCTTGGTAACAGTCAAATGGCAAGTTCGACACCGACCAGATTATCGGGTGGACCTTCTGCTGGATATTAAGGGATATTGCTACCATCGCACAAGTGTCTTGTCTAACAGCTATACGACCAGCGAACGTCTTCACTGGTTCGTAGAGAATCAACAGGGTGGGCTCGTAGTAGCCGTACAAAAATTGAAGATCAATGATATTATCGATCTTCTCTTCGAGACTCTTCAGGACAATCATGTAGGAGGATAAAATGGGGGTCTTGTTGGATTGGGATTTTGTCATGTCCATGAGATCACTGTCGTCAATCGTGGGGTCTTTTCTGAATGGCAATACAACGAGTTTTCTTCCATAAATTAACATAATAGCACATCTACCTTCTGGATCCACTCGGACTATGGGAATGTGGTGGTGATGGGTCCAACCGTCTCTCATTTCCTCCTCCTCGAAGTAGTGCAGTGAGACTGTTCTCAAGTCGTGGTTCTCCAGGTCGTACTCGACGACCGATAGCTTCGCATCTCGGAAACTCAGGAGCAGGGAGTCCCGTTGGGATCCTATCAGGCTCACTGCCTGCATCGACATTATGTTACCGTGCACTGTGTATTGACTGAGACACTCTAGCTTCATTTTTGGGGGACGTTGGTCTGTGAATTTTTCTTTCCTGGAGGCGTCCACATCCGGGATCAATCGGAATACACGGATTACGTTTGCACCGGCCACTACTAGACATTTTTCACGACGGTTGAAGAAGTAACAGGTTATCGCGTGCTCCACACCCGTGCCTGGGTGGGTATTCTTGCAGACTGAATACATTTTTAGGGGTTTTATCGGGGAACAACACTTTTGGGGTACAGATACATGGGATTAGCACATCTCTGAGAGGTTAGGTTTTTAATTGTTGAGGAAACACTGGAGTTATTGCGTACACTACTTTTTTGGGTGGAGGTGGTTGAATACTGAGGGGGCTCTAACGCATGGAGAGGGATGAATAGTTTATTGTTGTCACATTCACTGCACTTTGGTCATGTAAACAATGGATAAACTGTGCAGCTGACACCGGATGCAACCATCATGCTTTTGTTTGAAACTAGTGGCGCAGTGGGGGAGAGTTGAGTCAAAGGGTTCGCCTTTGAATTGTAATAACTCGAGAACGGCTGAGTGAAATTCCCCAATTGTTCTGTCATTTTAAAGGTAGCTTTTTAGGCTTTAAAATGAGCTCTGATTTATTGAAATCGTATCGTTAGGTCCAGAGATATTTGCGGTTGAAGGTATTTTACTCAAGCATTTCTGCTTTACCGATTGCCGAGCTGCCATTGACTCCACAGTATCTGTTGTATTCCAATCAATGCAATGCTACAGTTTATTCATTACGAAGGCGGCATGCTGTCGGCTACTGTCAGCCAGGCCCTCCCTAAGTAACCATTCTCTCGGGGATAAACATGAATATTCACTTCAGCTTCTGATTGAAAAGAGATAATAAATAAAATTAGTGATTCCATTACGATGACAACACCAGCAGCAAGTGGTCAGAATCTCCTGCGTCCTACGGGATTGCAGTGCAAGGATCTCCACGAGTATTTGAAATCTCTACCATCAGAAGTCTTGGAGAAGTTGTATCACAATCCACCGATATGTCTAGCTGTTTTCCGTGAACTCCCTGTTATCGCCAGGCACTACGTCATGCGCCTGCTCTTTGTGGAGCAGCCAGTCCCCCAGGCAGTCATCGCCTCCTGGTGCTCCAAGCTCCACTCCGAGGAGCATCAACGAGTTGTGCAGGTCCTCAATGAGTTGAATATTTGGAAGGAGGCGTCCATACCTGGGGGCCTGCCAGGCTGGATCCTCAATGCTACATTCAAGAAGAATCTGAAGATCGTTCTGCTCGGGGGTGGAAAACCCTGGACAATGTCCAATCAGTTGGAGACTGATAGCAAACCTAGGGACATCGCTTTTCTGGACTCTTATGCCTTGGAGAGGTGGGAGTGCGTGCTGCATTACATGGTGGGATCTCAGCAGCAAGAGGGTGAGTGATTTTTCATAGAAAAACCTGGAAATTCGGTGGAAACCCTCGGGGGAGTGTGGACATCCTCAGAAAGATATAGGGGAGGGTAGGGTAAATGGACACTTTGGACGGTTTTTTAATTATTCATAACTCAGAAACAAATTATCAATTAAGATCAGTTTAGGCTCTCAACATCTCAACCCGTCATTAACACTAATCCTAGATCATATTGTCTGGCAAGGTTTTAGGTTTGATCAACATAGAAAAAAAAATAATAAAAAATATCACGAACAGAAAATAGCTCAATAGAAGATCTATAGAAAAATCAAATTCTCTTGATTTTTCCAATAGAATCGACCAAAAACTGATCAAAAGTTCAATAGGAATTCAATGCAATCTGCTAGCGAATTCGCTAGGTTTATTTATGAAATTTTTTCGTACGCCTGTAGATGCATAATAGTTGTGGGGATGAATGGACTGGAATATTCTCTTGGTTTCAGGCATCTCAGCAGATGCTGTCAGGATATTGCTTCATGCAGGCCTTATGAAACGAGACGAGGAAGATGGTAGTCCTGTCATCACACAAGCAGGATTCCAGTTTCTTCTTCTAGACACAGCATCCCAAGTAATTTATCATGTCGTTTTCACAGCTGATTCATCCGTTATTTGTTGTTCTATTCCAATGGAATTTTCACTGTTAATTGATTTAGAAGCCAAATGATTCAGAAAAATGTGGAAAATTTTCAGCATTTTCTGGAGAATTTCAGAACTTTATAGAAAATGATAAATTATACATTTTAGAAAATTCAAGAAGGCTTTTCAAGTTTTCTCATTTATTCAAAAATTATGAACATTGTTGGAGTTGAATGAATGGAGTTTGTCTAGTTCAATTTTATTCCAATTCTTGAGGATTTAAAAAAAAATGATGAATACTCTCTCATAAAAGATGAGATTTTTATTACTGAATTTCATTTGATATTTAACAGGTGTGGTACTTCATACTCCAATATCTAGATACGATTCAGGCCAGAAGTCTGGATCTCGTTGAGTGTCTAACATTTCTGTTTCAATTGAACTTCTCCACACTTGGAAAAGATTACAGCACAGAGGGAATGTCAGAAGGATTATTAACATTTCTGCAGCATCTCAGGGAATTTGGACTCGTGTACCAGCGAAAACGAAAGGCGGGCAGGTACGAACATCCGATATATTGTTTAATTCCATTCCTAATTTGTAATTTCCTAATATTTTCGTAGGTTTTATCCAACGAGATTGGCGTTGAACATAGCAACAGGGAAGAATAAACCACTCGTGAGGGATATCGAGAAGGAGGGCTATATAGTTGTAGAAACAAATTACAGAGTCTATGCATACACAAATTCCAATCTTCAAGTTGCATTACTCGGTCTCTTCTGCGAAATGCTGTACAGGTAAAAATATATAACCATTAATTCTCTCTCATACCTTTAAGTCTATCCAGAATGAGTTGGTTAATTCTAATTATTCTTTTACCCAATTGTTTTTTTTTTTCAAATGAAAGTCTTAAGGTCTAGCCAATAAGATTATTAACAAAATAATTTAGAATGCCCTTTAATTGTCTGAAAGCAAAAAAAAGATTGGGTGCGGGAATAATTTTGCTGTGGATAGACTCCACGGTTCCTTAATAATGAAAAATAATAATTGTTTTCTTTTTAGATTTCCAAACTTGGTGGTGTCTATATTGACCAGAGATTCAGTGCGACAGGCCTTGAAGAGTGGAATAACTGCAGCACAAATAGTCGGGTAATTTTTCAGCAATTGTCGATTCGTCTTTTAATTCACGATAAAAAATAAATCAATGAATAATTCTAAATCATCCCAAATAGGTATCTGCAACAGCATGCTCACAGTAAGATGATTGAGGCTGGTCCCCCGACACTGCCCCCAACAATAGTAGATCAAATAAAACTCTGGGAAAATGAGAGAAATCGTTTCTCATTCAGCGAAGGCGTCTTGTACAGTCAGTTCTTGTCCCAAACTGACTTTGTCGTTCTTCGAGATTATGCATTATCTATTGGGGTGCTCATCTGGCAGAGTGACAGGTAAATTTATGCAGAAGTTACCATTATTCATCGACAATTGACAGTAAAAACTAACCATTTTTCTGGTTTACAGAAAACGAACTATGGTTGTTACCAAAGTGGGTCACGACGATGTAAAAAAATTCTGGAAACGCTATTCGAAGGGCTCAAACTGACTGAAATAATGATAAATACCGTATTTTCAAATGTACAGAATAAAAATTTAATCAATAAATTATTTTTCAAGTCGTTCAAGTCGATTTGTAATGGCTGAATTCACCCTCGTATCAGTGCTGTGGAGCCACAGTCTTTATTTTGTAAAATTGAATAGAAAAACTCATGCCATTGAATTTCTATTAGAATTGTATTGAACAATTCTACTGTTTTTTCGCGCTAATTCTTTTAAACACAGTGAACCTTTACCGCCTCATTTTTTGTCAGATATTTGATAGTAGAAAGTGAACAGATTTTTATTTTCTTATAGAAATTTGTGAACATAAATTGTCTAAATCTTTTTCACTATTTTTAATTGTCTCTCATAATAAAATCCCCAAAAAAATCACATCTATAGATTTTTTGCTAAAAAAAGCTATTGAAAAATGTCCGAAAAAATTGCAGAATGCAAATTGCAAATTATTCTAACAGAACTCCAATAGGAATTCTACAAACGTTACTCAAAAGGCTCAAACTGATTGAAACAATGATAAATATCGTATTAGCAAATGTATAGAATAAAAATTTAATAATAAATTATTTTTCAAGTCGATTCGTAGTGGCTAAATTCACCCTCGTGTCAGCGTTGTGGAGCAGCCTTAGGTTTTGGCATTTTGGCAAGTAAACTCTGAATCTCCTTCTTCTCGTCGTAAGTTTTCCACAGTTCGTAGAGGTTTATTATGTGTCGTGCTATCTCCTGGATTTTCTCCATGTCTGCATTAAGTTCAGCGAACCATGACTTCAGATCTTTTTGAAGTATTACACATGCAATTTGCAAACATCCTATGGCTATTTGATATGGGGGATAGAGAAGACAGACATCTGTTCTCAAACTATCGTTGATAATTCTCCAGGCGAGGGTCAGTAACTGATCATCAGGCCCCACGTCCTGGATCAGAGTCAAGAGGGGTCTGTACGGTTGATAAACTATCAAACAGCAGTCCAGATGCTCCAGCAGGTAGAACTCACACTCCAAAATGTGATTTGTTCGGTATGGAAACTCTTGGGCATAAGCATAATTGAATTTGTTCTTAACTACAGTTTGGCAGGTGGTGATCAGACGTGTATTGGAGATGACTCCAAACTCTTCGACTTTAGACGCCAGGAATACAGAAGTGGGTGCCAGGAGCAGAGGATCGATGCATTTTAGACTGTTGCGAGCGTAAAAACGTTTGAAATAAACAGTTGCTGTTGCTATCACCTGTTGCCTCAATTTCAATTGCTCACCCAATACTTGTATCACTGAAAAACAAGTTGCATGTAACAAATTAGGAGCTTTTTAACAGCCCTATTACATACGATGACACGTACAAGAGGAGTTAGAGAATTATGTAAAACATTTTTGACACTTTTGAAAATCAGAAAAAAGTGGACAAATTTTTATTCTTCTAGATCTCATTCTCTGCAAGCTTTTTTTATAAAAATTATTGGGCCTAAACTTTCCAAGTATTTTCCTCTGCATTTTCTGTTGTTTTTAGGGCAAAGTACTTTTAAAACTTGGAAAATTCATACTCAAGAATTTCCCAAGATTTAATCGTAGCCGAATAGCATAAAAAGATAAAAATTCATCAACTAATTTGCATCGAAGATCTGTTGAAAAATCGCCCAGTGAAGTCGCAGAATTTCCAGTGGAAATCGAGGAAAAATAAATGAAGTTATGGATCTTTTGTCAAGAAAAATGTGTCGATATTGAAGGGCACGGAATAATTGAATGTTACACTCACAATTAGCAAAGAAGATGAACAACTTTTGATACTCCTCTTCAGTGAGTATTGAGATGTCGTGTTGGCGTTCTCGAACCAAATCTTGCTTGTCCAGTAGCCACTGCTGGCTGTTGAATCACAATTCCCAAGTATTATCCCCAACGTTTCAAGATTCAATTCAACAATTTAAAAAATGCACGATTATGCGTGGGAAATAAATCATTCTTACTGATGTGAGCTTTGCCAGAAATTCCCAGCCATCCTTCAGAATCGGAAGTCACAGGTTAACCAAACCTCACAGACTCCAGAGACCATTCACAATTCCCTGTAGTAGTTGCAAGGATATCATCTGAAATATGATCCCAAATTGAATGCTCTTGCAATTGTTAAATTTTAGTGTTAAGTGGAGTGTGAAAATCGCTTTATTTTGATCGGTTTGTTTTCGGAGTATGATTATGATTCGTGTCCCCCACTCTTTGTCATCATCCAGAGGTCACGACATGTTTATTTCCCGCGCGCCAACATTCATGTTTGTTTGAGATTTTCTTGATGAAACGAAAAGAAAAAGAGAAAAAAAAACTCAGAAAATTAGAGCGGAAGAAATTCTAGAACAGATCTCAATTCGGGAAAATATCTCAATAGAATAAGTTGTGGAACTCATTGAAATTTTTCTTTTGCAGTTGATGTGCCTTTGTGGATCTTAATTTTGATTGGATGTTGAGCGAAATCGTCTCAAAAGTTTTGAGTTATTTGGATTTCTCATCTTGCGCTGACAAACATTGAAGAAATAAAGTTGTCTCTTGAAAAACCATGTCTCCTCTTCTTGTGAAAACAGAATAACATAACATCGAGAGGAGACTCAGACAAGACCGAAATGAGACATACATTTTTGATAGTGAAACGAGACCGAGACTAGCACGTTACAAAATGAGACGAGACGATGGCATGGCGGCCAATACCGAGACCATACCGAGACGATATTGAAATTTTCATTTTTTTCCGAGACCGAGTCAAGACACGTATGAAAAAATTCCATAGAAAACAGCGAATTCGCTAGAAAATTCTATTGGATTTCTATAGGAATTCTATCGGGCTTCTATAGGATTTCTATTGGAATTCTCTTGAGATATTCTATTTGTTTTTCGTGCTGATTCTAGTGGATATTCGATACGAAAAAGTCATGAGATTTCAAATTTCTGTTTGAATTTTTCTCTTGAGATTTTCCCTACAAGAATGCTTGGGCGTCAATTTTCCAAGTTTTTGTCCACTCGGACTGCAATGCAAACTAAAACAAAATCCAGCGGAGAAAACTTGGCAAATTTGTGCCCAATAAATCTAATGGAAAAAATCTAAGAGAAAACTTCGAACAGAAATTCGAAATCTATTAACTGTTTGTATATAGAATCGGCGCAAAAAACAAATATAATTTTTCAATAGAATTCTAATAAAATTTCCTAGCGAATTCGCTATGTTTTCCATTGAATTTTTTCATGCGTGGACTTCTCAAAATCTCATCTCATCTCGTGCGCAGCCCTAGTATTAATCCTATAGAAATTTGTATACGTGAAATAACATATTGATTCAAATCAACTGACAACAAAAACGTGAAAAATGGACATAATACCAATCATATTGACAGCCGCGCGGAGCGCGCCTTGTATCTCCCAAGTACAAAAACCGCGACGAGCCCTCGGTAATTAAAAACGTAAAAAGAATATTCTGCGGGTGGCGGCAGCTCTATGCATCGAGTTGCACTGAGCACGCGTAGAATGCCTTAGACGCATAGAATCCAATTGGTATGTGCTGTTTGAGTCGCACACTGAAGTGCTGTCGGGCGGGCAGAGAGGGGGCAGCGAGAAAAAGGTACATCCACCGTAGAGATGGCTGCAGAGAGAAAGTATTGGTGGCTGTGCAACCGATGAAGACAAAAGACGTGAAAAGGACAGAGTGAACGCGGTGAAAGATTGAGTTGGAGTTACACCGAGGCAAATCAGCGTGAGCGCCTAGAGGGAGGAGCAGCAGCCAAAGTGCTGTGCTTCCTGTCGTTGGCGTTAGCCTAAAAACCTGAGAATTCAGTTCCCAAAATTAAACGGTTGTAATCAGCGACCGAATGTCTCCTCAATGCGACGAAAATGGTGAAGTGTGGAGTAAAGTGGGTATTGAGTAAGGCCTTGGACATCTCGAATCATGACAGAGGCCTCGGAAGAGTAAGTCCAATTCACTGTAATTAACCACTCACTTGTTTCCATGTTTGTTTCATTTACTTCCGTTCGCTGGACTGATGAAACAGAGCTGTTGCAGTGTCAAATTGTCAAAACGTCCAAGCGTGAGGCAAAAACGATCTCTTTTTCGTACCTATTCTGCATCGTGTTTTATTTTTTCTAACAGCTAGAGAGAGGGATTGCATGTGTCAAATAATGTCTGTATTATTTGAATTTTTTTTCTCAACATCCCAGCCTTGAACATCGTCAAATGGCCAACGGGGGTAACATTACCGATCGTTCTCTCCACGGGTACACCCACACAAAAACATATACACACACATCTATCGGCCATTGCCGACTTATACATGAAAATGTGTCACACACGTTCTCCGGGCATTCATGAAGAGAAGTCATGCGCGGGTGTTAGTGCGTGTATGCACGTTGTCTGTTCATTCATCGAATCGATGTCAATGCGTACGCCTATTTCCATTGTATTCCCGTCAATAATTGTTATGTCAAATGTTTTGGGAATTATTTCAATGGCCGGAGGGTGATTAAGGGCGTGGGAAATTAGCGGTGATTTTTAATTAATACGATGCATCAATGTGTCGAACCGCGAGAATTCTTTGCGCTGTACGCCAACTGACCTGAGTGATCTAATGGAGTGTGCGAGTCCAGGGTATGGGCGTATGAGCCTTCATTATTATTGAATTTTATCATTATTATGAGAATGCCTGGCGTATTGCACGGGCAATGGTAAACCACCAGTGGTTGGATTATTGATTGGCTTTTTGTGATGATTTTAACAGTGGTAATTATCTGGTGAGGGTACGGGCCCAGGTGATGACGAGAGATGACAGCTCTGGGGGATGGGTACCACTCAGTGGTGGAGGACTCGCTAATGTTTCGGTCAGGCGTAGGGCAACATCAGCTGGATCTGGTTGTAGCACTGCTACTGGAACCAGTTGTGCTACAGCTACTGCTAATGCAGCTCCTGGTTCATCGCCCAGTAATAATTCAGCTCCGTTGAGCACTTCACCTCCCAGTGCAGCTAAGAGAAGACACGAGTACCTTATTTATGGAAAACGTATCACTGATCAATCGGTATGGGATTTGTTGAGTTTAGTGTTCATGGGGGAAAAGATTTATGGGAAAAACCCAGGGCTTTCTGCGAAAAATTCTGTTGGAATTCTATTACATTTTTAGTGAATGGATCTAGGGGTTTTTTGTGTCAATTCTATTGAAAATTATGCAAACTTTCCTCGGTCATTTTTTGGTCGACATTTGGCAGAAGAAAGGTAATAGACCTTGATTTATAAATTTTCCAAGATTTTTCTGCAGAATTTTCATTCGTTTCTCATAATAAGATCCAAGAAGAAAAACTTAGAAAGCTCGTGCCTTAGAATTCTTATAAATAAAATTCCAATAGAATAAGTTACACAGAGCAATTAACATCCATCAATTTTTTCTGTAAAAAAAAATGTACTGTGGAACGCACGCAAAATTACGTAATTTCCAATAGAATTGCTGCAAAGAATAAATTGTTCTTTGATAGAATTCTTGTAGAGCTTGAATGAGAATTTAATAGAATTCCTCAGAGAAAGCCCCAGGTTTTCTATAAATTTTTTTCACACGTGAATTGTTCTGTGTAAACACTTAACAACCACGAACTGGCGTTTCTTCTCCGGCAGGTTGTTCTCAGCTGTACAATTAAGAAGGACTTTCAATACAACAAAGTGATGCCGACATTTCATCACTGGCGTACTGGAGAGAAAAAATTTGGACTCACGTTTCAGACTGCTGCTGATGCCAGGGCGTTTGACAAAGGCGTGCGAACAGCAGTCGAGGAGCTTTTAGAAGGTATATTCCACGAATATTTAATAATCTCCATCAACAGAATTTGTCAATGACTGAAGTATTAAAATAACTATTTGCTTTTTTTACAACTGCCATTTTGGATGAATAATTTTGGTGAGACTCATGATAAATATAATTGCTGAGGCATTACACGTACGGAAAAGCGTCGAAAAATCTACCAAATTCACTAGAACATTCTATTGGATTTCTATTCAACTTTCAATCACAGCTCATCTGTGCGTTTTTTTTCAGTAGAAATGTTCGATGAGAAATATTCGATGAAAAAATCAATAGAATGCGATTTTTCTGTACAACTTATTCCATTGTGATATTTTCTATCGAAATTCCTCGACTACACTTTTCCAAATTTTTCTTTGATTAGAAAATTCATGTAGAGAAATTCCTATAAAAAAATGTCTCAATCGAAAAAGTTGTATAGAAAGATGGCATTATACTGATTCTATCAATAAAATAGTTTCTATTGGACATTCTCCATAAAAAACGCGCTGTAAAGCTGCGGAATTCTTCAATAGAATCATCCAAAAAACTAGTCGAATTTTCAATAGAACCTTTCACTCGGTTTTTCTAAAAAAAATTTTCATGCGTGTATCGACATAGTTTAGATAAGAATTTGAATGAACAGTGTGCAATGGCAATTTGGATTTTCTGCTCCTCAGGACTGGCGGATACAACGTTAAATGGACATCCAGACGTCGGTGATGAGAGTGTATTCATGACTGTTAATTTACCAGCGGAGCCACCGGATCCTCGTCAATCGTCTGGATTGGTTCGTGTACCGAATTATCATTCCCAGTGTGGCGATATACCAGATGCCCACAAATCAATTCATTACATTAATAGTGGTCCATCAGCCAAGGTTGTACCGTCACACCATCATCCACTGGAGTCTAGTGGTGATGTGGGCGTTGACAATTGTCCTTATGTGCAGTTGACGACTCTCAATCACGATTATCTGTATCCAGTGATCGATGATCACAAAGGAGCCAATACAACGGAGCGTCGTACATCGAGTGGTTCACTCAAGAAGCCTGATATAATAGTATCACAGCCGGGTAAAAATACAGCTAAAAATCGGGGTAATAATCGATTGAGATGTAAACACTGTCAACAGACTTATGGTGAGCATGATAATCCAAGGGGTGCGTGTGAGTATGCACCTGATTTTATTAGCCGAGGTATAGCAACTGTTTCGTGTCTTCTGTGCGCCAAGTGTATGCTGTATCATTGCATGAGTGATGCTGAGGGTGAAAATTCCCACAATCTTGAGCACAATCCGTGCACATGCAGTACAGAGGATGGTTGTGGTAGACGATGGTTTGGACTTGCATTGTTGTCTCTCATTGTTCCATGTCTATGGTTGTATCCACCACTACGGGCTATTCACTGGTGTGGTATGGCCTGTGGTATATGTGGTGGACGTCATCATCCAATGGAATAACTGGAGGAACCCTTTGATATCTCTGGACCGTTCTCCATTGAGCCACACTATATGGCAGCAATGCCCAGTGGGGCTGTGGCTAATGTTTATGAATGCCACGATCTAAGTATGGGACGGTGTCAGAGATACCAAAGGGGCAGACAGTTGCCGGTACATGCGCTTATTCATCAACGTCACCTGTGATCAAATTTTGCTCCAGGGTACATCAACTTCAGGGGTTCGCTGAAATTTATTCGCTTCTTTCAGTAATTGTCGGTTGATTTAGTTCAGATTTTTCGGGGTCTGGGGAATTAAATGTTCTGGAATGGTTTAGGAATGTTTGGGTGGGGCAGAATCTGCGGGAAAATTCTCTGAGATATTCCGTTTTCGAAAAATTGAAGGGAACAACCTAGTGATTTCTCTGAGGAATTTCAATGAATTTCCACAGGAATTATGTTCAAGTGCTGTTGAAAATTATGTAACTTTACTGTGCCATTTTTTTATAGAATGAAGTCAATGGGTTTTGGTTTTCAGGTAAAAATTCCTGGACATAAATTTTTCAAGTTTTTTTTTCGCTGCTCATGCCCAAGAATTTTTATAGAAAAAATTCCTGCAGAATGTTATGTAGAAAAATCGACATCTATAATCTTCCCTATCAAAAAATATTGATCGTTGAAAAACATGGAAAAGTTGCTTATTTTCACTAGGATTGGAGCGAAAAGAATTTCTTAATAGAATTCTAACAGATCATTGGAGTTTTTCCGGAAAGAACAAGGTCTCCAAATGATTCTGTAACTGTCTAAAAATGTCTAAAACCGTCTAGATTAATTTTCTAGAATAATTCCCGAATTTTTCACCATTTGTCGTCTAAAAGTCGATTCCAACATGAAAAAACATTGTACCGCCATAAGGTGGGCCACCAAGCACTCTATTTTTTAAAAAAGTTGTAATTTCAACGGGAACCACACAAATTCCATTCAACCAAGGGGATATAGAGGGGATTTAAGACAATTAGCGACAACAACGATATGCTCTATGTTGAAGTTTGTGCCTTTCCCATTTGGTTGGGAGGCGAACTAGGAACACGTGGGGGGACTTCGAGTTGAATGAAGCAAGGCCAATTCGATGTTAGGTAATTAAATGGTCCAAGTCGAGTATCAGGTGTGGCTTCTTGACACTGACACAGACCTCGAGGAACTTTTGCCAAATTCAAGGCAGTTAGGATTTTGCGATGAACAGCTGACGAATGCCCACGTGGAGAGGCTAGATAGATTTTGAGGGACACCTGCATGCATTATAAGGTTCACTTATCAATTATTACACATTTGACAAAAAAAATTGAGAAAAACCTAACGCTTTCTCCAAGGAATCCTATATTTTGCCACATATTGAATAGCAGAAAGCATTCTTGAGTCTAAATTTTCTGCGGTATTTTTATCTGTTCCTCACGATAAAATCAAAGCAAAAAAATTGAAAATTTAAGTCCAAGAATTCTACAGAAAAAATCCCAACAGACAAACTAACACCTACAGACTTTTTTCCAATAGAATTGGCGCAGAAGGCGAATAGAATTTCTTAGAGAGAGCGATAATATTTTTCTATTCAATTTTCCCATACTTGTATTTATTTTTCTTGTTATTGATTGTTGACAATCATCCTCATGGCACTCAACGCATCATCATTTTTTTTCTTCAGATTATTTCTCGTCTTATAAATGGATATAAACGTGTATATCATTTCTGGATGTTTCAAAATTTATGTATAGATTAACAAGCAAGAAAAATCAGATTAACTGTTTTCCCATTACAACTTAGAGCATTGTCAGATGTGTGGAAGAATATGTATTTCCCTTTGATTATTGAAAAACCACGAGAAGCAGCAGTTCCGTTCCCCGCTCTGTGTTTCCAGTATTCTAGATAATTCCCTCGAGCTTTCAGTGTATAATTCACGTGCATAACGAAAGAGAAACATGAAAAATTGGAGAGTAATTATAATAGTTCAAACTAAAAACTTAATCTATTCATACGTTTCTCTTTTGTTGTTTTGGCGTACATAAGACATGAAAAAGAGGGATTAAAATTGCACATGACAAATAGAACGAGTGCGAAGGAACAAAAATAATTTTTGCATTTCTTCCATTAATTTATTTCCCGTTTACGATCGCTGTGGGAACACGATTGAGCTTTAATATCGCCCTACTTTGAAATAAAAAAGCATAGAAAATTCAATCACAAGAAACAGAGACGATATTACGGGAGAGGGAAAAAAACATGATCGTTAATTCTAAAAGTGTGTAGCTGAGATATTTTTACTTTTATTGATTTAATTACTAGGTGAGAATAAATAAAAAGCGATGGAAAAATTCCAGGGTAATTGTCGTAGATGAAAATTTAATGCATGCATTAAATGAAAAATTAACGATGAACCACATTTGATCGAGATTGACAAAAATAAAAGAGATACATATTTATTTTATTGGTTGAACGACGGAGCAAGTTATACTTACATTCATCGTAGCACTAACGTATACAAAGAGAGTAAAAAGAAATTAACAATTGCGAATGTAAGTGCAGAGGCTTTTTTAGATTAAAATGGAAATAATAATTAAAAAAAAAGAACGTTAGTGTATTCGATTTTATATTGACTTTTTTACAGTTTTGTATATTCAAAAGGTGTCGGTGTATTCCTGAAGGCTCAGAGGAGTACACTTTGACACCTTTTGCTGTAGGATAGCACGTGTAGTGGTAAAAAGAAAAAAAACGTTACTTTGTACACTCGTATGCGCACTCCCATGCACAACCGATATACAAATTTAGTTGATTAGTCGATGAATAAATATGTGTAAATTCAATGATTCTCTCTGGAAGGAACGAGACATTGAGAAATAGATGGGACAAGATAAATCATTCAAGAGCGATGCAAACACGACATTTTGGGGTTTAATTATAAGTCAAAATATGTGGAATAGTCGAATCATCATGCCAGTGGGATATAGTGCTTCGAGTGTTGTTATTTTCTGATCATAGTCATTAATTCATAAATTTCGAAACGTGCATGCAGTTCTATTATTTTCATCACTCCCAGTCATGTTTTTTTTATTTTTCTAAATTCACTGTGTAATTTTGTAAGCGTTGATGCTTTATTCACGCCACGCAGAGGCGAGGTGATGAGAATTGGTAAAAGAACGTGAATAAATTTCCGATTGTCAGTATCAACTGAATAAAGCGCTTGATTAAGATGCGAGGGGTCTTTGAGATGACAGATAAATCACTTAAGAGATTCAATTTTTCTCAATCATGTAAATATGATGTATTGTTTACTGCCATAACTAACGGTTGGTTTAATTCTTAGAAATACCACGTTTTACCATCCCGAGTTTCACATTTGTACTAATTTTGAGTATTAAATTGTGAAATATATTCGTATGTTGACGATTATTTTCTCAATCGTAAGGGAATGAAGACGAATGCGAATGATAATGAGAGATAAGAATAAAAACACTCATCTTTTAATTTATGAATAATAAGTACAAAAGCTATTTTCCCAATAAGTCCATTTGTGATGACTACCAAATGTGGATACCTGTTTAATCGTCTTGAGTATTCCTAGTGGATTTTAATGTGCAAAATCCCAGATAAAGATTTAACAAAAAACGACAAAAATAACAAAATAAAAGAATGAATAATTAAATATACACGTAAATAAGTTTATGAAGTGGCTAAAGATAATGATATTGGGTGAATGGGGAGCACCGGATGAATATGAAAATGTGATTTGAGCGAATGAATTTTCTTCCTACTAATTTAAATTGCTTCCTGTCAAATGTATGAATGACCATTTAAACATGCGAATGATGAAGATCATAAAACAAGTGTTTTATGATAAACACATGAATGTGTCTATGATTAGTGTAACAATTCACGTAAAATATATTTAATATTACGGCTGGAATGATTGTGAATAATGATGACAATGACGATAAAAACAAATGCTGCTATTATTGATGCAGAAATGTTAATGTAAAAATTAAAAATGGAACAAAGAGTTGATGCAGATATGGTATTCATTGGTGAATACTTATTAATTTTAAACATTATCGTCGAGTTACAAATCTGCCACTGACGATTAATGGAAAATGGTAAAAAGTTGATGATTAATATTATTGATTGAATGAATTTAAGTATAAATATAACTTTTGAATGTGGCAGTGCTGCAGTGTCATGACCTTTCTTGGTGGACCCAAGCTTTCAGGTTATTCTATCCTTAAACGTTAATTGCTGCAAGCCCATTGAATGAAATTTTAATTAAATAAAGGAGAAGGGAGATGAAGAAATACAAACAAATTCATTATATCATAAATGTTTAAATCTTGTATTATTGTAATTAAAGGAGAAACGAAATGCGAAAAATATGTACCATAATCCCAATGTACGAAAAATAAATATATTGTATCATGAAGGATTTTTCGGTAATCGTCAATTTTATTCTTAATTTATGATTAATAACTATAATTATGGGTAGTCTGTACAGGTTTTGGAATCAGGCACACGAAAAAGTTTGTAGAAAAACCTAGGGTTACTCCCTGGAATTATACGGATTTTTTCCATAAAATATTTTCAATGGAAAATTTCTATCGAAAAAAAACAATTTTTTTCAATAGAAATTCAACAGGAATTCAATACAATTTCCGGCGAATGGGCTAGATTTTCCCAACAACTTTTTTCGTACATGATACAATCTAGTATTTCAGTGAGGCGCCGGTTTGTGTCCGTCGACGTAAAAGTTCCTCGTGGCTGTCGGTAATTCCAATTCAATTCCATCCAGCTCTTTCGTTAGTGTTATCTGACAACCTGTGAATAATAGCAGAATAGAGTGCCCAGTGAGAGATGAGAATTATTGAAATGATACCTAATCTCGAGTTCTCCTTGAGAAATGGAGCCAGATCTAACAGATCTTCTTCCTGATCAGTTGCCGTTGGAAGTTTGTCGGCGTAATCGTGGTGAACGTATACGTGACATGTTGTACACGCTAGGGATGCTTCACACGCACCTTCCATGGGGATTCCATACCTATGAGCTAGATACAATGCATTATCGCCGATTTTTCCACGGACACTTATTCTTTTTCCATCTTTGTCGATGAATGTTACGTGGACTCTAAAGAGAAAAAAAATTTACTCCATGCTTTCAGAGATTTAACTCTACATCGCGTGTGAATAATATTTGATAAAAAGGTCTAGATTTTAGTTGGAAAATTCTGTTGGAAATTTTATGTAGAAAAGGCAATAGATGTCAATTTCTCCATATAATTTATTCTGTTGGGAATTTTTCTACAAGAATTCTAGGGCAGGAATGAGAAATAGACAAATACAACGGAAAAATTTATGGAATTTATTCCCAAGAATTTGATAGGAGAAATCCGAAGAGAATAATTCACACAGAAAATTCAAGTTTTTTAATTTATTTTATCAAATATCTTCTGTAAAGAAATAGCTCAAACGTTTTGTGTCACTGATATAGTTGAAAAAATATGGTATTTCATGTAGTTTTATTAAGTCATCATGCACGATGAAATTCCATAGAAAAAGCTAGCAAATTTGCTAGGTATTTCTCTCCAATTTTTTCATACGTGATGATACAAAAAATAAGATACATCTTGACAATCCTATATATGCTATACTATAGCATATATTTTTTTATACATCAAGAAGAAGAAATTTAAAATAAAAAAATTGATAATTTTTTTTTAGAAGATTGAACTTGACTAATATTCCATCTCTTGCTTTCCATCCAAAAAATCATAGTATCCGAACACGCAAAAAGCAATAGAATTTTTCAACAGAATGTTCATTAAATTATTCCCACATAATCTCTTTTACCAATAATACCTACACTTCTTCCTCCGATTTTGGATCTTGAAATTCATATTCTCCATGAAGAACCCCTTGAAAAGTATAAATCAGCTATTCAATACATCAACTAACAACAGCCAACAGTTACATATTTAATACGCATTTCAACAGCGAAGTGGTAAAACGATCTAATTACCTGTTTTATAGCTATCAATTCGCCGTATAAAACCGGTATTAACAAAAACTTTGCTATCTCCCTTAGATTCCGAGATATTTATTGAAAACTGACTAATAGGGTGAACAGGCCAATTGCTGGACGGTTAAAGGAAATCCGAGTATCGTGGCAGTATCTAAAATAAAAGAATCACCTAAATGGGGACATGAAGGCTTCCGTACATTCAAGAACGTTTTAATTAGCGGAAAAAAATTATTTGAAGTGAAAATAACAAAACAAAGAGTAATCAAATTAATAAATAGCCGAATGCAGCAGAAACCCCTAATGTCTGGACGACTGGTCCATATTTTTTTTACTCATTAAATGTCGATCAATAGAAATATCGATCGGGAAATGTCGATCAATAGAAAAAATGATTGATCACATGATCATACACGAGTAATATCCCAGCAAACAGTAGAGGAGGATGGGGTAAAACGGACACTTCAGACTTTTTGTTAATTATTCATAACTCAGAAACAAATTGATCAATTGAGCTCAGTTTAGGCTCGTCACAAAGGAAAAGAATTGTTCCTTGTATTGAAAAAAAAATTAAATTTTATCAACATTCCAACCCTTTATTAAGATTTTTAAAAAAGTCAAAAGTGTCCGTTTTATCCCAACCTCCCCTATGTCGACAATTTGTCAATAAATTGCCGACGTCCTGTTAAATTTGAGATGGCTCTGGCAAATTGTTTTCTGGGATTATTGAAAGGCGAAATAATCAGTACAAGAAATTGACCTGTTTACCCTAGTTAAAGTCCGACTTGAACCCTTTAACCTCTTTGCAACTGATTTCAAAACTATTCCCGCCTTTGAAGTGCCACCGCACGAGCCTCCAATCCCTCGAAAACGGAGTTGACTGCAGTATTTTAATTCCACTTACATTTCGTTGTTTGTAATTGACGAACAATCCCTCTCCTCACATTACTTCCCCTGACCTGATCAGCTCTGCAGACGTATCGCATTATTAAATGTCGCAGAGTGAACGTCATTGCTTTCGCAAATTTATTATTTCAAACTGATAGAGGTTAGCTACCACTCACTCATTTGGCTCATTTGTGAGAGCTCTCTCCTCCCGGTGCTGCTCTCTGCGGCCAAATGCACGAGCATATAACCGGCTAGTTGTGTCAGATGTTACAAACCTCCTGCGTTTATACACGAATGAATAAAAAATCCCAGTGTGTGCTGATTGATCCCAGTCAATGCGTTTGAGTGTCAACAAACGGGCGGTCAGTAAACGAGCAATTGTCACCCTCACCGGCGACTGTCCCCTCGAAAAATCCATCCGACTTCACTGAGTCGAGAATAAAACCTGTTGGTGAAAGTGTTGGCCGCACCAGTGATACAGGAACATTTCGTAATTCGCAAGCTTCATTTGCTTGTTTTGTTTTTGTGTTCAGAGGTGTGAGGAACAAAAACAAGAAAATTCTGGGAATACAAGTGCCGGGGCCTGTGATATCCGTCAAATTCCGAGCATTGCAGGAGGTAAATACCACGTTTGTCATTATTTTTATGAGATTTGGGCAGATTTGGGGTTCAAAGATATGAAGTCAAGTGCATAACCGTAAGCAGAGCTAGGCTGACATACCGCTACACTGATATGGGGCCTCTTCTAGTGATGAAGTCTAAGAAACTCGTTCACGTCAAAATTAACGGGGGTTTTTCATTCATTTTTTTATCTCTCATTTTCACGTTGGTTTGATGTCTGTGATGTTCAGAACTGAGGAACAAATTTATCAACTGCGTTCGGTCTAAGTTCATCACGAAGAGAAACAATTGTCTTTCATGGAAAATTATCCCATCTCATTAAAAATTAGATGAGTATATGTATTCAATTAATTCATTACAGTTAATTATTCAGTAAATTTCAATTATTATTTCTGTCAATGTTTTGAAACCCTCTCCTGATGACTTTACTTCCATTTGTGAATCTCTCCACAGCGAAAATGGAAGCAAAGTTTAGTTGCTTGCTTCTTCATTCAATCCATTATTTAATTATAAATTATTAATTATCATATTTTTTCATTTTTTTGGGGCTTGCAAACTCCACGGATGGGTTGCGAAATTTGCAGAAAGAAATTCAATAAAGCGTTTTTATTGGTGGCCCTGCTGGTTTAGTGAAAACCTGGCTCAAAAAAAAAAAACAATTACGAACAAAAATAGTTCAAAATTATCATTAAAAAATGCGGGAAAAACTCCCTAATTCTATTGCAATATGCGAAATTCGATTTTTACACTTCGGCCTGGCCAGCGTTTAAGACCTAATTTTCCACCTTTTTTCCTAAATTTTGGGATGACAATAAAAAAAAAACACTGCAGAGAAGGTTTGGAAAATGTATGCCCAATGTCTGTAAAAAAACGAAATTGTTTAGTAGAATTCTAATAGAACTCTAACAGAATTCTCACAGAATTCCACCAGAGATTAAATAGAATTTCTTGTAGAATACTAGACTTTCTCAATAAATTTCTGTCTGAACCTCCAATAAAGCTTCTCATCTGAAATTTCCTTCTCTCATTCAGAAAAAGAAAAATGGTTGTGTTGAGCAATTTCTTCGCCCCCCAAGAAGGAATTAGACATGAGGAACAAAACACCACGCTCTACGTGGGCGACAGAGAAATTGGAAAGGGTACACTGTACATAACTGAAAGGTGAATCCAGCTCCTAGATTATCAAATTTAACGATTGCCTTGGTATAAATAATATTGTGTTCCTCCCAGTGTCCTAGTGTGGCTCAACAGCACAACGCAGCAAGGTTTTGCCTTGGAGTATCCAAGTATCTCACTGCATGCCACCTCTCGGGATCAGATGGTGCATCCGCGCCAGTGTCTTTACGTCATGGTTAACACTAAACTTGACCTGCCAGGTACAGCAAATTCATTCAATACAATTTCCTGCTGCTGATCTATCCTATTACAAGACCCATTTTTCAGACGTAGAATTAGATCAAAATGAAGGGAACGACTCCGGGGAAGACGACGATTCCGAAACATCCATCACCGAAATGAGATTCGCTCCAGATAATGTTAATAATCTTGACGCAATGTTTCATGCAATGAATCAATGCCAGGCGCTTCATCCTGATCCTCAAGACAGCTTTTCTGATGGTAATAGTACAAAATATGAAAACGCACGGATGAAAAAATTTATTGAATTAGAATTATTTATGACAATTCTATTGGATTTCTATTGAACTTCTTCGAAATGTTCAATAAAAAATATTCTATGGAAAGTCTATAGAATTCGATTTTTCTATGCAAATTATTCTATCGAGATATTTTCTATAGAAATTCCTCGACTGAAATTTTCCAAGTTGTTTTTATTCTGTTTTTTTTTCATCAAGAGAGTCAAACAAAAAAACTTGGGGACAGAAAATTTGGGCCGAGAAAATTTTACAGAAAATATTTCAATAGAATAAGTTTTATACAAAAATCAAATTCTATCAACTTTTTTTTATAGAATTCAATAGAATCGGCCAAAATCTACTAAAAAGTCCAATAGAAATCCCATAGAATTGTCTAGCGAATTCGTTAGGTTTGTCTATTAAATTTTTTCGTACGTTTCAGAAAATCCAATGTTTTTTTTGCCATGCGATTTTTTATTTAACAAATATGTGACAGAAAAAAATTAATTCCATCTGATTCTCGTTCCAGCTGAAGAAGATATCTACGAGGATGCTGAAGAAGAAGATGATTTCGAATACTACGAAGTTGGAGGTGACGATGCATCTTATATTCTACCATCAGGTAAAAGATAAATCGATCAAGCTTTCATCTATTCCCAATCTTAACGAACAACTAATGAATGGACGTCTTCTAGAGCAAACAATAGGAAATCATAATGGCAATGACGCAGACGAAGCGATGGATGTCGAAGCAGGCCAGTTCGAAGATGCCGAGGAAGACCCCTAAAATGCAAAGAAAAATAAAAAAACAGAGTACAAGGGCTATAATTAATATGCATTTAGGTTCTATTAACACTGTATAATTTCCAACATTGCTGATTAAGAGGAAAAAAAATCAATCACACAATGTATCCTTATTAGCTAACGTCGATGAGTGTATACTGACATACACCCGCCATTCTCGAAGCACTAAAACTTTATTTATATTCATTTTGTACATGGCAATACAATGATTTCCTAGAAATAAACATTAATCATAAAACAATGGAATTGTTTGTACCTGATTTCCATATATTTCAACTGATTTAATTCTCTGTATTTTTTTGTAAAATAGATTTGAAGGTGGAAATAATTGAATATAGCTATTTCTAGTGGATTCATCCTACAAGCATTAATCACAGACTTGTTACTAATTATCTTCAGTTAGTGAAGGAGATTTATGGAGACATTTAATCGTATTTGACTTCGGTGAATTTAACTCTCGTAGAGAAAACATCTTAGAATGTAAATACATACAGGAATAGTTCTCCACGATTTTGTTGGGCCTTGTGATGAGGCGCTTATCAAATGAGTGAGAAATTTAATGATTGCGGTCAACGAAGATTTAAACTTATACGCAGGGTGATCAAGGACTATTAAAGAATCTATGGAAGCTTGTGTAGAATGAAAAAAAAACCCACATAAGAGGAAATTTCATAGAAAAATCTAACGTATTTTCATCTTTCTATACAATTTATTCTGTTGAGATTATTTCTATTAATTCCTCAAGTTCAATTGTTATAAAATAAAAAAATGATGTTTTTATAATGATGCAATAGAACTTTTAAAGAATTCTTCTAGAATGCCACCAGTAATTCAACAGAATTCTTCCGAAAAACCGCTAGGTTCTGCTATGAAATTTGTTCATACGTGTCATAAACGGCAGAGAGAACGAAAAATACGGCAATTCCTCATCGAATTTTCTTGGGTCCAAATATGAGATCGGCATCAGGTGCCCCTTTGGGATGATTATATTTCTGCCTTCTCTCGCGATTAAGATTAACTGTGACTGGTCTCGTTCCCTGATTAATAGTCTCCTGGTAATCCTCCTCCTCTTGTCTCTCAGTGATATTCAACGTCAGCCTCTTGACCCGTTCCTTCTCCTCCTTCTGCTCCTGCTCCCTATTTCGTAGATTCATAGCGAGCTCCGAAGAAACTGGAACCGCGAGATTCTTGTACTGCTGTTTGTTCCCTTTCCTCAGCATGAGAACAAAATCCACAGTAGAATTGTCCGACGGTCCCTCCTGGAGCTGCTCATACGTCTTCTTGGTGCTCTTCACATGAATGGGAACTGAAATATCGACTTGTTGAGGCTTGACATTATCCCGCATTCTGTCCTGAATATTATCAGAGACAATCTTATCGAGTGCAGATAGGAAATCATCGTCCTCAGGACAACTGACGCGTTTGGGTCCTGCTGGCAGTGCAGCATCCAACTCAGCGGCATCCAGAATCACCCCCTCGTTGATACCCTGGGAGAGGCTCTGATCCCCTTGAGTATTCTCCCCAGTTCCGTGATTCTCATCCCTCTCAGGGTCCATGATCCAGTCTTCGTCCGAGTGGGCCTCCGAAACATCCTCCGACTCCTCGAAATGAAGATCACCAATGACAGCAGTTTGCTCTTCATCAGCTTCTAAAATGGTGCCCATATCAGAATCAGACTCCCCTCGTTCGGCATCCCCTCTGTTAACGTCCAACGTTGGATAAAGAGTGTTCTTCAACTCATCAATAGCAGCTTGAGTCTCTTTATAACTCTGGAAGAGTTGGATTTTCGGCCTGAGCATGGCCAGAGTGTCACGATACATGTAATCAATTCCAATTGGAAAGGGATTTTCCGCCGTCCAAATAGGATCAGTGTATTTGAACCAGTAGTAATTCTGAAAGAAGATGAGGAAGTAGTCCAGCTTTTTCTTGCTGGAGCCACCACTGAAGTACTGACCACAGGTCTCCAGCAGTGTGCACACGAGTCTTATGCGAAATAGATGGTCCGGGGGGTCGAGAACACTCGGTGCTGTGTGATCCATGCTCACCCCGAAGGTTATCAAGAGGTAGAGAGTCCTGAATATGTCGCCACTCTCCACCATTCTGTAGTTGTAGAGCTCGCCGAGGTATTTCACCATTGCAATGCGACGTTGATTGTACTTTGGGAGATTGATCTCCATGCATATGCGGATGTCCTCGAGGACACCGTCAACTACGTTGGGACCTATGGCCTCGTAGTGAGCCACCAGTCCAGCCAGAAGACTCCCCACACACCTTGAATAGAAAAAGAAAAATTATGATGAGCAAATGTATGAAGAAAAACGATAAGAGGAGGAGAAGAATAATTCAAACTGAATTGTGATTTATACTTTTATGACAACTACGGTCTGCACGAACGAAATAATTTCATAAAAAAACCCAGCGAATTCGCTAGAGAATTCGATTGGATTTCTATTAGGTTTTGACCGATTATCATTTTTTTTTCAATGGAAATGGTCAATGAACAATATTTTTTGGATAATTTATTCTAGTGTAATTTATTTTAGTGAAACGAGAGGAACAATTAAGTAGAGAAAACTTATAAAATTATTATCTCAATAGAAAAAATTGTATAGAGATGAAATTGTGCAGATTTTTTCTTTAGAATAGTTTTTATTGGAAATTTTCAATAAAAGAATACGCTGTAAAGCTTCAAATTAGACAAAAAATAATAGAATTTTCTACTGAATTCGCAATAAAATTTGTCGCCTATTTTTCTGTTCTTGAACATGAGACATGAAATTAAATCTGCTGTAGACATCAAATATCCTCAGGTTTTTTTCCCAGGTCATTTAATAAAATCATTCTACCTTATATTCAAGTATTTCACGTTGTAGGCAGCTGTAAGACACTTAATCGCATACATCGAGATGTTCTCATTCTCCCAATCGAGTTTCCTCATCCACTTCAGCACTTTATCTGTATTCGTCTTCGACAGATCTTGATACAAAAGCTTCCTTATGAATTCGTGCATGGGGGGACGCTCCTTCCTCGTCACACCCCCAGTAGACTCTGGTGGGTTCACGAAATAATAAGCATTCTCGATGATCGTGACATAACGAGAGTCCAGAGCAGTCACAGCCTTCTTCCTCATCATCTGTTCCAAGTAGACTTTAGTTCTCTGATGAGAATCCGTGGAGCAGAACAGAAACCTACCGCACGTCTCCAGCAAATTGCATGTCATCTCAATATGATGATGAGTGAAATCGTGAAGCAGAACCTTGAGGCAGTAGAGAGCTTCGATCTTGGAGTAAAGTTTGAACTTGACCAGTTCCCCGATGTACCTGACGACCTTGACCTTGGACTCAATGTTAATTTGATCCTTTTTCCTCACGTGATACTTGAAGTCATGTTTGAGCATTGTACACAGTTCATTCCCCACGTCTGGCATCACTGGGTAGAGAATAGCAGCTATTCGAGAGTAAAATGGTAACAGATCCAACCGAATTCGTGAGACACCGAAGAGGGCTTTTATCAGTTTTTTCTTGTTGTGTTTTGTATTTAAGTTTATGAGAAAGTCAACAGCAGCGTTGTCAATCATCTCTCGATTAACACAATTGGGTAGATGAGTTAAGAAGGCATCGAGAAGAATTTTGTTGCTGATATTGGCCACCTGGGGCTCCTCAATCTCAGTCTCTGGCTCCTCCACCTTATCAATCTCTTCAAGCTCATCGAACGTTATTTCTTCGTCGAGGGCTTCTTCAGTGATTGGTGTTTCTGCCTTAGGTACTTCTTTGAGGTAGGAGCCAGGTAGAAAAACCGTGAGATCAGGAAGAACTTCGTAGAATCTCCTGGTCTCCTCGTCCCCCCACATGTCCTCCATCGTGCTGTTCTCCTCCCCCTCACTGATCATCTTCAGGGACTCCTCTGTCTCTGCTTTGACCTCAGTATCGACTGGCAACTCTGGAATGCTCTCGTCCAGGGTCTCAGCGAAATTCTGAACACTCGTTGTTAGACGTTCGTAGGAAACCTGGAGGGCTTCGAACCTCTCTTTTCTCTCTGCACTCAACTCACCCCTTGTCTGGAGAATTTTTCTATTCTGTTTCTCGAACGCTTGCACATCCTTGTGCTCCTTCAACAGGTGCTTGCACAGGGAGTTGTAGTATTCTCGCAGTAATGCTCGAACATTCTGCTGCTTGTCTGGTGACAGAAGTTTGCTCTTTGGTATTGGGATGTTGAGCTTCTCCGACTGCTGACGAACACGTCTTGGTACCAGACCAGCGTAATCCTCGCCACAGTGGCGACAGAAGCTCAGGATTATGCTGGCATTGTTGTGCTCCTCCTTGTCCATGTTTATCAGTACTGTGAGGACTGATCCCAGGAGGGAGAGACCCTGTTTGTGAGTGAAAATACCAGCATTCACCAGTTCAGCGTAGAACCTGTAATAATACTGCATTTGAATCACCATAATTAAAAATGTCCTGCGATGGCGCAAAATGGACACTTTTTAATACCCTCTTATGGATATCCAAGTATATTTTACAGTTTGGCAAAAATTGCATTTTTTCAATTTAATCATCAATCTTTCTCCAAAAGAAAACTGTCCAATTTTTTTCTAACGGTTCAACATCGCATGTTAAACCGTTAACGTTCGGGTCAAATGGGGCTCAATGGAGAAAAAATAGCCAAAGTCCTTAGGCATCCCAAATGTTCTTAAACTTAAGAACGAATTAGTCAATTGAGTTCAGTCCAGACTTATCACAAAGGGGAAGAATGATACTTTCGATAGAATAAAATAATCCCATTGAATAGAAAATTGAATAAAATCCAATACTAATACTAATACGAACCTGAGGTCAACACGAAGTTTACTGGGGTTGGCGATTTTGTCTCCGACTTTGAGGCACAGCACTCTCTGCCAATTCTCAAAGAAATGGCTGGAGAATTCTGCGTACGTCTGGTGGAGGAATGAGCAGGCTTTTATGGCTGGTTGAACGTCTGTCATCTTGAGCTTGGCATCTACCAGGGCAGTGGCTATTTCACTTATGTATTTTGTTAGATTCAAGTTGCTCATGTCTTTTAGGAGCTGGTCCAGCTGGGTTGCACTGAAGGTCTTCAGTTTCTTCACGAGAGTTGTGTTCTTCTTGAGGTTTGAGTCGAGCTTGCTGAAGAACGAGTCTGGGGGCCTCGTTGGATTCAAATTGGCTGAACGGATTTCTTCTTTGGATGCCAATCTCTGCTCGAGTTCTTTGATGTAGTCCATGAGGAATTGTCTGTCCTCTTCGGTTGTGACATCGGGGGGCCTATCAGGTGCTGGGGGATCTTCATCGGTGTCTTTCACGTTTTTGTCCTTTTCAGTCATCTTTATTTATTTTATTAAGTTTATGGATTAACAGCGAGGCTAGAGACTGCTCTCAACTTGTTGAGCTGATCAGCATTGTGTCTTTCCTGGAATATATGAATATAAATTCGTGTTATAGTGATAGAAATGCAGTCGTACTAACAATAAATACGATAACAGTGAGAAAGTAACCTGGCATGGCACGATAGTAATTTAAAAAAAATGAAATGAAATGAAATATCAGAAATGAGGACAAGAATGCAACTATTGGAAAAAACTAACACGTTTAGATTAAATTGATATCAACTCTGAGGTAAAATTTGAAGGAAAAAAAATAAGATAAATCAATAATTTGAAAAACTAAGAGAAATACCAAACATTGTACAAATGTAACGACAGGGTAGATAATTTAATAATAAAATTGAGAACTTTAAACAAAAAAAAGAAATGAAAGAATTGTTTCACTATTTTTCTCATATAATCAAAGACTAACCTAGTTTTTTCACTTTAATTCATTATTAACCTTCGATAAACGACAGATCCAGCTGTTTAATAACCTCTTGCTCCACATAATCAAATACAAATTCGTGTTGTAATAATAGAAATGCAGTGGTACTAACAATAAATACAATGACAATAAGAAAATAACCTGGGGAAACAACGATGGCAGCGCTAAATAGCAAAATAGCTATTTATTTGCGGGCATGTTGCTTTGTTGTTTTCTTTTTTCCCTAAATTACAGTGAAATATACGGAAGCCCCTAGGAACACAACCGACTAAGTGACTCTGCATGTGTGTATCAAGCAGAACACACAGGCCGACATACACTTTCTGTCGGTTTTTTAGGAGAAAATAGATGGGTTGCCGTACAACTGCCGGATAATGACTGCAGAATACCGTGATTTTCCAAATGTACTGCCAATTGATGTGCATAATTCATGAGATACAATTAGGGGGGTTTTCTTTTTGCATTCTCTATTTTCAAAATTTCACATTTAAATTTCTCTTCTAAAATTTTGCAATTTGAATTCATTTCTCAGAAGTTATATTTGAGGAAGAGCGGGTTGTTATCAATTCCTATTGACTATACATGGAATAGATGATTCGACGAAAAGATAAAATAATTTTCATCACGCTGTGACGAAAAGTGAACTTTTCGACACGCTCCGCGTGCCTAAAAGTCCAATTTCCGCCACATTGTGATGAAAAATATTGTTCGTAACTCGTGAAAAAATGTTTTTTAGCTCGTGGGATTATATCACTCGCCTTCGGCTCGTGATATAAACCTCCCACTCGCCAAAAAACACTTTTTTGCACTTGTTACGAAATATACTAATATGATGAAGAAATGATATAAAATGAATAATTCTATCAACTAATTTTTTTATGATGTCAATACTTTTTAGAGAATTAATCGGGATAGCATTTACTTGATGCCGTTGAGAAGAATGCGTAGTAATGGATTACTTAGATGCATTTCAGTACCGAAGTGGTCAAATGGTGTAAGTCGATTTTGGCCATTAGCCAGTTTTCAATGAATATCTTGAAATCTGAGGGAGATGGCAAAATTTTTCTCATAATCTTTTTAGCAGCACTCAATTCGCTCTACAAAAAAGTTATTATGAAAATTTCGCTATCTCCCTTACGGGTGCCAAGTGAATTTGAAAAAACATTCAAAAAAATTTTTTTCTTTCCCTCCATCATTGGAGAAATATGTATTCATCCATCCGACGAAATTTCAAACCCGCAACCGGAACTAGACATCGAGAAAATAAATGCGGAAAATCCTCTATTTCGCGTGACGAACCTCGAGAAAGCATGGGATCAAATGGGTACGGCGGGTTGAAATATCTCTCTTATTCACCCCGGTACCCCATTGTTTTTTGTCGCCATCACATTGAACACATCATTCCCCATATCTTCAAATTTTTTCAAATTTTTCTTGAGTTCCTAGGGGGTTGAAACGTTGAATTTAATCAAAACTCCATAAGAGGCCGTGTATAAGACTGATTTTGTTTATTTAATTTATCGATATCCATACGTTCTAAAATTTTAAAATTATCACCGATGTTCACCATCTGTCTAATACTACTAATTAAAAAAATTACAACTTTGTTGGTGAATGTCAATTTTCAAGGTCATCGCCAAATTCACTTGGTACCCTTAAATTCGGAAATATTTCTGGAAAACTGAACTGAAGACTAAATTGACTTAAGCCGTTTGACCACTTCGCTACTGATTTAATGAATAAAACATCGACTGAATAGTAAACGTAATATCCCATTTCAATTTTCGATAACCGACATAATGTCACAACGAATAGAAAAATGAATCAATTCGGTAATAGGACGGGGCACCCCGGCCACCACGTGATGATTCAATCAATATGAACCTTTCATCACGAGTTCTATTCCTGCGCAGGGATAAACACGTGTTCTTTAATGCCTGTGACATTGATTTATCCGGCTTCCGAAGTCAATGTAACTAAAGTGATTAGGTCGATGTTTTTAAAGGCCAGTGATTGCGATCTCCCGTCGTTATTCGTCGCTCCCACGGCGAATAGTTCGGGTGTCCCTCCGAATGGCATAAAAATCCCTCCCCAGAGTAAACCATTTGTTATGGATTTCACGCACAAGCGAATCCACCAAATTCTGTCGGCGATATTAAAACCGCTCATCAACTCGGTGATTGATGATAACAATCGGCTGCCGGGGAACGAAGAGGACAGTGACTAGATTAAAAAAATTAATATAAAATGACGCGAGAAATTTTCAGAGAAGTCGACGACTACTGCCGCAAGGAGAAGTCGTCGCACCTCTGGGATAATAAAAATAATAACGGGAAGGGAAATGTTGCGTGGGATTGTGACGATGATGTTGATTACTATCCGAACTGTGACCCCTCCGTTTGGATGAGGTCGTGCGACGAGGAAGTCATCACCCCGATGACTGGTGAAGTACGCGGGGTCATCCCCGAGTGGTTGAGTGGTACGCTTTTACGGAATGGACCGGGCAGTCTCAAAGTTGGGGATTACCAGTTCGATCATTTGTTCGATAGTTCGGCGTTGTTGCATAGGTAGGGATGAGCCGGGCAAAGCGGACCATCTTCACAAGCGCGAAAAAATTTCGTAGAAAAACAGAATTCTAGAGAATGCACGTATGAAAAAATCGTATAGAAATTTTCTATACGGATTGCGTACAGAATTTCTACAGAATTTTCGTATATGATTTTCGGATATTTCTACACGGATATTTTTTATAGAAATTATTTCTACACAATTTCTATAGGTTTGACCCACTGCCACATGTATAGAAACATTTCGTATGGAGTTGCGACATTTCTCTACGTTTTTCTCTGGAGCGTTTAGACATTTTTCGTATGAAGACAAAAGTTTATGTAAAAATTTATGTATAGACATAATTCGTATAGAAAATTTCTATACGATTTTTTCATACGTGTGGTATTGCATTCAGCGATCGGCAATAATCATTACGTTAGTAATATTAAAAGAAGATTACCTTGACATAACGAAAGTTCACTAATTTTTATTGAATTTTGATAATAATTCTAATTTTCAATTGTCTGTTGAACAATTGATTCTAAATTTCTGAATATGATTTTTCGATTAATTGCACAATCGTCAATCTTTCAAAGTCAATTATTGATTTATATAATGTTAAAAATTTTGAAATAGTTAATTGATGATTAATTTAATAAAAAATAATGAAATTCATCAAAATAAAAAAAATTAAAAGTAGATAATTGAATTAAATGATGAATTTCATTTTAATTTCATTTCATCATTTTTTTTATTTCATTAGTAATTTATTGGTCGAATAATCCCTATTAAAGAAATAGGATTTCCGATGGATTCCCGTGTAAAAAATTGACTACGTGAATTTTCCTGAAGGTTTCACATTTCCGGTGGAAGAGTGACATATCAACGGAGATTCGTCCAAACGGATGTCTTCAAGAGAAACCATCAGGCGAGGAGAATAGTCCTGACTGAATTTGGAACGAAATCGGTGCCCGATCCATGTCAAACGATATTCCAACGGTAGAGAATCCATTTTTTCACACTGAAAATAGTGAATTATCTCAGATGTCCACGATTTTTCATTTCATTTGGGAAAATATTTATTCAGAATAGCGGCTGTTTTCAATCCTGACTCTGGGTTGTCCGATAATTCCATGATTTCGGTGTATCCGTTTGGAGATCAATACTACACGTTTGCAGAAGCTCCATTCATCCATCGGATTGATGTTGAAACATTGGAGACTAAGGATCGAGTACGAAAATTAACCAATTTTTCATGTGTGAATGTAAACCTAAAAGGAAATCCCTTATTTTAAGATGTCAAAAGTCTTGAAATACGATTTTTCTGTACTGCTTCTCACGATTTCTCGTCTGGGGATTGGTATTGCATACTTTCCCAACATGGAAACTTAAAAATCACTAGAAAGGAATTGTGTCCGAGGCTTTTACGCTGCGGTTTTTTCAGTCGTGTGGTTGGCCAGCTCTCGCCTTCGGCCGGACGCCAACTCCACGCGCGTAAAAAACCCCATCGCAACAGCCCGGAAAAATTCTATTGTGAAACCCTTATTTGAAATCAATTAATTAAAGAAGAAAATTAATTTATCAAAGCCTCGATTATTAATCTCAAACAGTTTTTTGTGCCTGTATAAAATTTTTGTTTCAATATAAGACTTTCAAAAAATCTTGATTGGAAGCCCCACATTCTCTTTTTAGTCTTAACTTGACACCATAAATCTGAAAATATTTTTTTTTATGTAATTAAAATTTTTACAATGAAAAATCTCCCTGAATCATCAATATACCTGACTCAATCGATTTCTAAAGATCTGCATTTCGGATTACGTTGGAGTCGTTAATCATACTTCACATCCCCATGTGACGGACGATGGCACAGTGTATAATGTTGGATTGAGCATAACTGCGATGGGACCTGCCTACAGTGTTGTATGTTTTCCATCAGTTCCTAGTGACACTGGTCAGTAAATATGACATTAACAGCGATTTGTCAAGAAGTCTCGGGAGTAAAAAAAAATATTGAAATGCGGGGAAAATACTGAGCCAAAAGGGGAGGGGAACTTGAGAAATTTATTCTTCTAGGAACTGGATAAAACAAGTTGGAGGTGATCTGAAGATTATTAATTTTAATAAATATTCAAAAACACAAGGTGCTTGATAGGTGTCGGCGCTGCCATCTTGCTTCAAAGATGGCGACACCACCACCTCGTATTTTTAAACATTTATTAAAATTATTTATCCTCTTCAGCCCATCTTCAACTCGCTCCATACGATTTCTATAGAATGAACAATTTGCTAAAGCCATTTTTCAGATTTTTTCATCCCCTTTTGACTGAGAATTCATTCCGCAAAATTTGTTTTCACTCTCGGTCCTCTTAAAATAATATAATTCATCAAAAAATCAGTAACGGTTTTTTGTACATAACATTCAGTCGAGAGTTTTCAAAAAGAAATTGCAATTTTTTCACAGTATTTCGTTTTGTCTCATTAAAATAGAAGAAAAGGATATTAAAAATATCATACTGAGAATTTTTTCATAACAAAGATTTCAATACCATGAATTTCAAAATCGATTGAATTTTTCAAATGAAAACAAAATTCTGTAAAAAACGAAATATTGAAAAAACTGACGTTGCAGGCAGGAATTCCGGTGGCAAAGCCATGTTCGAAGGAGCATCGATAGTGGCTAGTCTCCCAGCGAGGTGGAAATTGAATCCCTCGTACATGCACACCTTCGGCATCACCGAGAACTACTTCATCATAATCGAACAGCCCCTGGCAGTGTCGATGGTGACTATGATGGCATGTAAAATAAAAAATGAGCCTCTCAGTTCGGCTCTCAAGTGGCACGACAACGAGAATGTAATTGAATACTTTAAATACCTTCGATCTTCCTCGTCTCAAAAACACGAACAAAAACGTTTCATAGAAAAAAACAACAGAATCCAATTTTTCTATACAACTTATTCTATTGAGGTGTTTTTAATATAAAATTCTTCAGCTCCAATTTTCCACGTTTTTCTGTTTACTTTTTTAATGAGAAGAGAAAGCAAATACAGATAACGCTTTTTGTCACCGGTTTATTTGGATATATATATAAATATATATATATATTTATTTATTTATTCTTCTTTTCTAAATACAATAAAACGAAATGAAAAATCATATTACAGTACCACATGCAAAACATACGCGCGCATACATCTCTAGTACAGCGGAAAAACCTCAGAAAACTCATGTCGACCAATTCCCGCAGAAACTGTCTCAATAGAAAAATAAAATATTGCATTTATCGAACATTTTCTATAGAACAAAACAGGCAGTACCTAGAGCTGCGAAATTCTTCAATAGAATCGGCGAAAAAATAATGAAATTTTCTATCAAATTCGCTAGGTTTTTTTGCGAATTACTTTCGTGTGAGAAATCTTGAGTTGTATTAGGGAAAAATTTCAGCCCACATATGCATTTATTTGGACAGACATTGATTCACGTGCTGTCTCGTGCAACCGGTGCCCTAGAAAGAACTTTCACCGCAGCAGCTCTATTCTACCTCCACATAATCAATCAGTACGAATCAGAAAAAGGAGATTCAATCGTCATCGATATATGCTGTTATCGCAATGCTAAAATGTTGGACTGTATGTATGTCGACGCTATGAGAAACATGCACAAGAATCCCGATTACTCGAAATTATTTCGAGCGAGGCCGCTGCGATTTGTTCTACCGATGACGGATAAATTCGCCGATGTCAAGCCAAACAGAAGAACAAATATTTTCGAGATGAAAGCCAGTGCTCACAGACGGGGGGACGGAGCTATCTCGGTGGAGCCTGAATTGATCTGCAATCTGGGGTGCGAAACTCCCCGTCATAATCAGAAGTACCTGGGGAGACAGTACCGCTATTTTTACGCCATTTCCAGTGACGTTGATATACAAAATCCTGGAACGGTAAACCAACTATTGATAATCAAATTTTTTTCGTAGGGAATTTTTAGGTGATTGATTAATAATATTCCCTTCAGATAATTAAAGTCGATACACTCAATAAATCATCATTGACGTGGAGTGAGGATGGACTTTACCCGAGTGAACCGATTTTCGTAGCTCAACCAGAATCACAGGTATGTCGATAATAAATTCGATATAGTGTAGTGATCGGACCTGAAGAATGAATTTGGTTTTTGCTCTGTCAATTAATTCTGTCAATTAATTCATTTTTTATAACTTAAGAATGAAGATGACGGAATCATCCTGAGCGCTGCAATATACGGAGAAGGAAGAGAATGCGACGTATGTCTCCTAATTCTGGATGCTAAATCGATGATTGAAATGGGAAGAGTGACATTCCACACTCCAGGAGCCGTTCCCAAGTGTCTGCATGGCTGGTTCACCCTCGAAACCCCTCCAATAGATGAAAATAATGATAACAATAATGATAACAATATTTAAATATACACCGTTAACGGAAATTCGAGACAGTATCATTTTGTACAATAAATTATCTTCGTGTGTTTACAAATAGTCATTTCAACGGATCTATAATTAAGCTGATTTATGAAAGTCACCACAGAACAAATGAAATCAGTGACTCGACCGATAAGTTGAATAAACTAAATAGTGCAGACAATTTTCAATAACTTAAAAAAAAATTATTTTTGTCATTCCAGCCGTAAGGCAGCGTTTCACGGACGCTCTGCGTCTGTGAATCTCTGCCTACGGCCGTCATGACAAAATAGTATATTTCGTAACTAGTGCAAAAAAGTGTTTTTTGCCGAGTGGGAGGTTTATATCTCGAGCCGAAGGCGAGTGATATAATCCCACGAGCTAAAAAACATTTTTTCACGAGTTACGAACAATATTTTTCATCACAATGTGGCGGAAGTTCACTTTTCGTCACAGCGTGATGAAAAAGTTTTTTTCGGCCCAATGACGAAATATACTATCTCAGAAAAATTTCTGACTACGAATAAAGCTCATTTGTCCATCAAATTTTATGGAAATCATGGGAACTATTGATTCATTGATTCATTACCCAAAAATTCACATCTTACAAATTCTCACTCATTACTTCAGGCCCAGTTGCACCATCGTCTGTTAACTAAACCGCCAGATAACGGTCTGTTAGTCTACAAGGATTACACATGGATAAATTAATCCTGGGGTAAAAGAGCTAACAGGGCTCGGTGCAACCGGGCGAGCGACCCGCCAAAGTATGTTATCCGATGCTCTTAAAAAAACACCAGGCAGTGTATGTCGGCCTGTGTTTTGCTTGCAACGTTTTGCAACAGATAGACTCTGTATGTGCGTATGTTGCATTCGCATGCAGAGTCAGTCTGTGTGAGTCCCCTAGGGCTTCCCTACCCTCAAATATAGGCTATAGGCCTTCTAGTAGAAGTTTATCCTTCGGAGGGTACCCCCACTCTACGTAATTCCCACTCACATGCTTGGACCCCACTCCAAAAATCTACGGCTATTCTTCTGGAAGATAACCTATACCTCTCACACAAGCACCACAAGTCCGGTGGAAACTAAACACGGAGTTTCCGTCCATGCGCACAAGTGCCCCTGGAATGTGTCATCCATTCCTGTATCAGCTGTCAAATCCCATTGACGCCTACCGTGGTGCTACGGATATGTATTTAATTTTTTTCCTGACCGCAGTGAAGCACAGAACGTAATATCACTGTATACATGACTACACAACTGGTTATTTAGCGCGTTAGTATCGATGACTCGGTTGTTTTTTGAATGAAACGGGGTGCATTGTCAATAGTTCAGGCTGGGTGAATATAAACATCATTGCTGCTCCGATTTTTACTGCTGACTTCTGCTGCATTGAAACGTTGAGAGTGCATTTTGTTCAGTATCGAGTTTATCTCGGATGTAACGATGATTGAAGGTTAAATTTTTTAACGATAATTGTGCATGGGCGTCGGTAATTCGCGTCTTGGATGTCACAACGTATGGAAAAACAGTACCTTTCACCAAGGACATTGGGTACGGATTTTCATAGGGGGTTTCAGGGGAATTTCGGTGGATTCAGCTGAGTGTCATGTAAGTTATCTTTGAGTCATTAGTAATTGGCGATTAGTCAGACGCATCGCATGTGGTTGATAATTTGCAATGGCCTTTCAGACGTCCTCATGTGTGAAAAATTTCATAGAAAAACCCAGATTGACTGGGTAATTCTGTCAGCGTTTTGCTGATTCCATCGAAGATTTGGAAAGTTTTCTATTACTTTTCTCCAAATAAAAATGTCCAACAGGAAATTTCTGCAGAAAAAAGTAATAAATTTAGATTTTTATATGGACGTTCTATTGAGATATTTTCTGTAGTAATTCCTCGACAAACGAATTTTTCTCCACTCCTTTTTTTAAATTTTTCCTCGTTGAAACACGTATGACAGAATTTAATAAAAGTCGATAGAATTTTATTTTAATTCTATTCAAAAATTTCATTTACCTTTTGCGCTAATTCTGTTGTAAATTATAGCACTTTACCGTGTGTTTTTCAGTAGTAATTTTTTATATACGAAGTCTAAGATATTGACTTCCCTATATAACTTCCTCTACAAGGATTTTCTCTATAAGAATTCTTGGGCATTGATTTTCTGAATTTTTTTCGTGGATTTCAGTAGGAGTGGAAATAAACAGAAAATCTAGTCCCAAGAATTTCTATGCATAAATGAAAAACCATTGACTGTTTTTATCAAATACGTGTAGAAAAATGACAGTAAAGTTTCACAATCTGCAATAGAATTATTCAATAGAATTTTAATAGAACCCGAACAGATTTCTTAGAGAGTTTCAATAAAAAATTAATTGAATTCCCCACAGAAAATACTAGGTTTTTCTATTCAATTTTTTTCTCAAATTGAACATTTCCCCTTTAAAAAGAAAAAAAAAGCGTAGAAAGACTGATAGAATTGTCAATAGAAGTCCAATAAAAATGTAATGACTCACTAAATGCCCTACATTTTTCTATGAAATTTCCTCACATGTGCCGTTATGATTTATCGATTGATTGATCGTGATGATGGTGAAGGGTAAGCTTACAAATTTTACTTCAGTTTCAGTGTGGAATGCAGCGATGGCCAGTGGGAACAGTGGGAGCTTTATAAGCAAGCCGGCCAGAGGATGGCTCCACCCGGATCATCTGGTCAGCAAGGAGGGAATCACTTACGCTGTGCGGGTAAGAATCAAGGGCACGAGAGAGTAATCATCTTTACTGATTCATCAATTTATGTTGCAGTATATTGGATGCCTAGAGGTCTACACGTCGATGAAGAGTTTGGATTTTGAGACAAGATCATGTGTAGCGAAGTATGAAAAAAAAACGTTTAGATGACAATAACTTTCATCCAAAAGCATGAAGTAGATTCCAATGTTCCAATTCCAATGTCAGAGTCCTGTTTTTGAAAAAATTGAACTAAAAATTGATGGTTTCACGTTCGAAAGATCCATTTTATTTATTCTTTTTCTCTTTTTTTTATTCGATCGTGTCATTTATTTTACGAAGACCATGGAAAATGAGGGAAGAATATCTTTTTTTTTTAGAGAATGCATCAATCGAGTCTGCGAAGCAGCAGGCTTAAAATCTGCGGATAAAAAAAGACGGGTAATGTGAATCTTTCATTAAGAAATTCTTCTATCCATGAAATTAATCAAGAATACTTCCCCAGGTTGACAGAAAAGTTCTACGAGCAATTGCTGATAAACCATGCATGGAGCATGCGGGCTCCAACATAAATCTGACAATCAGCAGCACTAGTCTATCACTTACGACCCTCGAGACTGGCCATGTCATAGCTAAACACGAAATGCCGAGGATTTCATTTGCTTCCGGTGGCGATACGGTCAGTAATATGGAAGAAGGAGGGAAGGGAATTGAATGTTATTCGTTGTTATTTGGCATTCTAGGAAATACTGGACTTTGTCGCGTACGTAGCGAAAAATATGCAAGAATGGCGAGCTTGTTACGTATTGGAGTGCGGCGGCGGTCTGGCGCAAGACGTCATATCGACGATTGGCCAAGCATTCGAATTGAGATTTAAAGAATTCCTTACAAAACCGTCCTCACTGCAGTAAGGGTTTTATTTATTAATTGCAGGCATGGGAAAATTCAATAGATGTGAATTTTTGTGTAGAACTTATTCGTTTCTGGTTTTTCTTGGGGGAATTCTTGGACATGAACTTTCTGCATTTTTTTGTCAATGAGAAAAATTGAAGATTTTGTCAATGAGAAAAATGGAAACGCTGAGTAGAAAGTTGGAAAATTTATGTCCAAGGATTATTATACAAAAAAAACTCAAAAGAATAATCTATTTAAAAAATTGAAGTTTCGATTTTTTGAAGTCTTGGAATTTCATGTAAAAAATATTGAAATCTATGGCAAGGACTATAAACTTTTCATTTATGTTATTGATAAATCCCTCAGTGTTTTGTGTTTGAAATGAAATTCCATTTTTGAGGTATATGTGGTAATGAAAATTATAGAAATTCAAGTAACTATTGTTTCGAAATTAATTTGAAATTCAATTGACTGTGATCTCCGATTTTCATAATGAGAGTTGAATTTTGATCGTGAAAAAGACTCAATTCTGTTGAATATCCAAGATGAATAAAAGTTCCATGAGGAGTTTAATCTCGAATTGAATGAAAATTCTCACCATTGGAAAAAATATCAAACAGTATTTAAAAAGAGCAGATGGAATTAAGTGGTTTTATTCGTCTTAGTCCGGTGTTGAATGGGATTCGCGAACCAGACCGAGACTACTACAACGATCTGCCAGGAAAAGTGCCCCCTGACATTGGACCACCACCGGTTCCACCACTTCCTGTCACGACTTCAACCCTGCCGAATCTTAAACATCATCATTCCTCTCAGAATCACGCACTGTCGAATCATATTCAGTGTACATTCGTCAATGGCCGCAGACGGCAAACCCCGGGGCAACAGTGGACTGGTATAGCACTCGAACCATCTCCATCTTTAAATAATTATACTCCAAGTCATGTTATTTTTGTAAATTTTTTTAGAAACTGGTAACTTAATTGATCTGAGTTCGGACGGTGCGGCATCTGCTCAATCAGAACACAATTATGTCAATGACACCGTTGTTGCGGCGAGCCACGACAGTAGGCGAGAACCCTCTTCGCTCTTTGATGCATTTGATATGCGTAAGTTCTCATGAAATTTTTGAATAAACACTTTTTTCATGGATTTTGTAATGAGAAACAGGGAAAATTCTGCGGAAGAAACTTGGAAGTGTCGACCAGTAATTCCTGTAGCAATACTTTCAAAAGAATAATTAATTCAGAAATACATAAATCTATTATCAAGAAAACCAATAGAATTTTTCGAAAAATTCCAATCAACCTCATTTTTATTTAAGGAATTATTTTTCGGATTTTTCAATTAAATGTTGCCATAAACTGCGGTGTGACAAATTGCACGTTTTCCTCGTGTTTCATCAATTTCAATTTCCCCATGTGGGAATATGACGAATTAATTTCATTTCAGAGCCATTCAGCACAGCAATATCAGAGATGAACAAATTGAGTCCACGTTCTCAACAGCACCAATTGAAAACAGAAGTTTGGTATCACGGTAGTGTCAGTCGTCCAGAGGCAGAATCAATGCTGACTAAAGACGGTGATTTTTTGGTTCGTGAATCTCAAGGCTCACCGGGACAATACGTCCTCACGGGGATGAATAACGGAATTCCCAAGCATTTACTTTTAATCGACCCCGAGGGAGTTGTAAGTTAATCTCTTCAAAATAACATTGAGTAGGGAAGGATGAGGTAAAATGGACATTTGACTTTTCTAAATGTTCACAATTCTATGAGCATTAAAAAATAAGTTCATCAATTGTGCTCGCTCTGAAATCATAAAGAGGGGCAATTGCACTTTACAACGAGTAAAAAAACGTTTCATCAAGAGTTCAATTAATTATTAATTAGCATTGAAAAGAGGCAGAAGTGTCCAGATTGCCCCACTCTTCCCTGCTCTTCATTCATCAGAAATAGAATGATATTTTTATCCCCTCATTCAGGTGCGAACAAAGGACCGTATTTTTGACAGTGTCAGTCATCTGGTGAATCACCACTGTGACAACGCGCTTCCGATTATATCCGCAGACAGTGCCCTTGTGCTTCGATATCCAGTCCCACGAAGAACCGATTATTGATGAGATGGTCTCTGTTCTTCCCGGAAAAAGAGAAAGTCTGAAATGCTACTACCAAGTAGTAATTTTAGGGGCTGGGAAATACAGAGCCGAGAGGATAGAAGAGAAAGTAAAAAGACTTTAGGAAAGATTTTTACCAGTGCCACCCAACAATCCAATTCCCAGTTGTGAATAGTGGAATGATTTATTTCCCTTTTCTATGATTTTTCAGACTCCTCACTTCTTCCATGCCTCTTTCTATTCTTTCAATTGGGTTGTTGCACACTTTTTATGGATGAAAATCATCATTTTTCCATTCAACAGTAAGAAAGCTAATGCACAACTTAAATTCCCATTGAATGTCTCAAATTCCCGATATCCAAGATTGTTCACAGGGCTATACTTCGATTACTTGGATGATAATTTTATTTTTGTATTGTACTCCAGAGGCGACAGCTTGTATGAAAGACTAATTGTCGGTATATTTGAATTTAGAGTAAAAGATAAAATAGAAAGATTCAAGTTTCTTCTCATTACTTGTCGATAAATGAATATGACCGCGGTGATAGACTCTTTATGATACTTTTTTTATAATATATATTTTCGTACATATATATTCGTAATAGAATACCGAGCCTCGTGACCCGTAACGTTTTTTCCTTCGTGAAATTGAAAGATAGTCGATACAATGTATATTAACGTTTATTGAGAATTTGTAACTGGAATAGAGATGAATGAAGTGCGCCTGAATCGTTGGATTGTAATCATCAGTTCATTTAATCATGTCATGAATAAAATATTTTACCTCATAAAATATTCACTGAACAGTCTCAATGGCTTCATCACTGAAACCTTCAGACGCTGATGGACCCATAGTCAGATATATTTCTGAGGGATAATTGTATTTGAGTCGATGTCTTTCCAACTGTTCTGTCTCATTGAAGTCATCAGCTTTCATATCTTCTGTGTCAGCGACTTTGATGACTAGTGAATTTGGAAGGAAAGCATGAAGATTCAAACCAGGCTCGTAAATCTCTGCTGGTAATTTTAATTCATCGGAAAACTGTTTTATGCTACATCCTGTGTAAATAAAATTATCATGAAATCGACTTGAAGAGATGTTCATTAAAGCCACTGGCATTACCAATCATGTGGGGCTGTTCCGATTTATTGAAGACTTTCCTATTTTTCCCATACTTTTCCACATAATTCCAGATGTCATGTGGACTAGTTCCATTTTCAGTTCGCGAAGAGATGCCGAGCAATTCGGCGATGTGTCTTTCCCAGTCATGGTGTTCCATCATAGTTTTCATTTTCACTATTTTCTTCGCATTTAGTATATTCTCTTTGATTCGTAAAATATCTGCGGGGATATAAAGGAGGGACAAATAACTCCAAATTTATCTTCTTGAATTACGTAAATTCTATTGCATTTTTATTGAACTTCTGTTGGATATCCCATTAACTTCAGCGAATTCTGTTGTAAAATTGCGTAGTTTATCTACATGTTTTTTTAATAGCAATGTTCAATAGAAAATATTCTATAGAAAAAATAAATAGAATTTAATTTTTCTATGTAGTTTATTCCATTGAGATATTCAAGTTTTATTGTTTGATTTTCTTCCCTAATGAAAAGAGACAAAGAAATAGAACGAAAAAGTATAAAAATTTAAATCACGAAATCGCTGTAGAAAATGTCCGAGTAGAAAAACATCTAGAGAAATATGATCTAGTGCTTTTTCCTATAGAATAGTTCCTATTGAATATTTCCAACTAAAAAAGGCAGTAAAAGTGCGAAAACTTTCAGTAGAATCGGCCAAAAACTTTTAAAATATCCAACAGAAGGGCGTCATTAGTTTTTTCAATTATTCACCTTCATCTCTATATCTCAATTGCGCGCACATCTGCTCCTTGAACATTAGATCAAGACTCGGAGCATCTGTTGATGGGTCTAGCGAACCGAGAGGCACGCTGCTGACAGGGTGCAGCATTTTATCATCAATTACCAAGTGTTCATCGATTGATTTAGATTCTGGATCATCCAACATTTCCTCCTCTTCTTTCTCTATCCCATTGTTTAAAATTTGCAGACGATATTTTGGCGATAAATCTGCAAAGCAGTTGAGAAAATGAAAGCATTCAACAAATACTAGATTTATGCATTACAATTTTCGTAGGGAATTCGGTAGAGATGTTTTCCAGCGCTGAACACAATATCTCCGAGGAGCGCGGAAAATGTTATGTGTGATGTGCAAACGTTTATTTCCAGTATCTGAAAATATGGGATTTAGTGTGCATTTGGCATTCATATTTTCTCTCGGGAAAATGCGGCCAAATGAAACAGCCCTGGTCAACTCTAAAAATCAAAATGGAGTGACAGAAAAAAATTTTTTGACAAAAAAGCGTATCACATATGAAAACATCGTATAGAAATTTTCTATACGGACTGAGTTAGATTTCCATAGGATTTTCGTATATGCTATTCGGATATTTCTATACGGATATTTTTATACAAATTATTTCTATACGATTTCTACAGATTTAATCCTATACGATCCACTGCCACATGTATAGAAACATTTCGTATGGAGTTGCGATATTTCTCTACGTTTTTCTCTGGAGCTTTTAGACATCTTTCGTAAGAAAACAAAAATTTATGTAAAATTTATGCGTGGAAATAATTTGTATAGAAAATATTCGTATAGAATTATCCGAACATCATATACGGAAATCCTATAGAATTTCTATACGCAATCCGTATAGAAAATTTCTATACGATTGTTTAATATGTGATGACGCACAAACTCCAGGAGTAAGAAAAACATTTCATCTTTAACATCGCAATTTTCTCGTATTTACACGTGAAAACTGCATAAATTTCAGGCAAAAATTCCCAAAAGAGGGAATTTGCATCGAGATTACGATCTGACATGTAATTTTTCGTAATTTTTATTTGTTCTCGATGCCCCGGTGTTTCACTTCGCCCCATGATCCCCCAATTCTAAATCCTTGGATTTTGAATGAACCTTGACTAGATCATTCTGGTGATCCCATATGCGTAGTGAACCATCCATCGATGATGTAGCGCATATTTGAAGGGACTCTGATGTGGCCAGAGCCAGAATTTGCTTCACGTGGTTTTTCGATGGATGGTGCTCCAATTGCCCTGCGTACGAAGACGAAAATTACGCATGAGATAATTCAAAACTTACTATTAGTTTGGAAGAAATCGTTCTCACTCTTACTTCTTTCTACTACATCGTACATAAATAACTGATGACATTGGGAAGATTCGGTGCTACTGACGACACAGATCGTGGATCTATTTCGAGAAATTTTTATTGTCTGAATGCTTTTGGAAAAAACATAGTCGAACATTTCACTAAACTAGGGAGAGGGCGGAAGAATAGTGACGGAGTTGGCAGTTGAATCAGTAGCGAAGCGGAAAACCGGGTTGAGTCGATTTTGACTATTGGCCAGTTTTTGACGAATATCTCGGAATCTAAAAGAGATAGAAAAATTTTCGTCACTACCTTTTTTGTATAGTCAATTGAGGGTTATAAAAAAGGTCATAAGAAAAATTTTGCTACCTCTCTTAGATTCCGAGATATTCATCAAAAACTGGCCAAAAGTAAAAAGCGACTTGACCCGGTGTACCGCTTCGCTACTGAAAAAGCCTTTGGAAAAATCGAGCGTTCAGACGATCGCCGAAAAATTTCTCTACGCCAATTATAAATGTTCTGGCGGTACTTTTTTTTAGCAATTATATAGAGCCTACTGCACGGAGAGAAATATTCAATAAAAATTACGTATCTTTTCCGAAATTCCGGAGCGAAATGTGGTTACAGGAAATTTTACGGAACTGTCACGGAAATTTTCCGGAGCGTTTCGTAATTTTTATCTGAATCTCCTGTGAAAAATTACGATACCGTCACTTAAATTTTCTGAGTCGATTCCATAATCGCTGAATGAATTGTGAGTTGCGTAATTTTTACTGAACATTTCTCTCGGTGTGGAGGCGCGCTCTTTGGGAGAATTTGGGGAAAATCGGCGGAAGCGATCATCCGCATCGACAGCACCCAAAGGTTTACATCGATCATTCTCGCGATCATTTGGTCAATTGGTGTACACATTGATGTTAAAAAACATTATATTCTCTTCTTAAGAGAGGATCTCACCCGAGAGATCCGATGCAGGTGATTGGAGTGGTGTAATAAATGCAATGCAGTAACGATAGCGGCATCAATGTGTCCGGGAAGATTCTCCAAATTTTCAGAGATTTATCCGCACTACTCGATATAACTTGACGAGAGACTATCGAGGAGTGCAAGTGAATTATTCCGGCGTCATGCGCCTGTAGAAGAAGAAAAGAAATTATATCAGCAATTCAGTAGCGAAGTGGTAAAGCGGTTTAAGTCGATTTATCTCGCAGTTGAGTTTTTGAGGAATATTTCCGAAACTAAGGGAGATAGCGAAATTTTCGTAATTACATTTATTGTAGCTCTCAATCGGCTCTACAAAAAAGGTTATAACAAAAATTTTGCTATCTCCCTTAGATTGCGAAGTATTCATTGAAACCGGGTCAATAGTCGAAATTGACTTGCACCGTTTTACCACTTCGCTTCTGCTAGAATATTGAACTCACTGAGATTGAACTTTCCTGTTTTCCGCTCGTCTCTTCGATGGAGATCAATTCCCCTTTTTCAGTTCCGATAATTATTCGTGTACAAATGGCATTGACGAGTTTTGATTCTATGCAAAATACAACCGGTGATAAGGGATGGATGTAAAATAAAATAAGATGTGAAGAGAAGTTACTCGTCGCGAGATCGAAAAGTCATTTTATCAGCTTTTTGACGACAATATACATTTTCTTTGACTTACTTTCAGCTTCACGATCGGATCCACGAATTGCTTCGTAATGATCGTACACTACGAGACATGTGATGATTTTTTCCGCACTCTCCCACTCGTCTCTATGAGAGAATATCAGGAACAGTTGAAAGAAAATACACACGACAAAATTTCATTGAAAAATGTAGCGATTTCGGTCAAATATTCTGCTAGATTTCTGTTGAACTTCTATTGAAAATACTATTAAATTAGTCAATTCTGTTGAAGAATTCCGCGGGGTTACGTGCGTTTTACAGGAAATACCCAAGCGAAAATATTTCATAGAAACACTCATTAGAATTTTAATTTTATATCCAAATTTGTCTATTGACACATTTTCTATACAAATTCCTCGACGCGAATTGTGAAACTTTTTCGCTACTTTTTTTCTGTCAGAATAAAAAAAAATCAAACGAAAAAACTTGGAAAATTCGAGCCAAGGAATTTCTACAGCAAATATTTCCACGAAATAAAATAAATATAATTATTCCCAAAAAATAATTCCAATTGAAATGCCTCAAAAACTAAGGAGAAGTAAGAAATCCAACAGAATTTTCTAGCGAATACTGAAGCGCAAAGAAATTCATTAAATTACTCAATTTTCATAGGATTGGTTTTCGTGTTAGCCACCAGAATTCCGTTAGTACCCAGGATGTACATGCGACCTGCATTCAAGGCAATACAGAAATGGATTGTATTACAATACCTCGGAGATTAATATCGTTACGGAATCGAATGCTTTACTCTATCCTCTTCCCCTCTTTTGTAAAATAAAAAGAAAGTTGATTGTCATTCTCTAATGTTTAGGAATAACTTCAGAGGATAAATCCTCTTTGACTTAACGCGTGATCCACTTTTGTTCTGTGATTGATTCTGAAGAACTGTCAATAAATACGCCCCTTCGATTTATCCTGAATTATTTCTTAAGTAAATACAACAATATGATCACCTGCAATAGCACTGTGGGCTACAGCCAGGACTGCAGAATGAGTTGGGAGGATTTGAATATTCAGCTGTTGTCCTGACGCGGATGACAACATTCTGACAATTTTATCAGCACAACAGACAACCACGCGGGTAGTATCAATGGGACTAGCCGTCGCAAACAATTTTGCTGGTTCAGCTCTAGAGAAAAAGAATGCAGAGACGTTAAGAGACACCTCAAGGCCCCGGTGGATTATCTTTCGAACGTGATCCTGATTTTTTTTCATTTCGATAATCTGAAATGATCTCCAATTGCTATGAAGTTTTCCATAGCCCTGGAGTCTCCAAAAATTATGATTGCAGAATCAAAAAAACGTTGAATAAAAGCTGAACATTTTCCACGAGCGTTGTTGAATAATATTGGGATATAAACCCAATAGGGAGGAAATTGCCAATTAATAATTGGCAGTGTCTATTCACACGCTCCACGGTAACTTTGACCGTAGATATACGGGACGTTTTCCCGTGGATCCAAGGTAATTTCTACCGTGGATATATGGGAGATCGTGGACCGTCAACTTTTACTGCTCAAATTAAATCTAGACAATAAACTAGACACATCGAATCAATTGATAAGTGATATGAAGATAGTAGACTAGTAAACAATTTTCTGGAATACGCATATCAGTATAGATTAACGCAAATAAACAATGAAATAAATAATTGACTAAACGCAAATAAAAGATGAAATGAATAGTTTTTTACATTTTATGTGAACGTTTTCTTAACGATCTCACTCCCTGTTTCCTCTCTATTGGACTTATTTCTTAATCTTTATTAAAAACGCTCTTCCAAAATGTTAACTTTTTTTCTAATTTTTGATTGTACAATCATAATTTTTAGGGACTCCTGCGTGATGAAAAATCCAATGGAAATTGGGATATATTTTACATTATGAAGATGGAAAAGCAATCGAGATAATGTTCGAAAGATAATCCACGCGGGGCTTAAATTAAAATTATGGGTGTCATGTTGTGTGGTTGCATACGTCAACGGTGAATAGAATGTATAAAGCTGATGCATCTGGAAACAACTCAGTTTAGCGCCCACTGTTGCTAGTGAAGAAGCAGAGCCATTGACCGCCATGTAAGAGACTTCGCCAAGTTCATTGAATGACTCAATCTAGAATTTTGAATTATGAAGTAGAAAGAAATTGGACAAACTACCTTGGACAATCATTCAAAATTGGAGATTCAAGCGGCCATTGAACTATTAATTATCACGGGTACGAAAAAATCCAATAATTCCTCGCGTATGTTCTAAAATTTCCATTAGTTTTTCATAAATTATAACAGAAAAATTCTCCACCCAGGGAACAATTTTTACGGATGCCACGTAAAAGTCCCCAGAAGACCGGTAAATATCCGGAAATTTACCGGTAATTGGTAGCTGTGCACCTTTCCGCGGGTTTCTTTTTTAACCAGAAATGTTCATAAAAAAATCAGCAGTGACTATTGGTCAGTTTTCAGTGAATATCTCGGAATCAAAGGCAGATAACGAAATTTCTGTTAAAATCTTTTTTGTAGAGCGAATTGAGAGCTCGAAAATGATGTTTAAAATGCAGCAAATAAGTTATTATCTAATGCGAAGAGAAAAAAATGCAGTGAAAATACTTGAAAAATTTAACTTTAGAGCACCTTTTGTTTCAGATTACAACTCCAGGCCTGAACTATATCGTCTTCGCCGCAAGATATAAATCCACATATGGAAGGATGTCCTGTGATAATTTTCACAGCCCCTTGATGACCACTGGGACAGTCCATCATGCATTCTAAGTCTAAATTCCACGCAGAAACACTCCCTCGTTGATCGCCCGTGATTATCCATCGGCTAGTTGAATGAAAATACAAAACAGTGATCGCGGTTTCCATTGCATTGACTTTTCTCGCCAGGAATTTAACAGGAACATTACTATCTTCGTCTTTATCAGATGCCAGGGGGATTACGTATACAGTTGTCAGGTAAGATCCAGCCAGTCTCAAGAAGACTAAAATTCGTTTGGGAGGATTTATCTTTGTGATATGACTGATTCTAGTCAAAACTCACGTGGATCGTGTTGTATCAAAGAGGAGTATTCTAGTACCCATGTAGGGCCAAATGAGCTGTCTGATATATTGACTGTTTTCCAGGAATTGAGAGTCTGTTCTTTGTGGTCCAGGGGAAATCTCTGCTTGTGGACAAGTTAGTTTATGTTCACACAGAAAACAACATCGAGAAATCCCGGGTTTGGGGATTTTATACGTTTTTGAACGTATCTTACGTGGAAGAATTCAATTGAAAACCCTCATGCACTGGTTAGAAATGGAATTCTACAAAAATTCCATTGCAATTCAATTGGAAGTCTAGTAGAATTCTATAAAAAATTCAATTCATTCATTATCAAGTCCTATTCAAAATTCATAAACACTTGATAGGAAATTCTCAACAAATGTTTTTCTATAAAAACATCTGTATCATTTTATTGTTTTTTTTTTCTAGAATTCTCAATGGGTTTTTTCAGTTCGTTTTCTTGACTTCTATAATGAAAAATAAAATCCAACAAAATAAACCTCAAGAACATAAATCATTGCTAACATATTCTCCTCAAGGAGTCACGAGCAAAGGCCGCTACATTTCGACCAGAATCCGCAAAAAAAATGAATAGAATTCTTAATATAAATTTCACCAATATTATTCTCAGGATATCCCCTAATCTTCATCGAGTGATTACATCAATAAAAAATATTGAAGAAATGTGATTATGAAAATGTAAAAAATTACCGTCGCTCTTGTCGCCCCAATAACAAGCATTTCATTGGTGTAGGGTGTATAGAAAACATTCTCCACCCTAAATTCATTCCTCACAATTTGTATCAGTTTGCACGTAGGCTCCAATATCCAGATTAAATCGTCGTGGGGAATAAAACCCGCGAACATCTTTGATGCTTGAAACCAGAGAAATTTCGTAAAAGCCATGGTGGAGCTCAGACTGAAGGAGGGCTGCACTGGCTTCCCCTGAATGGAGAATCTGTGTATCACAAACGCAGTGTCCAGTAGGAGATACTCCTGACAAAGAATGATTTTTTACTTCAATTCATTACGAGATGTTTAGTCATTGAGAATGGGAAATCCATTACTTTGGTATCATCGCAGTAGCATATATCCAAGAAATTCCCCATGATCGGTGCCGAAGAGATCAATTTCAATCCATGATACAATTTCATCTCACGAATTCCCTCGAAAGATGCCTCTTCACATCGCGATCTCAAACGTTCCTTCATGCATTTTATGCTCATCATCCACGAGTGTTTCTGCTCCGCAATTGTGGAAGAATCGGAGCCTTCCATTTTTTTTGTGTCAAAATATTCAAATCTTCAAAATGCTTCAGCGCTCCTCAAAGTGGGAAATCCATATCAATTCGCTGAAGAAGGTGATGAACCGATTTCCATTGGCTAAACGCACTGCACGTATGAAAAAAATCGTATAGAAATTTTCTCTACGGATTGCGTATAGAAATTCTAAAGGATTTTCGTATATCTTATTCGGATATTTCTACACGGATATTTTTTATACAAATTATTTCTATACGATTCCTATAGGTTTGATCCTATACAACCCACTGTCACATGTATAGAAGCATTTCGTCTGGAGTTGCGACATTTCTCTGCGTTATCTCTGTAGCGTTTAGACATCTTTCGTATGAAAACAAAAATTTATGTAAAAATTTATGTCTAGAAATAATTCGTATAGAAAATATTCATATAGAAATATCCGAATATCATATACCGAAATCCTATGGAATTTCTATACCCAATCCATACAAAAAATTTCTATATCATCCTTTCATAGGTACGTGCGTAACAGAAAGGCCCCGTCCGCGAGGGGTTAAGGAGAATTCTGAGAACCTCAACTTGAGACGTTTGAAAGTCTCAATTTGAACCATTTAAAAATCCCAATTTCAGACATTCAAGTCTCAATTTGAGATCGTAAGCCTGTTTTTCTGTGCACAATCGTGATTCAGTCCTTATCATGCATTTCTGTACCTTCAATTTTCCCCTACATCCCCAGTCAGCAGAGCTCTCAACATTCAAAACGATCTTACTCGATAAAAATCACTCACAAATTCATCATCCCCGGGAAATAAAAACGGTGCGAGTTGAAAATTTCTAGATGGACGCGCCTGCTCCCGAGATTCAATTCAAATTGCACTGCATTGGTGTTGGTATGAAGCACCAAAAAAAAACAACGAAAAAAGATTATTCCTCTCCAAGAGTGACGTTCTCTAACCCAACAAGTAACTACCCATCTATTTTTGCAACCAACCAGTATCGATACATTTTTGCCGTTTAAATTAACTCGAAATAGAAGACTATAACATCTCGTCATGTATTTATATCGTAAATAGAACGATGGAAGTGGCTTTTGAGGTTAGAGCTTCAGTGAGCAAGCACCAAAGCAACTTGTGTTCTTGAGGTGCCCTTTCAACTCTACTTGTGCTATCTGATGAACTGAGTGTTAATTAACTACGGAGTGGAGTTGACATTTTGATAATTCATCAGAGCGATGGCAGGGGAGGCGGAAATCGATCAGGATGTGCTCCACAGGGTGTATTGCATGGCTAGGGATGGCCTGTCAATGACTCTTTATGCTCATTTGGCTGATAAACCCCGGGAGTTCGTGAATAGGCTGATAAACCAGGTAATCATTGATGAATTTAAAACAAATTTGCGGCATGAGAGATTCTGATTTTTGAGAAAAAAATTGATTTCTCGCATTTTTCAAATCATTTCAAGCATTCTTTTGAACGCGAGTTGACACTTCTGTTCTTGATACATCGATGAAGGAATCAATCTGTGTTCAAGCTTAGCAATTTTTGATGAAAATATTTTTTTCGATGATGTCATGCACGAAAAAATTTCATTGGGCAATCTGACGAATTCGATCGAAAATTCTATTGAAGAATTCCCCAGATTTACTGCGCATGTTTTTATGGAAAATTTCCAATAGAAACTATTCCAAAGAAAATTAAGAGAACTTCATTTTTCTATACAACTTTATGGATTGAGACACTTTCTGTAGGAATTCCTCAACATGAATTTTCTATTTTTTTACACTCTCTATTTTTCTTGTCTTTTAATAATTTGGAAAATCTGAGGCGAGATATTTCTGTATAAATATCTCAATAAAATGAGCTGTATAAAAAATTGAGTTCTATTGATTTTTTCACTGTAGTAATTTCCATTGAGCATTTATATTGAACAAAGAAGCGCACAGATAAGCTATAAAATTGTTCAATAATTCTGTAGCGAATTAACTACGTTTTTCTACACAATTTTTTCAACTTGGTAGAATGGTAGAACTTGGTAGAACTCTTTTTATGGTGTCATTCAGACCTAGTCTTGCATATAAGTTCGTTTTATCTGGGAAATGATTGAAATATGAACTTGAACAGTACATTTCTTTGTTGCAATGATATAAATTTAATAGACACGTGATGCCCATCCTCTGGGCTCGCCGCCCTTGGCGCCATTCCAACGGTTTTTACGCATGACACTGCTGAGAGACAAAGGAATACGCGGAAGCGATGGGTGTCTTTGTCAAAAAGCCATAGAAAAATTTTCACGTTTTATCAATTTAATTAGTTGTATCATGTCTGAAGATACGATGTTTATATAATTCACAGAAATTCATCGATGAAGATGGACAAAGGAGCACTCCCTTCATTGTTGCAGCTCGCCAGGGCCACGATAAAGTTATAAAAATGCTGTTGGATAAGTTTGAACCTGATATTGAACAAGAGGGAACTGTCAAGTTTGATGGATATTTCATCGAGGGAGCTAGTGCTTTGTGGTGTGCCGCAGGTATGACACGTGTCTTTATTATGCATGAAAGAGTCCAGATTTTCTGACGAAATGGTATTCAGATGAACCAAGTCTTTGGGTTTTTTCTATTTATAATTTCACAGACAATATAATTTTTATTCCTATAATTTTTATTCCTGTTTTGCTTTAATTTTCGTCACAAAATCCGAGCAACAAATGGATAAACTAGGATTCTTATAAATTCTTATAAAACATTGGAGCAGAATAAATTATATAGAAAAATCAACATCTATTGATTTTAGTGCATTGAATATTTTCAACGAATTGCACTCGCAAATTATAAATTAATCGAAACTGAAAAAAAAACAGTAGAATTTTTCATTGAAATTTACTAGACTTTCAATACAGTTCCAATAGAATATCACAAGAAGGCCAATAGAGTTGGAATCCCTTGCTCAAAAATGATAAAAATTGATCTAGGAGCTGGACATCTGAATGTAGTCAAAACACTCGTCAAAGCCGGGGCGGATATCAATCACGCAACGCATACAAATTCCACTCCTCTCAGAGCAGCGTGTTTCGATGGCAGATTTGATATAGTAAACTATCTCGTCGATCACGGAGCCGACTTACACATAGCTAATAAATATAACAATACGTGTCTAATGATAGCTGCGTACAAGGGACATCTGGATATCGTGAGTTGAATTTACCGATATTACCCTCACACCCAGAGAAATGCTTTATTTAAATGCAATAAACGACATTGGCATCAAATGGATGTATTCACTCAAATATTTCCTAAGAAACATTTATTCAAACTCAACTTTGATTTTTATTCGCCTTTATTCACATCGAATCAACAGTTCTTTAAGCTAAAAATTAATGATTTCTCTTTTATTTCATAAAATTAGAACATCTAATGAAATAAATTTTACTTAAATCAAATAATCATAAAAAAATAAACAACCTTTTCTCTCTAAATTCGTATAATTGAAGCACTCTCATTGAAATGACCAATAGAGTCATCAATGTCCCCCAAAAAAGCTGTTAAAATGAATAAAAAAATATCAAATGAATAGATCGTTCGTCTGGGTGTAGGAGAATACCCTCCCAAATAAATAACAAACAGACATTTACAAATTCAGATGACATTTTTATTGGAACACGAGGCGAACCCCAACGAGAAGGCGCTCTGTGGTGCGACAGCTCTTCACTTCGCAGCTGAATGTGGCCATTGCAACATTGTATCCGAGTTGTTGAAATACGGAGCGACAATCACGAAGAATGTCAGTGGAATGACACCACTGATCGCAGCAGCTGAGCGAACTCGAGCCAATGTAGTTGAATGTCTGATATCCGAGAATGTCGCCACAAAGGAGGAGGTGATCGAGGCCTACGAACTCCTGGGTGCATCATTCGCGAATGACAAGGACAACTACTGTTTGACAACAGCCTACAAGTACCTCCACAAAGCCATGAAGATGAGGTACAGTGATCCATCGAACATAAACCGTAAAGAAGTGGCCGAGCCTGTCCATGCGTACGAGAATTGGAGAGAGAGCGAGACTTTGGAAAGATTGGAGAGTTTAAAAAACGATGCAAATGCGATTCATATGGAGTCGTTGGCTATCAGGGAGAGAATACTAGGAAACCATAACCCAGAGGTGCCCCATCCAATCGTTTACAGAGGAGCTGTGCTCGCAGATAATGCCAGATTCGACAGGTGTATTGACTTGTGGCTGCATGCCCTTTACCTTCGACAGAGGAATAGCATCACTGCAGTGAAGGATCTCCTCAGATTTGCACAGGTCTTCTCCCAGATGGTTCACGTGGGCATCGATCTCCATTTCAGTCAAGTGATGAATGTGCTCAAAGCCAGTGTCATTGAGCTGGGAAGGAACAAAACGAGGATGTTAGCATCTGACGCCAAAGAGGACAAAGAACAGTCTCTCGAGGAGACAGAGTCCAATGTCATGACGACACTGTACATTCTGACTATTCTGGTGAAACTTATGGCACTCAATGAGAAGGCGTGCGATGAAGATACTGTGGAAAAGACGACATTTCTTGTCCGCAAGTTGTGCGCACTCAAAATGACTCTGAGGGATGGACAGACTCTTCTGCATCTTGCTGTCAATGCTAAAACTCCAGTTGATGATTTTCATACTAATAATGTCTGCAAATTTCCCTGCTTGGCCACTGCACAGCTGTTGATTCGGGGTGGAGCTGATGTCAATGCTATGGATAATGAGAGGAACACTCCTCTTCACGTAATTGCTACTTATCAGAAACCAATTAGTGATTTTATGACGCTTCACAGTATCATATTGGAGTTGATTGATGCTGGGGCGCACATGGATATCGTCAATAGTCAGGGGGAGACCCCGTACGATGCAGCAACAACTGGGGTTGCTGAGATCATACTCAGGACTCAAACGAAGTTGTCACTGCAGTGCATGGCTGCCAAGGCTGTCAAGACTTACAATCTTTCTTATTCGGGTAATGTTCCGAGATCATTGGAGAGTTTTATCGAACTTCACGGGTCGGGTCTTCATCAGGGATAACAATTATCTCGTCAGCTCGAACAGGAAGAAGACAAAACCTCCGATACCCTTTTTTTTATGAGCCAAAACTATGATTGTTTGATATTTGTAAAGAGAACATTTTTTTTACCGCAGAAAGAACCAGTGTCTTTAGTTGAAGAAATAAGATGTTGGATAGATGGTAAACCCATGCTGTAAATTTATAAACGTGTAATGATAGCGTAAATAAATGTATAGAAATATTCAACTGTTAGTTGAAGTTAATGATTTTCATATTAATAATTCATACTAATAATTGGGTAAAGTAACTCTGAGGGGTACAGTCTCCTCAGTTTTACTATGTAGGCAAACTGACGAGTCCGTTCTCTTCGTAGCTACCACCACTTTGGCTAATCCCCACGCACATCCATATCTCCCACCTCTGAACACGAATGTACCCCGAATATACTTCAATGACATCTAAAAGGGCCAGTGAGACCCACTAATTAAATATTCAATATTCTTTAAAAAAATCCAAGAGCCCCCTCGACTCCCACAAATAACGAAACGAAAAAACAATTCATTTCCTGACGCGCAGGTGGCGTGGCACTTTCAAAACATTAAAACACCCGTCAGTCTCTATTGATCAGGCCACCAGGAGCACGTGGTAAACCCAATACATTTCGCTTTCATCATTAATTAACATCTTCAAATTCCATAAAAATGAAGCTCAAAAATCTTCGGAAGAATCCCTTCAGTGTTTCCAAGTCAAAAGACGATGAAGTTGAAGTTAAAGAAGAAAATACGGATGAGAGGCAAGTGGAAGAGGTTAGTTTCCCACAGGATACGAATTTCAATCACATAAAATGCAAAGCTGTGAGGCAAATGAAGGTTCAAAAGATGATGAAAGCCAAGGCGAAGGCCAAGAAAGAAATGAAGAAAGCTAGAATTCAGTCTGGTGCTCCAAAACAAGTGCCCCATACAATTGAGAGTCTTCGTGAGAAAGACGAGACCACAATCAGTGGAGATCTTGATGACGAGGAGAATGCGGAGATCAAAGCAGAATTGATGAATGATGAATTTGCTGCCTATTACAGAAAGGATTATGAACCGAAAGTACTGATTACGTATTGTGATAATCCAACGAGAAAAACGCGAATTTTTGGGCGAGAACTCACTCGTATTATTCCCAATTCGCTCTCGCTGTATCGGAATCGTTCGGGTGTCAAGAAAATGGTGAAATCTGCGACTGCGAGGGGGTTCACTGATATTATCGTCATCAATGAGGACCAGTGCCAACCCAGTATCCTTTTTAATAACTGGAAATGTTAGCTGTTTGATATTTTTTGAGATTTACGTAAGAACACTTCCATTGAATTTCCATTTGAATTATGCTAATAATTCTGTTTTCACCGATTCTATTGAAAATTTCTGTGAATGGAAATGTTTAAGGGAATTTTATAGAAAAAAATGCATAGATTACGATCTTTTCTTAATATTTAGTCTTGAATTTCTTGATGAGCTAAAAAGAATCATCTCAACATAAATAATTCACGCCCAAGAATTTTCCTACTCTTAGAAAGAACATAAACTGAAATAACTATCGATATCTCGCAAGTCTGTCACGCTTATTCCTCGTTGGTTCACAGTCATCGCCTTAGGCGGCTAATTTCAATTCAGAATTCATTTAATTTTGAGATTTTCAATTTTGATCTCGTCTATAGAAAATATCTCGATAAAATAACTCGTTTATAAATATCAGGACTTTTTATTTTTTCCTACTAGAAAAATTCTGCCCAATTTCGTTCCAGTAAAACAATAGAGAAATCATTTTCAGTCTCATCTAATTCAAAATCAAAATGCATCTGTGACTGAAAATGTTTCACTTTCATTCTCAAGCAGGATAACAATGTCACGCAGATATGGAAAATGTTATGCTCCTCCCAATACACATTAAATAATTTTCCTCAATGAAATATTCAGATGGTATGTTGGTGGTTCACTTACCGGACGGACCAACAGCCCAATTCAAGTTGAGTAATGTTAAGATAACTCCAGAGTTGAAGAGAAGCCACAAAGAAATTACCGAGCACAGGCCTGAAGTTATACTGAACAATTTTACGACACGATTGGGTTTCACTATTGGACGTATGCTTGGAGCTCTCTTTCATTATCAACCAGAGTTCAAGGGACGCAGGGCTGTTACCTTCCACAATCAGCGTGATTATATTTTCTTCAGACATCACAGGTATAAAATAAATCGAACAAAAGCCTCTTGCATGGGTTCCGAAAGAAATCTCTGTATGAATTTCGGTTGAATGTCCACTGTTGATTAGGTTATTCTTGGATTTTCTTCAAATTTCACCCGAAGTTTATTTACTTAACAGGACTTGGTGCAACCTAGCCTGAAAAACAATTTAACGAAGGGAATTCTTTACGCAATGTCCAGTGGGGAAACTAGTTTATTAATGAGCACTCTAAAAAGTTCTTTGAAATTGCAGATACGAATTCAATCTGAAAACTGGTAAACCAAGGTTGAGAGAATTGGGACCTCGATTTACATTGCGCCTCAAATCCCTCCAGCATGGGACATTTGACAGCAAATATGGAGAATACGAATGGATAATCCAGGGTAAACGTCATGCAATGGAGACGAGCAGAAGGAAATTCTTCTTGTAAAATGGAAAAAATACTTGGTTCTCATTTTTTGAATAAAGAATTTCTTCTTCTAGAAAAAAAATGCATACTTTATTCAATTCCCGTTGTCTTTTACGTATTCACGTTGTCCGGAAGAGTTGGAAAAATTGCTGATGGACAGTTTGAACTGTTCATAACTCAAGTTGGTTCGCTTCAGAACGTAAACAGCAGCGTTGAGTCCCCCCATACTAACTCCAAGCATTTTTTTAACTTTGAGAAGGTTCTTTGCCACCTGCAGAGCTCCAACCATACTGCGACGATCGTAAGTGAGTAGAACTATCTTCCCGTGTTTTACTCTGACCGCTCGAGCCAGTTCCAGAATATATTTCTTGTAGAGAACCCTGTTGTCAAACATTGATCCCATTCTTTTACCAAATGGCATGTCCGTGACAAAGGCATCGATGTAGGAGTCTTTGAATGGCAATTGCATAACATCCCACCTGATTAAATCACATTTGAAGGAGTCTTTCAGGGCTGCGAAGTTCAGTCTAGATCTCTCGACGGCTTTTTCGTGATTATCACCACCGATTACGAATGATTGAGATAATTCTAGAGCTCCCTAAAATTGTAAAAGTCTTGATTAGTATTTATACTGTTAACGAGGGACTGATCACTTTGAAAAAAATTACACTCGGGGACATTACGAAGTTTCAATGATTCGGAATGGATTTGGGAGTTCAAAAGATTTCTTTAAGTTTCACGTAATGCAATTTTATTGGAATTCTGGGAAAAGAATGGAATTTCATGGATAGTTCATAAGTAATTTTCAGGAGAGTGAGATTGAATTCAATTTCGGGGAAAGAAAATCATGAAGTTTCAAAACTTTGAGCAGCAGGAAGACGAGAATTCCCATAACGAACTTGAATTTATAATGAAAACGTGAATATTCAGTATCTAATTACGTTGAATTTTCAGTTAATTGAACATCTATTCAATCTGTACATCAGATATCATAAGCTACTGTATACTGTTTTTTCAATGAAAATAGATCTTACTTCAATGGGAATTGATCCTCCACCGCACATCGGGTCAACAATAATATCCCCTGGTTTTGGGTCAGCCAAGCTCAATAAATTGTACGCTATAGTGGCCCTAAGTGTTGTTGGCCCAAAGTATTTAATATTCCTTCGATGAAGGGACTCTGGTGTCACTCTCAGCCCCATTATCATTTGACCTAAAAGTAAATACCAAGTCATCATAATCTATTCTCATAATCAGCAAATATTAAAATTACCCAAAAAATAGAAATGTTACTTTTGAGAGGCAACAGAACCCACCATGTGTAATTTTACACAGAACTTCGAGCTGATAAGTCGTTAGATCCACAATCCAGTGGTAGAGATCTTGCATTTCACCTCCAATCACACAAGCAACTTGACTGGAATCGAAATTATGAGTTCCTGTTCTCTCACATGACACCCTGAATGATAATACATTGTCTTCCCCTCCGAATGCTGGATCGCAGCCTCTTTTCTTGCTACCAGGAACTTTTTCATCATTTTTATTCTGTTCTTTCTCTGCTTTATAAATCTCCACAGCACTCTGATAATCCTCTAACGAGGGATATAATTTACCAGGGAATCGAGTGATTTCCTTCCAAGCGTTCAAACATTTTTTCAATTGTGCACAAGTCCTCACAGATTCTCTGAATAGATTCAAATTGAGGTCTGGATTTTCAGAGTCATAGGGGAAATATTGAATGCTGGCGATCACATAAATATTATCAACTGATCTCAATTTTCTGACTTTGGAAAAATCGTTGGAATTCACATTGAAAAATATCTTTCCTCGGTCTTTTACCACTCGCAGATTCGGGGATATCTTCTCTTTGCATTCGTCCACTGCTTGCCATTCAAAACCTGGCAATAATTTTTGTATTTACATTGTTGGATTTCAAGGTTATGTTTTAGTTTTTCGAAATGGTCTTCGTAATTACCTGTGTCTACAGTCGTTTGCACTGTTAAAAGGTCACTGTCGTTTGTTGATATGTCGAAGAGCCTTTCTAAATCAGATTTCGATTCTTCTGACATTATGAGATGAAAATTTTTTAGGATTGATCACTCAGCCTGTTGCGCGTTCATAGGGCGCATGTGGCTGATGTGTGCCTCAAACGAGAGAATTTGAATTTGGATAATAGTAAGGTAGGTTTGGGAAGAAAGCTGATATTTCATTCAATTTTTGGGGCATTTATTAGATTGTAGGGGAGAGTTGGGTAAAATCGACACTTTTGACTTTTTTTTAAATGTTAATGACAGGCTGAATTGTTGGTGAATATTTTTTTTATTTTTCAATAAGAAGAACAATTTTTTCATTTGTGTTAAGCCTAAACTGATTTCAATTGATAAATCTGTCTCTGAGTTATAAATATTTCTTTAAATATAAAAAGTGTCCATTTTACCCCACCCTCCCCTATGTTTGTGGATTTTTATTGAACTTTTTTTGAAAATTTTACTAATTATTCGTCAATTCCATTGAACATTTTGCGAATGTTTTTCAATAGAAATATTTATTTGAAAATAATTCAATTCAAATATTCAATAGATTACATTCAACTTATTTTTAGAATTAATTTTTATAGAAAGGCCTCGGTTAAAATTTTCGACGTTTTTTTAATCCAATTTTTTTATGAATAAAAAATTGAGTGGAAAAAACGTTAGGTACAACAAAATTCATAGTCATGGTATTACATACTGAATTTTTCAATCTTCTATATCTCAAAATTATAAAAAAGAGTATAAAAATCGTAGACGTACAGAGTATTAAATAGACATTCAGATAATTTGGCTTGAGTATCTTAGATTAGTCGGTATTAAATATTTCTGGATGATTTCTTCCTTCAGCCAGCGGTCGGTGAACTGCAGGTGATTAGTGTCTACCGATAAGAAATCAATCTGTCCGTTGTTGTCCATCTCTTTCAGTCCCAGGCGATCCTACAATTGTTAATTATCAGAATTACCTATTTCTTCCAACATCTCTGAAAAATCAAGCTGTTCACCTCCAAATGATGTAAATTAATCGAGGAAATCAGGGGTTTTGGTGTGACAAAATCATTGCGATTTAATTATCGGTGATTCGACAGTTTGCTGAATATATTTCAGTGAAATATTAATTTGGGATAAAATATATTCTGCGAAATGTCACTTGTCTATTGTTGAATCACAGTGATTTGCCAATTTCTCGATTTACTTCTTTAGTTTTACCTCAGTATAAAGTGCGGATTCTTGAAGGGTTTCGAGTTCCACTGCTTGTCCAGGCTGATAAAATCCGAACCACTCGGTCTCACGGGGTTGAACCATCGTGTCATTAGCAAATTTAACAAGAACTAGTTTCTCAAGTGCTTTCAAGTTATCTCTGTACCTCTGTAAATGTCGTAATTTATTAGTAGGAGGAAGTCACTCACGAAAAAATTTAATAGGAAATGCTAGTGCATTCGCTAGAAAATTCTACTGAACTCGTGTTAAAAATTCTGTCTATTTTCAACTGATTCTAATGTTTTTGACTGATATCTGTACCTCATTAACTACCAATTCATTATTGATATCGGCTAAGAAGACACTCCCACGCTTGTACTCTTCCTCCTTCAACGGGTCGTGCCAGTATTCGGCCTGGACGAATCTATTTTGGATTAATCTGAAGCGAAAAAACATCGAAACATGAAGTGATGAGAGTGGAGCAATTGAGTTCGGCCACTTGTGATTTTTTTAAATGTCAATAATTCTGTAGCGAAGTGGTAAAAGAAAATAAGTGGATTCTTCATATTTTTTAAAAACTCGGATTATCTCGGTAAAGAATGATTGTAGGAGATAATGTCAAAAGACCTTTTTTGTAGCTGATTTAATTTCCATCAAAAAATGTATTCTGACATTATCACCGAAAATCACTCCTTACTAAAATAATCCGACTTATAAAAAGATGTGAAAAATGCACTTATCTCGTTTTACCACTTCACTACAGAATTCGTTGAACGCTTGATGAAACGTGATAATTTCCTCCTTGTGATGAGTCCAGACTGAGTTCAACCGATTCCATTCAATTATTTCTGAGCTATGGACATTTAGAAATAAGTCAAATGCCCGGTTTGCCCCACTGCCCCGTCTTACTTGAGATAAGCTCCGTAATTGAGAACTCTCCTCAGATAATCGCAGAATCGATGCTTCATGGACCCACAATTCGGTAACCCATAGACCCCTTGATGCTGCCCTCCCAACGAAATCAGTGTCTTCATCTGGGGGATTGGGCACCTCTGAGCTACTGCACGTCTGCATCAAGAGTTAACGAATTATTCCTGGAAAATCCTAGACCTTTGCTGGGTAAAATGCTTTATTTACAGGAATTGTGCTCCTTGGGAGAATCCAATGGCATTGTATCCACCCTGCAACTTCTCATCGTTCGCCAGGTCCTCGCAGACTTCCCTGACTTGCTCGTTTACATTCCTGAAGTAACTGTTCTTCACGTCCTTTCAATACAGTTCATAATTAATCACATGGAAGTTGAGAGGAAATCATGCAAGTGAAATTGGGGGATACCTCAACAACATCGTCTCCAATGCGAACGGACTTGACGTAGACCCCAGGTATTTCTTCCTCTATGATTGTTTTGATCTGCCCCAGGCTGAAGGAAAAGCAACAGCTGTCTCCTGATGTCCGAGAATTTCGCGATTATGAAAAAATATTTGATATTTGTTAGTGGGAAAATTGAGATGGAGATAGGTGATTATTTATTTTAATTTTTATTTTCATATCGGGCGAATTTCGTATGAAGCTGAAACTAGCGAAAATTCGACAGCACAAGATTTGTCTTAGACAAATTTAGGGGTGCACAAATGTTTTTAAGTAATGTACAAACTCATTCGCACTTGAAAAACATTTGTACATATGATTATTTGACTCTCCTACACTTGAATATTCCCTAAATTGAATTTTCCGCTGACGAATATTCTGTTAGTTTCAGTTTCATGAATTTCGTGGTCATTTCCCCTTTTGCTACGTCTCAAATGAAGAGATTCTATTGGTGTTCATGAAATATAACATCAACTTTTTATTTGTAATTTATTTGGAAACTGAGATGAGGGGATAGCTAAAGGATTTAACAGGAATTCGATTATATTTGGAACTCTTAAATGAGGAAATAATAATCCAATATCAACTTTTCGTTTACAATTAATTTAAAATTAATTAATTTCAATTAGGATAAAGAAAATAGAAGATCATCTTCATTTTGCTGCCCCAAACTTCGCTATTTTATGGTTCTCTCTATTCTCAACATCGCTACCCTAATAGGAGTGAATTCTTTCATTTCCAATCGTATATAATATAAAACCAGTATTAATACTTCACTTATTTTGCAATTGGGATGAAGAAAAACGATTTTTATACTTCAGCCTTCGTTATTTCTTTTGCATATGATGTTGATGGTGCAGGAATTCCTCTTTATTTTCTACTCCCAAATGATAAAATTCGAATTCTCCTCATTCTTATCACGTACGAGGGGGAATAGCATGAAATAGAATACACTATCGCACACAACCAACTTTTTATTCATAACTGATATTAAAATCAGAATGAAGGAAACAGATAACGAATTATTTTCGCTCCTCAGCAACAGTATTCCCAATTCCCATTGAAATTCACCTAAATTCCCTGAAAAATCCCTCTCCATTCCCAACTCACAAATTCGAAGATTCTGTTTCTCCTCCGTAATAAAAATTCAAAATCAATTTTTCATTCGTCATGAATTCTGCAATTACTTGCATAGAAATCTCTCCCAATTCCATTATGGAAAATCAAATCTTCCGCTCTGATGTAACGCATGTTCTTGCCCACCGATGCATTCCCACCAATGAGAGCTCAATACCCCGGCCATGACAGTGAACACACGTCCTTGGGTACCGTCTGTTTGGCCCCGTCTCACCCAGAATTGACCTTCGTTCACTCCAGCCCCGATAACCCTCTCCACCCGCCAGAAATCTCAAAAATAAACTCACCCATGCCATGCCACAGTACAATCGGCACCGGCGCCTCAGATAATCCAACACCACTCGTATACTGATAATCGTTTATTAGAAAAAATAAAAATACAATTTTCAAGTTGAAAATACACATGATGGAAGTATTATGAGTATTTTTGTAATAAGTCCAATTAACAGCACAATCGAAACTAAATCATTAAAATACGTCTGTGTTGAGGGTCTCGGTGTGACTGATTCTAATAATTTCTGAAAGGCTTAGATAAGAGGTCACAGTTGCGCCACTGGACGGACTCCCAGGAAACCTCACGTTTTAATCCCGTCACGTTTGCTCCTCAGATAAGTTCAATGGGTAAAAATAAAATTGACAATTAAATATTAGTAAATCGGGAGAGTGGGGCAAATGAACCTCTTAAAATGTTCAATTTCTCTGGATCATAAAAAATTTGATTAGTGAAAAAAATCCATTTTACCCCATTCTTCCTCGGTGATTATTAGTGAAAACTTCTCTCTCAGTCTCTGGTTAGATCGTCTGCTCTCCAATCACATGGCACTTCGCACACGAAATAATTTCATTGAAATATCTAGTGAATTTAATAGAAAATTCTATTGAACTATTCCATTGAACTAAATATTTCTATTGAACTTCTATTGGAAAATTCTGCAACTTTACTGTGCGTTTTTTTAATAGAAAATTTATGAAGAAAACCATTTTGATGAAAAAACCAGAAGAATTTCTTCGTTTGTAGCGAATTCGTTAGGTTTTTCTATGAAATTTTTTCGTACGCGTCATCTTCATCAAATAATAATTTCCTTACTTCATTTATAAAATAAATTCCTGTCAACATCTGTCGACACTAAATTCTCTCCAAACATTCTATTGTATTTCTATTGCACTTCTATTCTATTGAAGAATTTATATGGAAACGTTTTCTATAAGAATTCCTCGACATAAATTTTACTAGTTTTTTACACTCAATTTTTCTTCTCCTTTCAAAGAAGAAAATCAAACAAAAAACTTGAAATTTTAAGCCCAAAAATTTTTACAGAATATTTCCCATTGACCATTGCACAAACGGATTTTTTCAATAGAAAAATCCAATACAATTTTCTAGCGAATTCGTTCGATCTTTCAATGCAATTTTTCCCCACATTTATAAAATAAATTCTCCATCAACATTTCTCGATATTAAAATCTCTCCTCAATTTCAATCTCAACTATTTTCATTTTTACTCTCAATTTTCTCAGCACGATCACCAAGCTAAACTTATCACAAATGGAGAGAAATCATTAACAGTAATACTCTCATTAATCCGAACATAACACAACTCCCTCATATTTACAATCGTCAGAAAATTATCTGAGAATTTCCTCCTTCTCAAGGCAACACTAGTGTATCCGAGTTTAAATCGACATCAATGAACGAACAGTGAGAAAATAATTATCAAAAATACCCAGCACAGTCATCAATTATCGCCAGTTTCTCATTCCCCATTCTCTATCGACATTAGACTAGTATTAATTTAAAGCTAAAACGATTTACAGAAACTCGAGATTGAAAATTCTCAGTCTTGAGTGCGACGTTTTAATATCATAATTCTTGATATAGAACCGCGTATCTCTGTCGATCCTTCTTTCTTGTGCATTGACTCTGGTGTTTCTTCAATTGCATGACAAGTACTTGAGCGATCATACAATCCCCTCAGATCGTCGGAGTTATGTCGACTTGTGTGCGTGAGTGCGCTCGACATGCCAGCTCGAAGAATTCACGGTTCAAACCGTTGAGGCGTTTTTCAAGCCTCAGGTGATTGAGAAATTTATCTTTCTTCGATCTGCTGAAGTGCCCACGTCCAACTGTCATTCTGAATGCTGCTTCCTCAGCTGCAGACATTGCATATTCCTCCGATCCCTCTTTAGCTCTTGACGCCTGGGCATTGCGAGTATCAATTGATCCGATTTTATCAGGTCTGACGTCTAAATCTGAATCTAAAAAAACATTAGAAAAACGGAGAAATAAATGAAAAATTTAATACTGATAATGTCCATTATTAACATTATTTATAAGATGTAAAAGATTCAAATACATTCATATCTTGACATAAAATTTCAGAATAATAAAGAAATTAGAAGAAATTGACATAAGAATTTTATTTCTTTCGATTGAAAATTCATATTAAAAAGGTAATATCATCAATAACAAAATTTTAAAAAACTGACACTGGTTTTCATCGAAAATATTTTCAATCAAATGTGTACACTGTTGGAGAAAAATTGAAAATTAGGGGGAGAAAAGAAAAGAAATTTCAGGTTTCACTGGAAATTTAATGAAATTCGATATTTTTCCGTGTGAAGATTCTGAATAAAGTTTTTACTATTCGTATTTTCTTTGTTTACCTTCACTCGATGAAGTGGTGGAGGCTGATGAGTCATCCCAAGCAGGTGCTTGTTGTCTCGTTAAAGTACTCGGTGTTGAAGACACAACTCTCGTTGCAGTGATACCAGTTTTACTGACGTTTGTCACGATGAGGGAAGCATCGAAGCTGGAGGGTCGTTTCCTCCTGTATCTCCGCTGTGCAGCCCTTCTGTTCCTATTCTCTTGATGGGTAGAAGTGCACTCCTCAGCCCCCACTACTGGCTCACTCACGTCCTCAATCGTGGGACCCTCTGGCTGCACTTTGTGTGGCGAGGGGGGCTCAGGAACAGTTTTCGGTTCGATATTTCTGCTGATGATCGAATAGCATTAATGACAATTGAAACGTGTCACCATTCTCATATTCTTCGTAATTGTGGAAAATCGAATGGTTTCAATGAATTCCGGACGGACGTACATGGAGTTATGGTTCGGGAAATGGTTCAATTCAGCTTATTTCTGGTTGCATATTTCATTAAAAATATATTATGAAATAAATAAATAAATAAATAAATAAATAAATATATTAAGTATGGAAGAAAATTATATTTTGTGGTCAATCGACTGGTAATTTTCAGGAGAATGACAGTGAATGCGATTTAAGAGGGAAAAAATCATGAAATTTCAGATTTCAGTAAAAATTCAATGAAATTTCAAATTTTTTGATAGTATTGAGATAAGCACTCCTGAATCTATTCGAATTTCCAATGAAATCATGAATATTCAGTGCTGAATTACAATGAATTTTCAGTTAATTAAAAATCCAAGAATATATTTAAGACAAGAAAATTTAAAAATAAAAAACTCAGAAATGCCGAAAAATTCCTATAGAAAATGTCTCAATTGAACAAGTTGTGTAGAAAAACGAAATTCTACGGATTTGTTCTATAAAATAGTTCCTATTAGCCATTTTTGATTTTAAAAAACGCGTCGTAAAGCTGTGGAATTATTTAATAATAGAATTCACAAAATTCTAATAGAATTTCCAAGAAAATTTCAATAGAATTTTCTATCGAATTCGCTAGGTTTTCCTATATATTTGTTCCGTGCGCGGAAAGAATTTATATTTCAATGACACCTTGAATCCTCAAACTCGTCGTGAAAATTGTAAATCCCATTCAATTATAATTTTTCAATGCATTGAAAATTCAAAACAGTAATGCTTGAATTTTCCCAATTTCCATTCTAGCAATTGAACACGAAAAAATGAAGGAAATTGATTGAATTCAGATAAATCCGTCGTGGTAAAAATTCTCAGTAAAACTAGATATGTTTAATCACTAGTTAAGATCGACTTCCGAGTGCCGTATGACGTGTCCTCCCCCCTCGCTGAATAGCCCCTCTCAATTGGCAAATCACGAGTCTCCCAAAGTTCATGTGCCTCAATCAGAATAAATTCAAGCAATTCATGCACGAGTACTTCGACCCGAGACGGCCCTAATCGCTCTCATTGATACCGTATCCAGACGTCTGGAGGTATCTCTTTACACGAGTTTTCGGTTGCTGAGTAACTACCCGATTGACCCTGGCGTGAGGTCGAACCGAGGGACGTTGGGAATCTCTTGTGCTCAAGGGTGACGTGCAATGGAGGTCATCTCCTGTAATTGACTTCCAGGCGAGCCAATTGTAATTCAATTCGTATGTTAGTGGGTTGTTCCAATTATCTTTACGTTCATTTCTGGTTTTGTGACGTCTGGTTCATTAGGGAAATTAACGGCAGATTTTTCGTGGCGAATTTCGTCAACTTGAACAATACTTACTCGACATTTCTTTCGAAAAACTGTTGCACTCATTTAATTAACGACTTGATACAATTATTTTCATCTTCATTTTTCCTTCTTCTCCATTATGTTGAGATTAATGGATAATTAACGGACGAAGTGATTAATTTATAGTGTAGTAATTCAATTGCTGGACTGTTACAAACTATTTTCATATTTATTTCTAGTTTTTCTTTATTGAAGAGGAATGATCAACTGACAGTTTTTACTGCAGATTTTATCAGCTTTGAAACTAGTCTTGTGACATTTTCTATTGAAACTACTCGTTCTTGAATTGAATTTATAATTAAACAAGGAGTATGATTAATTTATAGTGTAGTAATTCAATCAATGGATTGTCGCAATTCCTTTTCATCTTCATTTTTACTTCTTCTTTATTCCATCTTGGTAATCATAAAATTATCTCGGGGCTAAGTAGGTAAAGTCGAATGACCCATCTGTATTTTTTTATTACAAATTTCCTCAGCTTAAAAAGTAGTCTCTTGATATTTTCTGTTAAAACTTAACATAAGCAGTATGATTAATTCATAGTGCAGTAATTCAATTAATGGACTATCACAACTATTTAGTTCTCAATTTTTACGTTCCTGTTATTATGACACAACGACAAAACACAGCTCCTGACATTTTCTCCTGGAAACACTCGTAAGCGCAATGAATGCAGAATTAATGAAAATTATCCCATCAGCGAAGGGTATTTTTTTTACCGAAGAGAATGGCATAACCTGACAAATAATCCGATGATGAAGGTCCTGGCCTCGAGCACTCTCTCAAGTTTTTGCACAACTGCGCGATGCTGTTTCTGAAATAGCGTCACGGCCCTCCACATGTGACACTCTAAATAAAATATTTCGCATCATGGGATGTGTTTGTTCCATCCACCACCCGGAGGGATTCGCACATTTGGATCAAATTTTAACGCATGTACCTCCCACTCGGTTTTCCCCCGTTGCGCAGAAGTGTTCATTGAAATTCTTGATGAATTTGGTATTCACGGTCTACGACGCGTCTTATAACATTTTGCTGTTGTTCCAGGTGCTTCGATCATCCGAAGGCGCTTGAAAACATGACGAGATCTTCGCAAGCGAGCATTCTTTAAAAAATTTGTTATGATTAGAACATGAATATTACAAGACTTTGGAGCACCAATCTATATGGAAATATATCGATATATCGATTGAAATATTCGCGAAAACCGCCCACTCGCAATAAAGATATGATAATCTTCACGCGTTGATTAAAATTTGATGAGAAAGTCGAGACAATCTCAATAACATGAAATAATGATAATGCAGGATCCATTTGGACATGTAGAAAACGAACATAAAACAGTTTCGAGTGATGAAAAAATTATCATGAATTAAAAAATCGAGGGAGATATTCTTTAATGAAGAATTTTCAATTCTCGAAATATTTTTTCCGTGTAAATAACACTTGACTTTCCAATCCAAGGTTAAAATTTCCTTGGTTACAGAGAAAGTTCTGACCTGAGGTCAGAAGAAACTTGACAAAAAAACGTACTCTCGCGTGACAGCGTGTCGTGTAAAATGCCAAGGTCACCCACTATCACCCATAATCAGTACGACGATAGCATTAATGTCGAATCGTTAAGTTTGCTTGAACGAGTGAATTCCGAACGATAACGAGCCCCCTTTCTATGTCTCATATAACCCGTCACTCGAGAAGATTAATACTACCCAACACGTCTGTAGAAAACTCGGGGTAATAAATTTTTATCGTTATTTTTCAAATCAAAACTTTTGTTATCGTCAAGGATTTCCTGACTAAACCACGAGGAATTCAGTGATAATCCCGGCAAGTTCAGTTTCATCATATTTTAACTATAACATATTTTAAGTATTCGAAATACGAATAGTTATAATAGATTTTTTGCCAATTGAAACGATTCAGGCAAAGCTCCAGAATTTTAAAGTCATATTCAAATTCATTCAGACTTGAAAAAAAATTGTTCATGAATGTTCGACCGTAGATCCTTAAAAATCGCCTAAATTGAATCTTCCGCTGGTGAAGATTCAACTGGTCGTTTCTAAAAAAAAAATATTCGAAATTAAATTTCCACAAGGAGAGTAATGTTCAGTAAAAATTACGAAACTCACAATTCGCTCACCGATTACGGAATCGACTCAGAAAATTCAAGTGATGTGTATCGTAATTTTTCACAGGAGATTTAGATAAAAATTACGGAACGCTCTGGAAAAATTCCGTGACAGTTCCGTAAAATTTTCTACAACCACACTTCGCTCCGGAATTACGGAAAAAGTATTTGAACACCTTTCGACTCGCAGGCGAGTCTAAAGGTGTCCAAATACTGCAGTCATATGTAAAAACATTGTTCGTGTGAATATTTGACCCTTACACCCTTCAAAATCCCCTAAATTCAGCCTTTAACTTGCGAATACTGCACTAGTTTCAACTTCACAGAGAACAGACCGCCCCTAATTAATCAGTATCGCAATTAAATGTCCCATGCAATGAGTTCATCATCAATGATCTCAATGCATTTTTCTCAAGATCATCCTTCTCACTCTATCCCCTCGATTTACGTAATTACAGTTGTGTACGTCTCAAGAATTTTCACAGCAAAGAACAAGCATCATCACAGAGTCTCGATGCCAAGAACTCACGTCATGTGGGTTCTTATAATGTAGCACGCAAGACAGTGAAAGTCGGTTCATTACTTTATTCCAAGAGGGATAAAATGATAAAAAACGAATGAGATCCATAAAAAAAAAGTACGACATACGCAAACGTCTGGCGCTGGAAACTTCCCTATCACCCTGTATTTATAATAAATATAACATCTGCATTTTTTCTGACAATTGCGTATGAACAGAGTGGAAGGAGTCACGCACATTGACGCTGTCGAGTGCCGTAAACCGTCTGCAAAATTGACGATGGGTGGGGGGACGGGGCTCTGGAGCGTAGGAATAGACCCACTTCTGAGTAAAAATACAAATGCGTCACATGACCTGCCCTACCCCCTTCCATGACCGTCGCAATTCCCCAAGAAAAAATGGCAATTATTTTTCATCAATATAGATGGAAATTCATCTTTTTTGTAATACCTCCCTCAAAAATTCACTTTATGCCACTCATGCCTGAAACCGGCTAGATTACACACTCGACGCTTCACGTCTCGTGGCTAATTCAGCCGGTTTCAGGCTTCGTGACATAAAATTTTATTCAGTACTTGTTGGGAAATTTCGTCCTTAACGTGTGTGGTTACATCACTCGCTTTCGGCTCATGCTGTAAACCCCACACACGTTAAAGACGATATTGCCCCACACGTGCTGAAATATACTATTTCGAAACCGTTTAGTGTGTGTAAAGTGGTTGTTTTACGCACAATGTGCGTAAAGTTCAGAGGTCGTGCGTAAAGGGAATTTCGAGTGCGTAAAGCGAAGCTTTACGTTGGTGCAATGTTGAATTCAATGAATCATTGAATTCAATTTAAAACGCATCGTCATAAAACTTCCAGTCGGAAATAAATAGCTAATTTGTTAGCAAAATAGTATTTTTCCGGCCTGTTGCGATGGGGTTTTTTACTCGTGTGGCGTTGGCCAACTGGCCAACCACACGAGTAAAAAAACCCCATCGCAACAGCCCAGGAACAATATTTTTCTGTAGTGATTTTCAAGTTTTCGAGTTTGGGAAGTATGTAATATCAATTCCCAGACGAGAGATCGTGAGAAGCAGTACAGAAAAATATGTTGACTATGCTGTGGCGAAAGTAATTTCCCACTTGTTTTTATTGATGGCCGTTACAAATTGGAAATTAGTAATGACCGTCATTATGCATGTGTATAAATGGTTTGACAACCATTTAGCTACAAATTATTAGCGACCATAATTAGGCAATTTGTGCGTCAGATGAGCCTCATTTTTTATATCGCACAATATGACCAAAAATGACGGCAATTTTGCATCTCTACTCGCGAGTGCACGTGTACTCTGGCCTGTGTGAATCCTGTATGAGTAGTACACGCACACCGAACGTGGCTCCGAGCCAATTAAGGCGATTATGTCGATTCTACGGTGTGATTGTTAATTATTCATGCATGCATGCTGAGATGCTGATTTTCCGTGCTGACACAATTGATAAAATCACGATTTGGTGACTGAAACTTGATTTTTATGTTGTACATTCAAACAAACAAAGATTATTTTTATCGAGTGAACAAAATCCACCTCCTTTTTTTCGATTTTCTTCTTTGCGAAAAAAAAATTGAAAATTGCCACGTTTCGTGCCGTCGCTATGGGTCGAATGATAATAGATTGAATTGCAAGTTGGATTCAGTGTCGAAGTAATCACTGATTCCGAAAAAAATCCCGCAAGTGGGGATAAAACAGTAGATATGACACAGCGAAACGTTAAATTTGTCGATTGCCGTTGGATAAATTCAACCATTCTGGCAATTTTCTTCAATTCTTTTCAACATTTGTAGTTGTTCATAAGGACCTTTTACTTCATTTCCATTTGACCCTAGGTCATTAAACATTTGTTCATGATTTTATTCTCTGAATGATGGAAGTTTTAATTTTACTTTCCCTTTCAAATCGTTAGCAAACATTTAAAAGTGATTTGAAATAATGGCAAAATGATGATAAAACAGTACATGACACGGCGAAATGTCAAATTTGTCAATGGTAATGTTTCCTAATGAGTTAAGGTGATGGTAAAACGAGTTGAAGCAAAAAACATTTGAAATTATAATAAAAATGCCTGCGAATGGCGATAAAACAGTAGAAATGACAGTGAAATGTCGAATTCCTCTGTTACTATTGGAGAAATTCAATTACATTGGCAATTTACTTCAATTCTGTGCAACATTCAAAAGTTCTGGAACAAAACTACAAAGTCTGGTTGTGAAATAATTGAAAAATCGCCATTTTTGCGAAATAAATTTTTAATAATAATTTATAAAATTTATAATCAATTATATAGTTCGTAAAATTTACGTAAAATTTGTTTCACTAGTAAAATTCGGGAAATTCATCTTGGAAAACTTTCTCACTGTTTCCTCCGCTCTACTATTTCTCAACAATTATCTCTGCTTTAATGAGCATGAAATGAAATTCCTCATTTACACTGACGTTCGCTCCTTATCGCGGCTGAATGCAACTCTTCCTAGCGATATTATTCCTCAAATATAGTGGAATGACTCATACATCGAGGAGTGAAGTGATCTGAACGACTTGATCGTTAAAAAACAGGAATGTTCCGAGCGTGGATCATGGCCTTCCTCGTTTCAAATGAGGAAATGAATTTCCAAGGTTTGTTTATCGATGGGGGAGCCGTGAACTTGAATATCCCACTTCCCTTTTCCCGGATCGAGAGCATATAATACGCTAAAAATACGGGTGAGACCCGGTACACACCGTTATACAATCCGCTTGGGATGGGAAAAAGGGGTTACTACAAAGAGGGAACAATGAAAGCCTCTCGCGTGTTTCGTGCAATATTCGCGTGACCCTTATGGAAAAAAGAGACGTCGCACAAATTTCTGGCTCAATTTCCTTTCGAAAAAATCGATATTCCGACACTTGAGACGTGACGAGAGAAAATGAAAGGGAATTCACAGAGAATTGATTTCACTATCGATTGGGGGGAGGGGGGAGGGGGAGATTTCTTTAGTAGATAAAGTGGAGGAAGTGATAGGGGTTCATATTATCATTGTTTTCAGCAAAATTTTGAGATTGCTGCGGAAATTCCCAGCGGGTGCACAAAAGAGAATTTCTAGAATCATTAGAATATTTTTTTGTACAATTTAAAAAACTTTTTTGTCCTTCAAAAATTTTTTTAAGGATATATTTTCCTCTTTTATGCAATTTTTACGGTTTTTTTTTGGATTTCTGAGACACAATTTATTGGACTGACGGTGGTTATTACCGTGTAACCAGTTTTCTGGGTTTCAACTAATCATTTCGGAAATACATAAAACTAGAAAAAACGCAGAAAAATTGTTGCAGGATAATGAAACTGTGAGTCGCTGAAGAATGGCAGAACTTGATATTGAATTATATTTCGATTCTAGTTTTCAAGATATTCACGTTTTTGTCTCAGCAACTCCCATTTACACCCATGTTAAATTGTTTTTTTCAACTTTTCTGACGACGTCGTTTTTTATTCTATGGGGATCATTTTTGTATTAAAATGTGCAGAATGTTATCAATATTATCAGAGTATACTGCCTATTCACAAAGTGGTAGACGTATACTACGTCTTTAAAACTTGAAAAAAAAAAATCAATTTGTGTGGTACAAGGCTTCCCTTATCCCCAAGGATTTCCTCACTAAAACCACGAGGAAACCAGCAGTAATCTCAAGAAGTTCAATTTCCCCATATTTTATTCACATTAAACTAACTAAAATCGGTTTTTTCCCATCAAATTTTAACGGTTTATTTTCCATTTTGAAAATCTTCTCTGAAGTGTTGGAATATGATCAGATTCACTAAAATTGTACAGTTTGGCCAGTAGACATTTTAAACTACAAGACATCAATTCCAAAATTATAACTAAAAATTTATTCATAATTTTTGTAGCAAAAATTATTTCAAGTGATGAACATTTCAGAATTATTTGAAGTCGTAATTGTTTTCCTACGGCCAAAAATTTCTTTATTGAATCATAAGGTCAGTAATGCCCCTAGTTCAATTTCTACATGTATTATTTACCGCATGGAATACGAATAGATCGATATATGCAACTTATAGAAGAATGAAACGCCTTTAACCTGAAATAACTCGAGATCAACAGAGCGAAATTCATTACACATTAAAACATCGTGAAAATCTTGTTTCAATCTTTGAAGTGAGATCAGATTTGTAGATATTTCCAATTTACAGACATTAAATTAAAAAAAAACACGAAATAAAATTGTTTTCATTGTATAATAAGAAAGTCACTAATACCCGCAGTCCAATTTCCTCATGTACTATTTACATGAGCTACGAATAGATCGATATTACACTTATAGAAGAATAAACTGTCTTCAATCTGAAATAACTCGAGTGAAATTCATCAAATTTCCTATCAATTTCACCATCTTTCCTTAATCTTTGAAAGGAGATCAAATTTATGAAAATTATGCTGTAGATACGAATACAATTTCAGTTTACTACCCATTGGAAAATTCGAAAAAATAAATGTTACTCCAAATAAATTGCTTCACAACTCCTGCAGTGAAGAAATTCTTACTCCAAAACTTCTCCATCACAAGAATTTCCAGACTAATCCACAAAGAAGTCAGCTCTTAACCCCAGGAAGTTACGTTTCCCCAAGTTTTATTTACATCAAACACGAATAGTGTTATTACACGTCAGCAACTCGGCACGAAATATAAATATTATGAATGTTCGCTCGATAAATCGTACTATTAAATTGCGATACAGAGTGAAATGCGACCTCGAGTGGTGATAAACAACCCTTTGTCACCGAAAACGCGAGTAAAATATCGATCAAAACATTGCTCACAATCTCCCGTGTAACTTCAAACTTTGCAAACTGATTGTTTTTATTCAGCCGCGTTCTATTTTAATCCGATGACGCGAATCGCGTAGGACTATCCCAAACAATTCCCCCCAAAAGGATATGAGGAGTAATAAAAAAAGTCATGCAAACCTGTATCGCGGATCCAGAAATCGCTGGAAGTTCCAGGCGAATTGGATGGAGAGTGAAAGGAATGTAGACGATACAATCCCCATAATCCTCTCCTTATTTTCGTTGTACCACCCTCGGGTTTCCCGCTAAATCCACAATTTATCGCTTTCACCTTTCTCCTCACACAGTGTGCCACAGTAATTTGATTTTCCCTCATTCACAATGTTTTTTTTATTCATTCATTAAAACGTCGACGAACTCTCAAGGTTTGAATTCACCGGAGATTTTCACTTGTCACTGAAAGTTCGAGGCGCCGCTCTCACATGTCGGTATGAAACTATCAAAAATTTAAACGTTGAGGTTGAATAAAAATACAGGAAAGTGGAGGAGGAATTGAAGTCGGGAGAGAACCGTTGATATAAACTCGTGTGTGCACGTGCAGGGAGTGGCTTTTTTGTGTGACGCTCGACTCGTTTTATACGAGCGACTGATGGAAAACAGGAGGGAGAAGTGTAGTTGCCCCCACTACGACCGGATTTTATGCTTAGTCTGGTGGCCCAACGTAACGTCGACGTTGAACCACGTGCTTGTGTTTGTGGTGGGATGTCTTCGGTGAATTGCAATCGCTGGGCGATTGGTGCAGCAAAAATTTGCATTATTGTTGGAATTGTTGGTAATTAACATAACTTGACATTCAGTTCGAAGACCAAAATACATAGACGAATGCAATTGCATTCTTGATTGCTTTACAAATTTCTCTAATAATTGTATCACTTTAATTAAATAATGTTAAGGATTAGTCTTGTCAAGTAATTCCATTTAATCGATTTTAATTAGATTAAACATAACATTAGAACATAACTTTTCATTCAGTTCGGAAACTGAAATACCTAGACGAATTCAATTGCATTCTTGATTGCTTCACTAATTTCTCTAATAATTGTAACACTTTAATTAAATCATGTTAAGTATTAGTCTTGTTAAGTAATTGTATTTAATCGACTTTAATTACACTACGAAGACGTATCTATGTGTTTATAGTGGAATATCGTCGGTGAATTTTCGTCAATGTGAAATTGGTGGAGTAGAAAATTTGCATCATTGTTGGAATTGTTGGTAATTAACATAACTTTTCATTCAGTTCTGGGACCAAAATACATAGACGAATGCAATTGCATTCTTGATTGCTTTACAAATTTCTCTAATAATTGTATCACTTTAATTAAAAAATGTTAAGGATTAGTCTTGTCAAGTAATTCCATTTAATCGATTTTAATTAGATTAAACATAACATTAGAACATAACTTTTCATTCAGTTCGGAAACTGAAATACCTAGACGAATTCAATTGCATTCTTGATTGCTTCACTAATTTCTCTAATAATTGTAACACTTTAATTAAATCATGTTAAGTATTAGTCTTGTTAAGTAATTGTATTTAATCGACTTTAATTACACTACGAAGACGTATCTATGTGTTTATAGTGGAATATCGTCGGTGAATTTTCGTCAATGTGAAATTGGTGGAGTAGAAAATTTGCATCATTGTTGGAATTGTTGGTAATTAACATAACTTTTCATTCAGTTCTGGGACCAAAATACATAGACGAATGCAATTGCATTCTTGATTGCTTTACAAATTTCTCTAATAATTGTATCACTTTAATTAAAAAATGTTAAGGATTAGTCTTGTCAAGTAATTCCATTTAATCGATTTTAATTAGATTAAACATAACATTAGAACATAACTTTTCATTCAGTTCGGAAACTGAAATACCTAGACGAATTCAATTGCATTCTTGATTGCTTCACTAATTTCTCTAATAATTGTAACACTTTAATTAAATCATGTTAAGTATTAGTCTTGTTAAGTAATTGAATTTAATCGATTTTAATTACACTGCGAAGGCTTCAACGTTGAACTACGTGTTTGTGGTGGAATATCTTCGGTGAATTTTCGTCAATGTGCAATTGGTCCAGTAAAAAATTTGCATTATTGTTGGAATTGTTGGTAATTAACATGATTTTTCACTCAATTTGGGGACTGAAATTCTGGAAGTTTTAATTATTTACAGCGAATGCAATTGCACTCCTGATTGCTTCTCATATTTTTCTAATGAGTTGAATACTTTCAAATTTAATCACGTTAATTAATTAGGCTTGTTAAACAATTAAATTTGATCATCTTCGCAAGGTTTTTGTTGATAATAGAACTTTAATTGCGTTCTGGTAGCGTAACTTCAACGTTGATGCAGTGAATTTCAATCGATGGGGAATTCTTACAGGTTAAAATCCGCATTATTGCTGGGGAGTAGAATACCCGGAGTTTTAATTATTTTCAACGAATGCAGTTGCAATCTTGATACGTGGAATTGCTTCACACATTCTGCGAGTGGTTTTAGTACTTTTTGATGAAATTACCTTAATTAATTTGTCTCATTAGCCTCGTTAAACCATTAAATTGAAGTAATTTCCTAAGTTTTACGTTGATAACAGAACTTTAATCATTTCACCCTCACGATACGTCGACGTTAAGCCATTGTGCAGAATATCTTCACTGAATTTCAATCAATGTAGAATTACTACAATCAAAAATTCACATTATTGTTAACTCTAGAGTTTTCAATAGTTAACGAACAATAATTTTTATCCTCAGGAACTGAGTACCTGGAATTTTAATTAGTTTCAACGAATGCAATTACAATCTTCATGTGTAAAATTGTTTCACGCGTTCTCCTAAATCCTTTTAGTACTTTTTCAATGCAATCACGTTAATTAATTTATCCCATTAGGCTCGTTAGGTTATTCAATGTAATCATCTTCGGAATTTTTTTGTTTATAACCGGACTTCAATTAATTTATAGACTCCGACTTATTGTTCACCTTCGGATTGAAATGATTATACAATATTCAAAATGAATTCTCTATTTTTTCCTAGAAATAAACTTATCGCTGAGTAATGGAGATTAATACAGGGAATTACCGATGTTGTTTCGATAATCCGCATTAGTACAAATACTACGTACAGGATTTAAAAGGGGATTTATTTGCTACAATGGTATAATCAAGAATAGAAACGTGTTTATCGAGTTATCAGAAACTCGCGACACACCGGGAGAATCTAGATTCGATGATGCTACGAGTATAATACGAAACTTCTGAATAAATAACAATTGTTGTCAGTCGGTGGAATAATCCAGGAAGACATGTACAGGGTTGCTTGACATTTCAATTGACAGGGCGTCAATTGGCTATTAATAACACCAGATGCTGTCGCTAAATAGTGAGGAATACACGTGGTGTTGCAGTTCTCCCTCATTGTTTCATTTCTAATCAGCATCTCAGAAGCCTTGAACTGTGATTTCATAACTGTCGTATGGTTATAAAACGTCAGTGAATATTCATCGCCATCTGGGTAATCACTGGGCAATAAAAAAAATATTAAGTCATGCATGGATTCATGTAATTGAGGCTCATTTGCGAGTCGAATCAACTCATTTACTTTAAAAAAACAAGCTTTAGTTTGAGACGTATGATCTCCATTCGAGAATTTCTAATGTCTCAAATTGAGAATTGCCGATGTTTTAAATAGAAACGTTCGGAACTCTAAGGACATTCAAGTATCTTTTCCATTTTTAAACATTTCTTGTTTATTAATAAATAATTGAAATTGTTTAAATTTTCGGAAGCCTAATTTTTTAAATTAATTTCTGGTAAAATTCTGAATATGAAGACATTTTTTATGATTCCGAACAAATAATTTTTATGGTGGAAAATTGATTGTGTATAAATTATTTATAGAACATGCTCGTAATTTTCAAGACTCAATTTAAGACCATTTAATCTTAAAATTCGATTTTTTTATGTTTGCCTCTCCGCGGCGAAAAATCTACAGTAAGAAATTGTAACAAAGGGTTAGAGAATCAAGACTGGGTGATAAAAAATTGAATCGAATCACCAGGTGATCGATCCCATTTGTTTAATTAATTCCTGGAGGTCTTTGTGGCAAAAAGTCTTGAGGGGAAAAAATTGCTGATGACGAGACGTATATCAACGAGTGCCTGCACCCAAACAGAGTTAGAAGAATCGACCATGGCCTTCGATAAATTCACTCTACATCGTAGTGCTCCCGTCAATGAGTCATACATGCACACTGATGATTCATTCATACACACGTCGCAAATTTTTTCCGTAATTTCCGATAACTAGCGTATAAATATTCCTTTGTTTAATTCAATATGCATAAATGAACTAGTGAGTGCAATTGCAATAGACGAGAATGGAAGCTTCAGCGGAAATTCGAGGGATCGAAACTTCCCTGTCGGTTTATTTTCGCATCGGAATGAACAAATCGGACAGCTGCCAACTCTATTTTTCGATACGAGATATTCAGACAATTTTTTCTTGCAACAGAAATGATAACAAACATGAAGGAAAAACAGTCATTACTATTCGGTGAGGAACACAATAGGACAATTTATTTATTTTTATAAGAAATTGATATAGAATAATGGAGAAATGCTACAGATATAATTGAAAATTTCCAATCTTAGAGGAAATTTTCTGGTTTTAATTGAATATTTATGCAAAATCTTTCGGAGAAATAAAGTCTGCGTTAATTAATCTTGAAAAAAAGGAAATAATTCACCGGAAATATTCAATTCTAGTTTTTAATTAATGAATTCCTGTGAAAATAAAAAATTGACAAAAAACTAAAAAAACACGGAAGCATATAATTCCTAATAAAGGCGCTTCCGGACTCAAAGCGTCTAAATTTTCAGGTTTTTAATGCATATTTTAACTCGTGTTTCGATGAACACTTCACTCTTGAAGAAAACAGTTCTTGCAATTTCATGACAGTATGGCCTTTTGACTCCATCAATTCTCTAGAAAAAATAAAAATTGATTTGGAAACACGAAAAATTGATTTCAACACTAATTGCTTTTTATTTTTTTTTTCCTTTTTCATTGAAAATGGAAGCTCTCACCAGTCCATGCTATTGATCAATGCTATCGGCAAAAATTGTCACATCACGTCAATTGAATATTCAGTGTTCCACAGATAACGTTATTTAATTTATTGGCAGTTTCGACAGAAAATCTAAAAATGAAAAACACTTGAATTAAGACTTTTATCAGCCATAATTTTTCAACCGTAAGTGAGACTAATCGATTAGCCCTAATATCCCCAAACGAATTGAACCGCATCAATTTGGATTCGCGTTGATTGATCGTTGCTCCCTATCAAGTCTAACCAGGAAGAACCCGAGATTGTGACGCAACGAAAGATTTACGTCGTAGTACTCGAATAATTATTACCGAACTTGCAACGATTCAGAGTCCACATCTTCATTCGAGTATTTCCCGACGCTTCAAGACGCGTAGACTAATCTACTCTTTACGACTGATAATCTGATTGAAAAAGAGTTATTAATCAATCTATTATTAACCAATCTATTATTGGTATTAATAATGGAGAGATATCAATAGACACCCGATCGTTCTCACTCATTTTTACCTCTTTCAGCACCTCATGAATATGCATAATGAGTCGTCAGGCTCTCTCAGCCTTCGATTGAGACAAAAGAGACGTTGTGCATGCCACACCCTGGTACAACTCAACGTGTGGAAGCAACTACACCCACTTGTTGTGCATGGGTACACGTGCACTCGTTTATGGCTCGCTTGGCACGCAGCAGAATCATAAATTCTTGAATTAGATTTTGGGACGAATTCAATTAAGTGCCCTAGTTTCGCGATAAGCGTATGAAAACCCTTGAGAGAATGACTAAATTATGTCATTAATTGGATAAAGTCGCTCTGAATGTCGGAATAATTAGTGCTAATGTGGGAGTTTCAATTTTACGTGGAAACAAATCTATAAGCAAATCGGACAACTGCCAAATCTATTTGTCGATACGAGAAATGCTGGCAATTTTTTTGCAACCGGGGGAAACTCGTGTTTCGGCGTGAAATAGTACCGATGATTCTTGTTTTTTTTTAGAACTATTGAAGTATTTACAAATTTTCAATACTGCAGGCAATTTTTGGGTTTCGGTTGAATATTTATGCAAAATTCTTCGGAGAATCAAGTTTCTGTTAATTATTCACGAAAAAAATGAAAATAATTCACTAGAAGTATTCAATCTTGAGTCGGTTTTTATTAAAGAAATATGGAATTTCATTTGTCGAGTCGATGAAGGAATAAATTTCTGTGAAAAATAAAATTGACAAAAATTAAAGAAAAACTCCGCAAGGCGTTTCCGAACTCAAAGCTTGGAAGAATTTTCTGGTTTTCACTGAGGATTTATGCGGAATTGTTTGAAAAAGGCAAAAGTTTTGTGATAGTCCTGTGAAATATCTTGAATTTAGCTTGGCATGCACCAAAATAATGAATTTTTGAATTCGATTTTGGGAGGAATTCAATGTAGTGCACCAGTTCCACGAAAAAATAGTCAACAATAGGTGAAAATCGCTCTGAATGTTGGACTAATTAGTGCTAACGTGGGAATTCGAATTTTAAACGGAGAAAAAATCAATGAATGAATGAATGGAAATTCACTGATATACCAGTTCCATTTTTTTATAACTAAACTAGAACTAGATCGACTGCTCCACTTCTTTCGTTTAATTCATTGAATTGTAAATGTATGCTGCGCTGGTTTTAATTAATCATGTCAGGGGTCAAACGATTTTTGTACAAGTCCCAGTGACTGAGTAATTGCACACGACTGAAATAGAATATTCGAATGGATTCGTGAGAGGTTTCATCTCACACAACTAACGAATGCCAAGAAAAAACGAGAGTGGAAGTTTAGCTGGTGGTCCTTGTATACTTTGGATTGATTTACTATTGCCATTGTTATAAATAGCGGATGTTTTTATTGCGGAATACGTCAGTATTGCGTTTTGAATGAAACCAATGGAATTTTCAGTAAAAAATAGTAATTATTCACTCCACAGTACATTTCTTATTATATGTGAGGTTCACAGGCGTGTTTGAGGTATTTTTGATTCATTTTACATGTATAAATATTTATTATCAGTGCCTCGTGACGCTAGTGAAGCCAATTTTAATCTGATTTTGTTTTTATGCCTTGAGTATTCACTGATTGAGCATTTTTCTATTAATTTTTTTCTCTTCTTCAGACCCTTTTTCCTCGATGAACAATGATTAGTTTGTCTGAATGTCTTAAGAAGTAATTAAATATAGTGTTGATGAGGTTTGTTGTTCTAAATTACTAATGAATATTCAGACGATGGAAAAAATGAACAATGATTGAATCGTTTGAAATTAGTTGGAACAGTACAGAATATTATTCTAAAATCCTATTATACTGGCTTATTTTGGACTTTAAACCAACTGATCTATAAAGTTACTGCATAAAGTACATTCTAAATAATAAAGTAGCATTCTCAGACTCTTTCAGGAATGTTAATGATTGGAGAAATAATTCTAATGACTGTGATTACCTATTAATCAGTCTGAAATTGTCACTGGTACAATCACACGAATAAAATTAGCAAACAAGTGGAAGAGTTGGATTACTCTAGAAATTTCAGGTGGGTAATTTTGCAAATATCTTCACAATTATTAAAATTCTAAACAAATAGTCTTTAATTAAAATTCTCTCAACCTTTTTCTTCTCAAAATATTTGGAAAATATTCTGTAAATTCGTTATGAATTTATCGTCCACGGTTTTGCTACATCAATACAAAAATATTCCTTCCTCTTCCAAAACTCCGAACAATGATTTAATCTCCTCATCTACTCTCCCATTCCAACATTCACTATATCAAATCATCTGCCTCTGCAGAATGATAACATCCAACCCAATGAAATCTTCAAAACGAATAAAATAGACCCAAACTTATCAATTAAATGGAAGTGGTAAATGACCATGGAAATTTCAGTTGGACAATTATGCAAATATCTTGACAACTATTAGTCTCAGAGAGGAGTGTCAAAAGTTCTTTCGTCTACTCTTTAAAATTCTAAACCAATAGTCCTTATTTAAAATTCTCTCAACCTTCTTCTCAAGATATTTGCAAAATATTCTGTAAACTCGTTATGAATTCATCCCCTGCGGTTTTGCTAAATCAATACAAAATATTCCTTCCTCTTCCAAAACTCTGAACAATGATTTAATCTCATCTACTCTCCCATTCCAACATTCACTATATCAAATCATCTGCCTCTGCAGAATGACAACATCCAGCCCAATAAAATCTTCAAAACGAATGGAATCGACCTCCACTTAAAAAAGTACAAAAAATTACAAGTATAAAATATTAGACTAAAAAATCATCAAAACCTCAGCAGTACGAATAAGAGAATCACAGGCTAGTGGCAAGGCTGGGCCCTGCTCGGCTGATAGGCTGTTGGTGGATAAACGGGTATAGGGTAGGCTGGCAACTCTCCAAAGTCACTGCTGAGTCGATAGTAGGCATTTCGAGCTGTTATATTAATCGCCAGGCCTTCGGTGATCATCACATCACCTTGAAACTCGTACAGGATGTGCTCCTCATGAACAATCAAAACCTGTAATTGAAATAAAATAATTATTCTTTATGGGAATAAGAATTGGAGATTTTCACTGCTCAAAAGTTCAAATTTGCAATTATTCCCAAAATCTGCAGAAAATTGAATTAGAATTGAAGGGGACAATTAAATTTTAAAAAGTATACAGTAATTGGAAATGAAAGATAAAATAAATGAACATTCTCTTCGCATAACCAAATAATGGAAACTCACCAAATTTTGAGAAATGTTTTTGTCATAAAATTACGAATATAGAAATTTGTTAAGATTCTGAGAAAGAAATTATTTGTAAAGGAAAAAATTGTTTATAAATTATCAGGCTCAGAATTGGCTCTTTTTCAGAGTCAGAATCTTTTTCAGAATCTGGCTCAGAATTGCGTTTTTCAACTTCCTAGGCCTTATACAAGATGAATTAAATTAATTTTTTTTGGCACTTTCGTTTTTCGCGATTATCTCGGAAACTATGAGAGATAGAGCCTTAAAACCTATTCCATTCGATTCCTGAGGAAATTTGGGTTCCGTATAGGCAGATGGACGGCTCAGAATTGCGTTTTTCCACTTCCTACACCCTATACAAGATGAATTAAATTAATTTTTTTTGGCACTTTCGTTTTTCGCGATTATTTCGGAAACTATGAGAGATAGAGCCTTAACAAAAAAAGTGATCTTCAAACATGTAATCCATCAATTACTTTACGATTCCTTTTCGAGGACTAATTTCTTCACTTTTTAAATTTTTCATATTTTTCAAATGTTTTCGAATTTTGCAGAATTGACTTCAAATTTTTTTTAGGATGAAAATTGTCTATTTACCGTGCAGACATATCCAGGGGGTGTGTACACCTGCATGCACCGAAACTGGCAGTGTGCCCCAAAGTTTCTGCTCACGAAATCCTCCAGGAGTTTCTTGAAATCCAGCAAATTGTGATTTGGAATTGTGAGTTCTGGTGGAGACAATCCGGGAACAGATCGTGGGCTCTCAATAGTGGGAAAAGTGTTGTCGACTTCCTGGGAAGTGTGTCTGATCTCGCAGGGGGGAGTCTCCACCTGTTGCTTGTTGGTCTTCTTTTTTCCTCGTTTGCTGCTGCTTTTTGGTGGGACGTAGGCTGGTGGCTTGAAATTCTGATTGAGGGAGGCTTGCACTGCCTCGTGGATCGAACGCTGTCTCTCGAGGATTTTTGATGAGCTGATTGGCTTCGCCCAGCGAATTTCCCACTCGTTCTGTGCAGCAATGCCACCAGGTTCTGTGGAATCACAGGAAATTGATGGATGAATTTATATGAGAGGAATTAATCTTTTGAAAAAGTCAGTTTTCTCTGTTTTGATAAATATGAAATCATTTTGATAATGTGACATTTTAAGGCGAAAATTCAAAAGACTACTTTTTCTGGAAACTTAATTAGATTTGATGAATATTTTCTCATTTTTTTAAGTTTTAAAATTTTTCGATTAGAGAATAAATGCAGAATTACCAAAAATTATGGAAATTTATTTTGTTATCTGGAGGATGTAGAATTACTTACTACTCATGATCTCAAGAACCTTCTGAGCCAATTCACGAGTCTCGTAGTGAATGAAAGCGAAGTGATTGATCTTCTTGAATTTCAATATTGGAATTCCAGTTGTTTTCTGGAAAATGTCTCGGATCTTGTGGTGGGCAGTCTCGAGTGGCAGATTGCGAACGAAGAGCGCAGTTACCTGTGAACAAAGGGATTAATAAATAATCATAATAATAATCGGAAACGAAAATACGACAAGTTACAATTTTTTCTATCGATTAGTCTACAAATATTTTCGAAGCTATTGAAGTTCGAGGAAAATATGGAGAGAAAATTTCTTTATTCCACGAAGTTTTCTGAGAAAACATCTTCTCATGAATTTCTCCAGACATTTACATAGAAATTTACATACCAAGAAACGAGATATAAATACAACTGAAATCGCTGCAATAAAAATCCTGTAGTAAAATCATGTACACAGACTTTTCTACAAATATCTTCGGAACAAGTCGGTTTCGAAGAAAGTATTACATCTTTTTTGGATTTCATAAAAATTTCCTACAAATAATATCCCAACGAACTTCTCTACCTCTTCATTCGCAAAATATTCACGAAATAAAAGCCACTTCATGTCTGTCAGACATCGGCACAATCGAATTTTTGAATTACAGTTAAATTTGGAATAAGTCAATTGCCAATATTACTGCCTAATTTTTTGTTTGTTAAAAATAGCCATCAATTTAAATTTTTAAATTCCGAATTATTTCATCAACCATCAACTTAAACATTCAAATTCGAATGCTTTCATAAACCAATAATTGCGAAATTAAAATGACTAATTATTAGGGGAGAGTGGGGTAAAGCGGATACTTTAGACTGTTTTTTAATTATTCATAATTCGGAAACAAATTGATCAATTGAGCTCAGTTTAAGCTCGTCACAAAGGGAAAGAGTTGTTCTTTGTATTAAAAAAAAATTATTAAATTTCATCAACATTTCAACCCCTCATTAACATTTGAAAAAAAGTCAAAAGTGTCCGTTTTACCCCAACCTCCCCTACGTTAATTTTCAAATTTCAATTACGATCAATAGTGGTGGGGTAAAACGGACACTGTAGACTTTTTTAAAATTATTCATAACTCGGAAACAAATTTATCAATTGAGCTCAGTTTAGGCTCGTCACAAAGGGAAAGCATTGTTCTTTGTATTGAAAAAAAAAATATTAAATTTCATCAACATTTCAACCCCTCATTAACCTTTGAAAAAAAGTCAAAAGTGTCCGTTTTACCCCGACCACCCCTAAATCTAAATTCCTATAAGGTGCAACTTCTCCTAATATTACTAAAAGTAATGATCGATGCGGATCTATGATTTCTGTTCAACAAAAAAATATTGCACAAAGAACATCTCTAAATTTTATCCCTTACCGTCTCCATGACGTCCTCATCAACAGGATCCCCAGGTTCCGGATCAGCCCAATCAACAGCGACCTCGTGATCCCAGAGAGTGACCCTCCCAGGAATGAGCTGACGCCTGGCCATAGCAGCAGACCTGTGATCCTTGAACTCCACAAAGATGAAGCCCCGATTCTGCGTGCGATCCTGAGCATTCGGGTACAGATAAATATCCGAGATTCCCTCCAGGAACTTGCCGAGCTCCTCAGCGAACTCCGCCTTCGTCTTGTCCTTGGGCACCCCCCCGAAGAAGAGCCGACAGTTGTCGATGGACTTCACAACGCCGATCCTGTGCCCCGGCCGAATCTCGTGGCCGTCCAGCAGCTCGCAGGCCCTCCGAGCAACCCTCGAGTTCTCGAAGAGGGCGAAAGCGTAGCCCCTCGTCGTCCCCGAGAAGTCGAGCATCAGCCGAAGCTCCAGGAGTCTCCCGGCACGATCGAGCACCGGCATTATCTCGTCCTCATAGCAATCCCTCGGAAGACGACCCACGAACACCTCTCCACCCTTGATCGTACTCCTGAGGTCTGATGTCAACTCCGGGGCTGTCAGACGACGCTGGCCATTCTCCTGGATGAGCTCATAGTGCGTTTGGTTCATCAGATCGAGGAGACGAGCCGTCACTCGACATTCTTCGTCCAGAGACTCTTCCACAACTCGTTTATTCATTCTCGTAATTTCAAAAACTTCACTTCGAAATTGCTTTTTCGTCTTTTGAAAAGTTGCGTCGACCTCCCGAAGACTTTAATTATCTTCACAAAAAAATCAACATTCACTGATTGTGAGGACTAAAAAATTTCAATTTCAATAACGTTGATTTAATTTTTTTTCTATTTATGGGGGTTGCGTGATGATTTGAGATTGTTGAAGACAATTGTGGTTTCACACAGGTCCGAGGATTTTGAAAAGTTGAGAAGAATCGAATGGTAAAATAATGTGAAGCACTCCGATGTTATTCTCCACGGGATAAGCATCCGACTGAAGTTGAAGTAAACTCGATGTCGATGCTTCTCTTCGATTTCAAATCCCAGGAATCCCCCATTGGGTTGCCGCCCGTCTCGTCCAATCAGAGCCCCCGTCGACCCCATGATTTCTCAGAAAATAATAGAGGCGAAACATTTTTGCTACATTTTAACGAAAAAGTAAACACGAAGACAAAAGACCCTACAAGTTTGTCAACAATTTCCGAGTATTTTGGCACACATTGTAACACAAAATATTCGAGAGAGTTTTATTGAAAAGGCAATCTAAAAAGTTTCACATTATGCGTTGAGTTTAGAAAGACGTTCAAATCAGTAGCAACGTGTAAAACGGTTCAAGTCGACTCATCTCCCAGTTGAGTTTTTGAGGAATATTTCCAAATCTAAGGCAGATAGAGAAATTTTCGTGATTACCTTTATTGTAGCTCTCAATCGGCTCTACAAGAAAGGTTATAACAAAAATTTTGCCAGCTCCCTTCGATTCCGAGATATTCATTAAAAACTGGCCAATAGTCAAAATTCACTTGTACTGTTTTACCACTTCGCTACTGAAATACTATATTCTTAGATACTTCATTGGCTATTTACAAATTTACAGTTGTTTATATATTTTTTCCGTTATTCTTGTTTTGGGTTTAGTCTATGGAAGAGTGTCGATATCGAGTTCTTCGAGGGGATCGTGGTACTCGCGTTCTTCGTGGGTACGAGGTGGGTGTCGCATACTCCTGAGCTGTCTCTCTAGGTCCTGGTAATTCTCAATTAGTTTTATTAATGTTCTACTGACGTCTGGTACTTTGGAGGCCTCCTCGATGATTTTGCACAGCATATTTGCGTCTTCTATTTTGTTTTCAAGGTCAGTAGCCACTTCCAGCTCGTCTTTGAGGGCTGCATTGAATATTACAGCCTGAAATAAAATTATTCGGCAATTTTAATACTTTTGTTACTTTTGACTCAGCGGTTGCTCAGTTTCTCAATGAATTAACAAACCATTAAAATGAATTTTTTTCATAAAATGAGATCATTACTCCCTGCAAAATTATGTAGTTTTATTTTGCTTTCATTTAGTGCAAAAATTTGGAAGATTCACCTAGAAATTCGTCAACTATTCAATTATAAATGAAACACTGATTCAAAGTATCTCTTGTTTGTCGTGATAAACAGAATTTTTTGTCACGATACGAGTTGTTTTACGACGAAATGTCAGATCTTTATTATAAAGAACTAAATTTTAAATAAAAATTGCCTTTTGATATTTTTTCCTGGAATCACTTGTTATTGAGATAATTTGATGTTTAACAATATTTCAAAAATTGAAGAATTAGAGAATTTTGCTTTAATCTAAAGATCACGTAGTTTTCCAAGAAAATGTCAAGATTTCTGACAGAAAAATGAATTCTATACAAAAAACATTTTTTTAGCATTCTCCCCTACATACACTGAATTGGATTTTCATTTTCAAAATTGGTGACTAATTTACAGGACTTTAATTATTTTATTTTATTTTTTGACCGTGAAATTCATCCATAAATATATTTTTTATTAAAAACTTTATCATCTGATGATAAATAATTGGAAAAATTATGGAGTTCTTGGGAAAGAAATTTTGATAATGAGTTTTCCCATTGGTTTTTAATGCTTGAATTCACCTTTTTCAATCTTCTTTGCAATTTTTCCAGCTTCTCCTGCTTCTCCCTGGACTCCTTATCACTGTATTGCACAGCCTGCACTTTATCCTCATCCAGCAGAACGTGTGAAGGCACACAAATAATTCTACTCACGCAATTCTGCAACAAAACAATGTGAGTGTAACCCATGATTATTGTATCGATTGCGCGTTATGTAAGGAAACGAGAGTGAAAAATGTTGTCAATCAGTTGGGTCAAAAGTTAGTAACCTCGAGCGCTGGCAAATGAGTTCTAGTTGCACGATAATAACACTTTTTCAATTTTTTCCCATCCCTCAGTAGCATCTTCAGGCCCTCCTCATCAGGTTTATATTTTTCTCTGATTGTTTCTGTGAGTTGTTGACATTTTGATTCGATCTCATCTTGAATCAGGGACAATACTGTAAATTGAGAGGTTCCAGATGAGCGGTCATTGACAAATCATCCGGATGTAAAAAAAAAACATTTTTTCTTGGGAATAATTTCAGGAATTGCAGCAGGAGAGGGAAAGGAAAATAATTTATTGAATAATTGAATAAAAATCATATAAAATTAACAAACAACAAATGAAGAAAATAATTCCAATCATTGGACGAGTGTGACTCTAGTCATGATTCTAATTACACATGACACTAGAGCTCACGCGTCCAACAATCAAAACAAAAATAAAAAAAACCACAATCTGAAAACAAAAAAATCCAAACAGCGAGATAAATCTGGAAGGGTAAAAAAAATCGGGGGAAAATATGGGTGGAATGAAATCAGATAAGTTTCTCGGCGTCTTACAAGTATCGTAAACTATTCTCGAGTGAAAGCCGAATAATTGCATCTCATATTCCTCCCGTTTTCTCTTTTTCAATTCTGTCGACGACATTGTTACTTTATTCCATTAAACTGTACAATTCGATTGTTAATAATCACTTTGGTTTTTTTAAATTTAAATCGCTCGTAATGTAACATTTAAAGAACTGCCCGATGCGTTGTAGAGTCCGTTGACAAATGAACATGGCGTCGCTTGCTTGCGTAGATTCGGGCGTCCTTTGTCCCATTGCGTTCTAAAATTCATCAAAAAAAATTGACCAGCGAGAATTTCATTGGCCACTCTCGACCAATGGGGGGCAAGGGTTGAGAGGGAAGTTGTGGGGGTCGGCTGTAGGTGGCAGATGGCTCATGGCGGATAATTTGAATGTTTGGAGGCATAATAATTTGGATATCCGTGAACTTTGAATTTTTTTTAAATAAAATGTTCTCCAATGTTTTTAGTTGAGCAATGATTTTATCATTCAATTTTCGAAGGGATAAATCTCGATTTCATTCTCTGAAACATTAAAAACCATTGGAAAAATATGGAAAAATGAGGAAGTCTGTTTTTGAGAAAGATTCATAAAATGATTGAAAAATTCTCATTTCCGGAAATTACAACGTTTTAATAGAGAATTTAAAAACTATCGATTTTTCCTTCGGAATTGATTTTTTAGAATTGTAATTAAAGTGTTATATTCAAAGTTTTCTGGAAGTTCAAATAATTTATAACATTTGTTTATAAAAGATAATTTTTTAATCGAAGAGATTGACAAATTTGGCAGCAATGAGTGAACGGAAACTTTTCGCCAGGTTTTCTATTTGATTTGCTGAATTATAAACAATTAATGAATAAACCTGTATGAGATATTGTGACGTAACAATGCAGACGTTTTTCACTTGACTTTACCATCTTGATTCAATTCTTCCAAATGAAACAAACGAGCGAGTGGGGTACAATGAATACTTTGACGTTCTTCAAAATGTTAATGACTCATTCAATTTATTTCTTCTGATAATTATCTAACTAATCATCAATTTTTCCATGGAAGGTACAATTCTTCTCTTTTGTGACGAGCATGCACTGAGATAAACTGATAAATCTGTTTCTGAGTAATTAGAATTATAAAAAAAGTCAGAAAAGTCGCCCTTACGTATTCAATATTTTCCACTCCATTTTTGCGATTCACAATTTCATCAATACAAAATTCCCTGCAACAACTCAATGAAAATAAAAATATGTACATATAAGAAGAAAAGAGCAGGGAATTATACAAAACTGCAATGATTTTTGTTACAAAGAAATTCACTACTTCTATTCCCACTAATTCAGAAATACTCGGCGATAATTTTCTCACGACTCGCAATATTAATCAAATATTACACATAAAAAAATATCCATTCATTTATATGGCCCCAGAAACTTAAAAAAAAAACGTTTCAGTCGTCTCTACATGAACTACCCTTAATTAAAAAACAGTGAGGTAGATTCGAGGTAGAAATTCAGTCTGGAGACTGCCTCTCCGTCGTTAATGTGCTTAAAAAACAGGTGCCCTACGAATATCGGTGTCTAGCTTTTCTTCATGTCCCCTTTACCATGGAAAGCCTTGTAATTCCTCCATTCTCGATGATTGAGAGCTCGAAAGTCCTCAACTTCAGCGATAAGCTCCAGGTACTCAGTGAGAAACTTCAGCTCTGCATCAGCTGTGTAGGTGTCCTCATTATATCTAAAAGGCCTGATCTCCAAGCCTGACTGTGGATTCATGAGGAAATTTCTCCTCTCATCATCAATGATGATTGTATTCTTGGCTGAATAGTTCGCATACTTCTTCCAGATGAAGCCGAGAGGTTTGACATTAATGGGTCCAATAATCTGTGGAGTTTCCACTGGAATCATCGCTTGCTTATCGAGATAAAAAGCAATTTTGTAGATGCTCGTTATAAAAATATTGAGATCAACTAGGGCTGTGTGGGTTGAATTCCAGTTGGATCCTGTCCAGATGACAATGTTGTAATGCTTGTACACTTTGGCCAGGAACACGTGGAGGTAAGGACGTGCTAATCTAAAGTCAGGATTGAATAAAGTGTAATCCATGTCCAGGACCAACAACTTCTTCTGTGAATTCAGAGGACTCAATTCCTTGATAATGTACTCCTCGCACTTTCTCTCAATTTTATCGTAAAAACTATCATAAATGTCCAGTTTCACACGTTTTGTGGTGGCCGAAATGGCCAACTCGTTTTCGGAATTGGAGTTGTTTTTTTCAAGTCTTTGGCCTTCTGTAAAATTTAGGAAGTTATTAGTTTCAAACGGCAAATTATTATTCTCGTACTGTAAGGAATTTTTTCACTGCAGAATGATGCAGAATAATAACGAAAAACCTGAATAGTTAAAATCGTAATAATAAAGAATATTTGCACTTTGAATATTTGATAAAAACAGAATGGAAATGTGATCTGAAATTATTTAGAAACTAAAGTGTGAACCTCCAAAAAACTTTAATTTTCCAATTATCAGCCGTTAAAAATTCACATAATAAAATCATGTCAATCTCTGATTTCAAACTACAAATATTGAAAAAGGCCTCAGCAAAAAAAAATGCTGAAATGGATATTCACCAGTGGATAAAGAGTATTGAAGCAAAAATTTACCATTTAAAAATCTAACAATTTCCCTCTCATCAGGCAGTGGTCCTATCTTCTCAATAAACCTCCTGCGACTCTCCTTATTCTTATATTCAAGCCAGTTTGTATGATTGAGTGTCCTGAAGTCACTGAGCTCAGAAATAATCTTGAGATACTCCCCCAACCTCACCAGCAGCAAGTCATTATCAACAGTCGAGGAGGCTGGTGAGTCTACACCACTTCTCCTTGTGATGACCAAAGCAGACTTCTCATTGATGAAGACATTGAGCCACTTGTCCTCGATCATAATGGTGTTTTTCTCGGACCAGTTGGTGTAGCTCATCCAAATTACGTCCAGAGGTTTGATGCTGATGATCCCATAATTGGGCTCAAAGAGCGAAATCATCGAGTGCTGATCCAGATAAAGACAGATATTGAGGGCCGGATTGTAAGCCAAACCCGTCGTGGCTCGTATGAGTAACCTCGAGGTTGTGGTGGCCCATATGGCGATGTTATAGTACTGAGACGCCTGAATCAGGAAATCCTGCATGCCCTGTCGATTCTGCTTCATGCTGGGTAATCCATCGTTTAACCCAATGACTAAAAGCTTCTTGTTGGTGTCCATCGGCCGCAACTGCCTCACCTTCCCATTCCTGATCTTCTGTTGAACCTTGGTGAGGTAAATCTCGTAGTCCACTGGATTTCCAATGCCCCTCAGCTCTTTCCTGTCTGGGGGCACTGCATTGTACTCAAAAATCGGCGTTCTCGAAGGGCTGCTCTTTTGAGAAACCTGTGGACAAGTCTCTAGGACTTTTGGACTGCTGTTGAGGCTGTAGATAGGGTTCATGATGTCTTCCTCTCTGGAACCCATTACTATCAGTTTGAAGCCTGGCCTGAGTTTTAGCTCGCCTAGCCTTTGATTATCAACTGGTAATTTTCCTGGGTGAGTGGAAAGTCATTTTTTAATTTCGAACGGAGTAATGAAGATTGGGAGAGAGGAAATTAGGGAAGAGTGGGGGAAATGAACAGTTGACTTTCCTTCCAATGTTTAAATCTCAGAAATAAATGAGTCAATGGAGATCAGACTAAGGCCTTCATAAAGGGGAAGAATTATAGCTTCGATACAGGAAAAAAAATTGTCCCATTTCGCAAGAATTTAATGAGTCGTCAACATTAAGTTTTCTTAATGTCAAAAGTCTTGATGTCTGAAAAGTTTTAAATCAAATGTTCTGAAGGTCGAGTGGCCATTTTACAACACTCGTCCCTATTTTCAATGACGAATAGTTAAAAATACAAAAATTATAAAAGCAGAACTCAGAACTCCGGAAAATAGAAGGGGAAAAGATTAACAAAAGGGTCAAAATTTATTTTTGTCAGGATTTATTCATTGTTTGCAGAATTCACCTTTGCAGAGGTTAAGCAGCTTCTGTCGATGTGGGCGAATGCCAATTTTAACGTATATTTTCTGCTTGAGGTCCCTAACTGTCATGTAATCGTAGAGATCTTGAATTTCATGTGTTTGTGGACCCCATTTAATTGTTATACTACCAATATAAGATTTTTTTAGGAAATCTGAGGAACCTGATTGCTTTTGACGTGAATCACACATGGCTATCACGACATAAACAATGGGGCGCCGATACAGTAGATCTTTTTACGATCTTCTCGTTTCCGGGGTTATTGCAATAATTTTTTCTATCATTTGTTTTGTTATTTCTGGAGTCGAGGGGGCACTTGGATTTTTTTTGAGAATACTGACGAAGGAAGAACTGTACTGTGTGGGGCTGGAGGTGTTTTGCAATGAGTGAGTCTACTGGCCCTTTCTGGTGGGTCTCGTTGGCTCACGGCGATTCACCTGTGATTTCGCGGTCTTCTCTGAGGGAGAAGGAAGAATATCAAACAATATTTTCCTTTTGTGTTATTTACCGCGCTACATGTTTGTTGGTAAGGTAGTATCCTTTCTTTGAATCGAAATACGGAAAGAATGGTAATGGTTTTACCAACGGATGTCAATTCTCAATCGTATTTCAAATTTCCATTTCAATTGTCGTTGAAATGATCATTTCTCTCATATTGAAACATATTGCGTCACATAAACCCATTCATTTTCAACCTTTTCATTATTTTCATTACAAAAAATCTCAATCTGCCGTTCAGAAAGTATCACTATACGGCTTTTTAAATAATTAATCGAATTTTAAACAATTAATTGCATTTTAGAGTGAAATTAGTAGGATCGCTTGCATCATTCTCGAGACGCAAAAAAATTTGTTGAGTTCAAAAATTTATTTCAATTCCGAGTTGCACCGGCTGCGCGCAAGTCTTCGCGCATGTCTAAAAGTTCCCAGTAGAGGGGAGGCGCGACGAGAGCGCGCGATTCCTTCATTTTCACGGGGATATACAGTTCGCTCCTCTCAGTTTGTATTTAGTCCCACCTCAAATCGGTGGCACAGTCCGATCGCATAACCGTCCGTGGATTATCCCCGAAGAGTTTTTTGGCCCAATCTCTCTCTCTCTTTCCCCGTTTCTCCCCTAGGCCCCTCGTTCTTGTGCCTTTGATGGTCACCGAACAACGACCGTGGTGGTCTCTGATAATTTGACAGAAAAGTGGTGCAGGTGCTACGGATTATAGTTTTTATTTTGGAGCTCTCTCGGAATTTTTTTTACGGTGAAATACATCTCAAGATAAATTAACAACATGCAGACCCTCGGGATTGCCGCTATTTTGGCGCTACTTTTCACCGCTCATGGTAAGTAATTTCAATCAATTTATGCTTATAATTTTCTGGGAACCAAATGTTTTTGTTGACAATTCAGATTGTCAGACAGAGGGTAATGAATAATTTTGAAGAAATTTCCGGTGTAAAGTACAAATTATCAACTCGTTCAAGGGTCAAGAATTTTTTCCCCCAGTTTTTCATTGATAAAAATAGTAAATTCATGGCTTATCACTATCACTGTTGGCCCATCGATCTCATGAACCCAATGACATGAGTACAATTCTCGGAGTGCAAGTGAAACCGAAGCATTGAGTAACATTGATAGGAATCGTGGATTTTAATTCAATGAACACTACTGCTGAGTAAATGGTTATGATTGAGATGTTGATTCGAGGGCTCAGGGGTACTTCGGCTGGAGTCAATGACCCACGCACAACCCTCGCTCATATCGGAGTAATTAAACTCCAGCGTCCTCCTCCAGCATTACGTTTCATGAATTTCATGGAGTATCTTATCCGATTACCAATAACTCAACGTTGTGTGTGGATATTTTCGTAGTGTGATTATTATCGTGAGACTTGGGGTGTTGTACGAAATGGGCGGTGCGGGTGAAATTAACTTGCCGGATAGTCTGAGGTGGGAAAATAAATTACTGTGCTCTGAGTTAATTGAGGAGGAATGACGAATGAAGTGTAGGGAAATCATTCACCATCAAGGCATCCTAATGAACATCAATGAACCACAATTTCTCACTTTGGGGGCATGTGTACATGTCTTCCCTCTTTATTGACACAGTGACTCAGTCAATGAGTAAATAAATTATTTTTGTATTTTTCGAAATCATCGTCTCGCGGGGACATGAATATGCAGATCGGTGATGTCACAGTGCGTGGGTGGATTTTTGTTGTCACACTAGATATTTTTGGAATTGGTCGGAAACTGCAGGGGACGACCCTCGAGTCATTTAATTCGGGGATAAATATTTGGCCATTTTGAGGGATTTGACTGGTTTACTCGACTTTTTGAGAGTTTCGTTGATCGTCTCATTTGAATTTCGAATGTGTTGACCTTCGATTGAATTAAACATAGAGTCGTCCATGAAATTTATCATTTATCTTGAATATTAAGTAACTGGATAAGATTTTTGCAATGGAATAAAAATACACATGGTATTCAGGAGAATATTCACGGTAGTCCTTATACTCGTTTCAATTTTAAAATTGCCAAATGTCCTCGACATATTTCCATTTCACATATTCTCCCGGGAAACAAGAATTCCAACGATTATTTGTAAAACAGGAGTGAAAGCCTCTTCAACTCAACTCGAGGGACGTCATAATGCATCTTGAGAATTGAGGTAGGGTAAACTGCCCAGTAGATGGACACCTAAGAAAACCGCCCAGTAGATGGACGTTTGTTTTTTAGCAATTGAAAAAAAAAATTGATCGAAAAAAAATCGTCACTCGGGGGTTAAGAATAACAACAGTTAGTGAAAATTCAAAGCAACAATTCACATTTCAGTATTTTTTTACGTAATTTCCTATCCAAAAGTAGCTCGTCCATCTATAGGCCAGTGTCCACCTAGTGGCTAGCTTACCCTAGATCAAGATTTTGAAAATCATAGAGAATAAAAGATGAAGACGTGAGTTGAACGTGCCTTAAGGAGCAAAATTAAATTGAATTTTGTTGCCATTTTCAATTGAATTGAAATTATTCATTTTTTATTTTTTAATATAGTTTATTTCACGGGATTCAGAGATCCCATATGAGGGGTACAGCAGAATATAGAAATGATAAGCTTATTCTCTAGTATATTCTGTACAATGATGTGTTCGTTTGATGTTATAGGGGAGGCTGGGGTAAAATGGACATTTTAGACTTTTTTAAAATTATTGATAACTCAGAAACAAATTTATCAATTGAGCTCAGTTTAGACTCGTCGCAAGGGGAAAGAGTTGTTCTTTGTATTGAAAAAAATATATTAAATTTTATCAATACTTCAACCCCTCATTAACATTAAAAAAAAAAAGTCAAAAGTGTCTGTTTTACCCCAGCCTCCCCTATATTCTTGTCAATTAATCATTTAATCATTTTTATCTCATCATATAGTAGTAGACTTCGCAAAGGGAATCACGCGTTTCTAAAATTCAAATCGAAATCATTTATCGAATTTAAACCGTTATGTGTTGCGAGTCTCGAGGATTAAAAAAAACAAACAGGAAATAGCTGCAAGACGTTCATTCCTCCTCGGACACATAAAACCGTCAATACTTCATCAACAATTCGTGCAAAACCAGAACCTTAAAATTCCCCACTTTCTTCAATGTATCTTCACCTCAAACATTCCCCAAAAGAAACACAAGAATCTCAACGATCGGTTGTAGAACGAGAGTAAAAGCCCATTTAACCGAACACGCGTGCATTTCGTCTCGGCACGAATGAGAGAGAGAGAGAGAGAAAGAGAGAGAAAGAGAAATCTCAGAGGGACTCGATTGTAGTCAGTAGCTGGTCCATGAATGCCGGGGTGAAAATAAGATAAACGAAAGTAATGGATGGCATACAAGTATACAGGGAGGAGACCAGGTGGAAGCGGGTGTATGGCCAGGTATACACTGAAGAAAACCGCGTGCCACCGCCGCTCAGAACAAGCGCAGAAGGACAGATGGTCAGGCTGGATGAGAACAAGGCGCAGAGCCATTGCAACTGGCCGCTGGTCTTCTCCGGTTATTCGAGAAATTTTAGAACTATATTCTAGCAACCCGGCAATGGTTACAAGCTCCGCTGGGCGCCTGGATCTTCAAAAAAAAAACCCGGTGGGCATTTAAATCCGGACAATAAGCTCTTTCTTGGCATTCAGGTCATGTTTTCCACTAAAATTTGCGGAAAAAAAGTGGAAAAGTGGCGCAACCCCATTCATCAGCCTGTATTGTTCAATTTTACGTTGGAGAACGGATGAATGAAGAACTCGGAACTCGGTAGAATTTGGTTTTACTTGAGCCGTCAATTTTTCCAAATTGAGGGAGTTTGTCTGAGTTCACAAACAATCCCTGTCGGGCATGAAGTTAAAAGCCCGACGACGAGCTCGTCCATAGTACTTTTAGTTTTTTCCACTGACAAGTGCCGCAATCCCATTCATGAATCGTTATCGTTCTATTTTACATTCATGAATGAATGAAAGAAGAAATTTCTTGAAAATTTTTTTCACCGGAAAGATAAGTGCTTCTAAAGTCAGGCCCGAAGTGACTAGTTTTCTTCTCCAGTTGCTATCAAACGAAGTCGTTTGTATCTCTCGAACTCACAATTCGCTCACCGGTTACGGAATCGACTCAGAAAATTTAAGTGACGGTATCGTAATTTTTCACAGGAGGTTCAGATAAACTTACGGAACGCTCTGAAAAAATTCCGCGACAGCTCCGTAAAATTTCCTACAAATACATTTCGCTCCGGAATTACGGGAAAGATACGTAATTTTTATTGAATATTTCTCACCGTGTGCCTTTGCCATTCTTGGTTAATGGAAGGATCCATGGTATGGCGGGTGCTTCGTCGCTCTAAATCAGATGAAGTCCACCTGTTGAAACCATCGCATAATCCTCGGCTCACCGCACTCTGCATGTGAAAAGTTCTCATTGGTATTATAAGGCATCGAAACACGTAAGTTCTTTATTCCCATCATTGAATGATCGAAAGGTGTATGGGATCGCGAGGGTTTGAACTCTCTGAATATGATGGGATTTACTTTTTGGAAATATTTCCGAGCTGAATGAACAATTGCTCCTCCAAATTCTGGACCAAATTCTCTGGCCTGACATTAAAAATTGTTCTTAACATTTCTTGTCGTTCAACTTCTGCGGAATTAACATCGTGTGTCTCACCGCAATTTTTCAGAATGAAGTTAAATAATACCGCGATTCTGGTCATAAATCTTCATTACTCAATTTTGCTTCAGTGGGCTTTGCCGCATTAGAACAATTTCGCTGAATTCAGTAATAATTCTTCTCATCTGATAATTCAATAGGCAGTGCTCTCAAAGGAGCAACGAATTTTCACTCGAAATGGACTAAAAACAGCCTGGTCTGCTCTATAATTCCCAATTTATTCCAACAGTAAATTTTATCAAACGAAAAGTTATCAAAAAGTCATTTTCTCTTCCACTTCTGAACCAAATTTTCTCTCTCTGTCGCTCCGTGCGCATGAAACAGTCTCTTGGCAGTTAAAAAGGTGTTGTTTCAGGAAATTATTCCGTGGCGTTCAATTCCCCACTTAAAATTATTACCACCTGTTGCTCAATTTACAACTTTCCATCATGAATGTAATGTTATTGAACCCTCCTACGTATCAGTTGATTGTAGTAATTCGTCCCTCCCCCTTTTGGCTACGTAACTCGATGAGGCGTGACGACGTGTGAATTATCCTCCCCTGAATTTTTCGGGTGCCCCCCGAACTGTTCCTCATAGGTATAATTTGCCAGCTCAATGATTAAGGGTGCGTGTAAATTACGGCAGGCTTTTTGTTGTCGAATCGTGCTTTATAGAGTGGGAATGATAAAGGAGGTCGAATAATGGGTGGAATGATGTGAGAAATGGAAGATGACACCCGACTGTCTCTTGTATTTTTTTTACCATGCGTGAATCATTCTTCAATTAATGTCATCGGGGACGTTTGATTCTAGAGTAGTTGGCTATTACGAACGATTTAATTATCACTATTGAGAGAAAGTCCAACGATTTATCGTCACTTTGAATAAAAATATCTGTGACCAAACGCTATCGGAATGCTGAAGAATAATTGAAAAAAATTATGTAATTGGGTCGGAATTTTTTCACGCAATTAGATATCATCATTATAATAATTCAATCATAGACGAGATGACAAAAAATTCTGCAGTATTTCAATCAACAGCGAATCGAGGGAAAATACGCCTGATGATTTTTGATGGAAAGGAAAGGGAGAAAAATATCTAGATCACGGTAGAATATTCCGTTGGCTTATCACTCTCATTTAATACAGGTACATAAATTTATCAGGCC